GCCTGGAAGTGGGGCTGCGGATACAAGCCATATTCAGAACAAACTGATGCAGACGATCACATACCTTTTCGTCGCCTTATACCCGTCTTCATGGCAATCTTTTTTCGACGATTTCCGCGCCCTGGCCGGTGACCAGGCCGCGATTGGTAGCGTGAACACAGCTACAACATTCCTATACCTTCGTATGCTTGGCCAAGTCCACGATGAGATTGCGGATCAATTGGTCACACGTTCGGAATACGAAAAGAAGCGAAACACAGAACTGAAGGATCTCATTCGACAGCGGGACGTACAAAAGATAGCGGCTTCCTGGCAAGAGATCCTCGGCAAGTGGCGAGAGACGGATCTTGGGCTTGTGGAGATGTGCTTGAGGACTATCGGACGTTGGGTTAGCTGGATCGATATAAACTTGGTTGTGAACCAAACTATGATCACCACTTTCCTGGAGATGGCTGGTCAGCAAGGTATCGCTGACCCTGAGAGTGCTGCTGGAAAAGTGCGCGATGCCGCCATCGATACCTTTTCAGAAATTGTTGGCAAGAAAATGAGTCCATCAGACAAGATTGAGCTGATTACTTTCCTGAATCTTGCTGAAGTTGTTGGTCAACTCATCAATAGTCCAGCTTTGGCTGAGTTCCACAGTCCAAATTACGACAACGACCTTGCAGAGACGGTCGCCAAGCTTGTTAACAACATTGTTTTTGACATTGTCAAGATTCTAGAAAATGAAACAGTCGAAGATCACATTCGGCAGCGCGCAGACGACCTTATTCGAATCTTCACGCCGTATCTCCTACGTTTTTTCGCCGACCAGTACGACGAAGTATGTTCCACTGTCATTCCATCACTCACAGATCTTCTTACCTTCCTACGAAAACTGCAAAAGAAGACGGGGTCTGTACCCCCACAGTACGCCGCTGTTTTGCCGCCAGTCTTGGACGCGATCATTGCGAAGATGAAGTATGATGAAACTGCATCTTGGGGTGAAGAAGGCGAGCAAACCGACGAAGCAGAATTTCTGGACCTCCGACGGCGTCTTCATGTTCTACAACAGACGGTGACCGCCATCGACGAGGCCTACTACATCGAAACGCTCAGCCGCCTAGTAAACGGAACATTTGGACGTTTATCACAAGGGGATCAGTCATTGAATTGGCGCGACCTCGAATTGGCCCTACACGAGATGTTTCTGTTTGGAGAACTCGCCATCCGGAATCAGGGACTTTATGCGAAGCGCGAGCCTTCTTCTGCAGCCGCTCAACAGCTTGTTGTTATGATGAACAGCATGGTAGAGTCTGGCCTTGCAAACTATCCGCACCCTGCTGTTCAATTACAGTATATGGAGATTTGCGTTCGCTACTACCAGTTCTTTGAGCAGAACCCCGGACTTATCCCCAAGGTTCTTGAAAACTTTGTCAGTCTTACGCACAGTGAACATCTCAAGGTTCGCTCAAGGTCCTGGTATCTTTTCCAACGTCTAGTCAAACATCTACGAGCACAATTGGGCAATGTATCTTACGATATTATCCAAGCGGTCGGAGACTTGCTCACAATCAAAGCCGAGCTGCCCGACAATTCAGAAGATGAAATGTCGTCTGACGAAGAAGACCAATCTGCAGATGCGCTGTTCAATTCACAGCTGTTCCTATTCGAAGCTGTTGGATGTATCGCCTCCTCAAGCACTGTTTCAGCAGAAAACAAGAAGTTGTACGCACAAACCATCATGGGTCCATTATTCGAGGATCTGCAAACGACCCTTCCCCAAGCAAGGAACGGCGATGAGCGGGCTATACTACAGATTCATCATATCATCATGGCTTTGGGAACGCTAGCACGCGGCTACTCCGACTGGGTTCCTTCGAACAACAACAGCGCTGTCCCACACAGTGAGGTTGCAGACGAGTTTGTCAAAGCGTCCGAGGCTATCCTCGTCGCTGTCGAATCACTGAACTCGTCTAGCTCTATCCGTCATGCCGCACGCTTTGCCTTCTCGCGTATGATTGCTGTTCTGGGCTCACGATTACTACAGCAGCTACCATCATGGATCGAAGGCTTGCTGTCACTCAGTTCATCGATGGATGAGATCAGCACGTTTCTCAAGGTTCTTGGTCAAGTCATCTTCACATTCAAATCAGAAATCGCCGGCATCCTGGATACTGTCATGAGTCCAGTCTTGCAGCGCATCTTCACCGCCTTAGCCGTGGTCCCTTCGGGCACAGACGACGAGATCCAGCTCGCTGAACTTCGTCGAGAATATCTGAACTTCATTGTTGTTATTCTCAATAACGGCCTCGGGTCTGTGCTCGTTAGTAACTGTAGGTTGGGGGATATGGAAAAGTTATTATTTCATTGCTAACGTTACCAAGCAAACCAAGGGACTTTCGAACCCATCATTTCTTCCATTGAAACATTCGCACGAGATACGCAAGACTATCAAACTGCGCGCCTTGCAATCTTTGTACTCATCCGCATGGTATCTGTCTGGGGCGGACCTGACAAGGTCGGACCTGGCGCAAATGCCACACCTACTTCGCCCGATACCACACAAGCACCATTACCAGGTTTCGACAACTATGTAGTGGAGAAGTTTGCACCATTGGCATGGTCCATCCCAGCATCCCCAGGTTTCAATGCTAAAGATGCGCAAGCGCGACAAGTGCTGTATGAGACGGCGAATCTCCAGCACGAGATCATCAAGAAGGTTGGTGAATCATATGCGGAGCGTCTCAAGGGTGATCTGAGCGGCATGGGTATTGGCGAAGATGTTCAAGACCAGTATCTGCGCACGCTTGCAGGTTCATTCGAAGGCCCAAAGAAAGAAAAGGAATGGCGTAACTTTTATACCCAGTTTGTGGACCGCATGCTTGCGAGCAGGGCTTAGGCGGCTTGGGAGTCCCATTGGTTGTGTTGCCCTAAGAATAAAAGGAGATAGTCAACGGCTATGGCGTCAACCATGTGTAAATGCTGGGAGATGGAGGACTGGGAAAGCATCATTCTGCATGGTAGCGGGCGCGAGGAACAGCTTGTTTTCTGCTTGGGGGCATCATAGCCTGATTGTTTTGTGATAACCCTTTTTTCATATACTGTTCAAAGCTAGCTTGCGTTTCTTTAGCAGGAATGCTGTACCCAATATTAGAAAGATGGAAATTTTTCATTTCTTTTTCCTAATCGATTATGGGTCTTGATGTGGTTATGAAAATTGAGCTGCTTATCCTCTTGTTGTTTCATATTGAAGGAAAAGAAGAAAAGTTGCAATAAGAAGCAACCCACCGTCATACTCATCTATTTTTTTCTCTTCCTAAATTGCTGCCGGGTATTTCGCACAATTAACCATAAGACCTAATTTTTATATATTTGAAGCACCGAATTTAGCCGTAGCAGGAGCTTTGGGAATGCCGATGCCAGCGAGAATGGAGTCGAGCAGTCCAGGTTGACTTCTCAGCATATCCCACTCGCCTTGGTTCTTAACCATCATGGTACCGGCTAATGTTGTCCCATTAAGCGCGACGAAGCCAATCTCACTACCGTCGTCGCCGTAGAGCATGGTGCCTTCTGCACGGCGAGGCACGATGGCCATGCCAGCTGTGGTCATGGCGAGGTTGTAGCTGATTGGTAAATCGCCGTCTTCGACTGGATGCAAGGCGAGCTGATCTGGGTGGGACGAGACGAACGCCTCGACTGACCCTTTAGCCTCTTTGTACAGCCGATTATACATGTCAAGTAGTTGGGTGCCTGAGGGCTCCGAATCGAAGGGCTGGGCAAAGTGTGTGAAGGGGAGCCGAGGATTCTGTAATAGCCCGTCTGGAGTGTCTGTAGTTGCGTCTTAGCTGTTTCGAAAAGGGATGGTGTTTGTGAGGACTTACCTGGTGGATTGGCTTCCTGGCGCGATAGGATGAGGTCTATGAGCATGTTCCAGCCATTGGCCTTTTCGGTGTCGCGCATGCGTTCTACCGGTAGGAATTGTAGGTGTCGGTGTGGCTGAGACGCGCCGCTATGCTCTCCCGAGTTGAAGAAGGCGAGAAGACGCCTCTGTAGTCCGTCTCCTTCCTCGTGCCATGCCTTTAAGCAAGCGTATGTCGCTTCCAGATCATCTTGTTCCAACACATGTGTTTGCTTCTTGTTTAGCTTTGTGGCAAGAATGAAATGCTGAGATATTATCGGGAACTTGTTGAGCACGAGAAAATGGGTGGGATTCGTGGTCGGGATGTCAATGAGGTGTAAAGCTTCTGGCGGGTTTTCGAAGGGGTCAATCTTTTGCTTGGGCGTGGCACCCGCAAGTTTCGGCAGAGGCTTCTTTGCGAGTGATGGGCAATAGCGCAATTGAAACTAAGTCTTCATGAGCTGTATGTTTGGCGCAATGGCTTGTATATGACTTGCGGGTATGCCGTTTGACGTGCGGATGAGTGCCACGTCTGTTGGCGAGAAGATCAGATCTGATGAGGCTTTTGCAGCTTCAAATTTGCGCTTCACAATGCTCGGGAGAGCTTCTGCTAGTTCGAGTGACATTCTCATAAGGGAGGGTGGGACAATGCAGGTGTGGAAGGTGGGGATGGTTTAAGCTTTGGGTCCGGAGTTATCGGTACTAAGAAGGTGCGTACGTAGCGCGAATGTCAACGTCATACTTCAGCCTTACGTTCTTCTATGATCAACCTACTACTGACAGACGAATCACTACTATCATCGTTACAGATACCCATGACAAGCTGATTTCCATATATCTTCTAAGACTTGTTGCATTGGAAAAGGGTATAGTATACAGAATCCTGCTCAATAAAACTTCCTGTGTGGCAACATCCAGTCACCTCGCTTTGCACCTTCCCATCTATGCCGCTGGGGCAGCCTTGCACCCGCAGGATGATAATGGGCCAAGGCAATAAAAAACATTACAACCGACAAAATGACAATACATGGTGGTACAGACTGCAAAGCAAAAACTCCTGACACGACAAGATGGGAAACACGCCAAGGGGTTGTCGCTGGGCTTGCAGCAGCCCAGTGCCTCGCATCCTCGTGCTTACTGCCTAGCAAAGGCAAAGGGGCTTCAAGGAGCCTCAAGTTGCAAAGCAAGAAAACCCCTCACAATCTAAAAATAACCTGGCAGTCATCAAGTTTATCAGAGATGCGTGCCATGTTCGGCACGGCCTCAATCTTTTCGGATCTGCCACTAATTACTCGCAGGTCGGATTCAACTCCAGCCACTTCCTCTTGCAAGTCGAATTACCAAAGTGGTACGATCCGCCGTTTTCTTCGATATAGTCGGCCACCTTCTTCCAGGAGACCTTCATGAGCTTCTGCTCAATGCTCAGTGCGGATGGGTTCTGTAGATTGCTTTCGATGCGCTTCAACTCCTGCCAAACGGTCTCGTTCAATAAATCCGTCTGAAGAAGCATTAGTAGATATCTGACGGGATGCTTGGGGCTTTCTTACATCAAACTTCGTCCACACGGGCTTACGGACACGATCCCTCCTGTCCTTGGTCAAGGAACGATAACGTCCCCTCAGAGTAGACTCTGCGGGATTCTCTCCGATCAACTTCTTTTTGATCTCTTTGTATGTCTCACCCCTCTTCTTGCCCTCGATGAGCACTCGGTCATTGCGCTCGCGTTGGGCTTGCGTACTAGCCCTACGAGGGACTTGGAATCGAGGCTGGATGCGATCCTGAGTGGGTGCAGCGTGCGACTCAGTCCCTAGAGGTGATTGGGACTGTGTGCCCCACATATCGTCTGTGGACGAGAAATATTTCGGATTGTACCACGGAGACGCGCCCTGATTGCTGTCATGCGAGTAACAATGCTCAGGCGCATATACCGGGCTCTTTCTGGGAATCTGGATAGTCTGTCCTCGTCCAGTATGGCCTGTGGAAGGATTAAAAGACAAGACTAAACTACCCTCCACTTGCGGCATGCCACTGAGTCCGGCATCGGCATAGTAAGTTTCGGGTTTGAGTGACGGCATGAGTGTATTCGGAGAATACATTGGAATTGTACCCCAGTTACAACTTGGTGGGGCTTGATCCGGCATTGACTCTGGGCTGTAAGAGTTGTCGAACTCGTCGCTAGTAAAACTCTTCGGCGATATGGATGTACGCATGGCTGCAGTAGACAAGATGGGATTTGCTTCTTGTGGCAGCCCATTCAAATGAGCCAGCGCCCTTGTTGCCGGCACGGTATATCCACAACCTTTGGGGATGGCATTCTGGGCGGCAAGGTGATTGTGCATCAGGTCGCTGTTCTGTCCAAACTGGGAGTCCGATTGGCGTAAGATGTATGGCTCAACCTGTTGGATGATCTGGTGACAGTCAAAGGAGGTTGAGACACCGGCTGCGCCACTCCAGCTGCGACCCGATGAGTATGCCATGCCGGGGATCGAGCCCACAGACGCGGTGCCTGATGGCTTGACATCGTCCGCTGGTGCCGGCTGCAATGGCCAGGGCTGACACTGCATGTGGTTTTCAGATCTATACTGATCTGCCTGCATAGTTGTCAACCATGAGGGCGCTCCAATTCGATAGTCACTTACTAGCATTGACTGTGCCATGGCGAGATCCTGATGGCCGTTGCTGAAATGAGGTAAGGCTGCTGGGACTTGGTCGATGCAGGACAAGCAGGGCTGCGACAAAGAGCAGGATTGACGGAACAGAAAATGTTCGTCTCTATTGTAGCGCTGGGCAAGTGCTTGCGCGTCCGTCATGGTTGCGCGTGCTACAAGCGTCTCTTATGGCGATGACCAGGGCGGATGCAGTTACAACACGTGCCGAAATCGCAGTGAATGTCTATTCAGGCGAAAGAAATGATTGCGAGGTTTGGTGCTTGTGAAGTGTGCGTTGCTGGAATTGCGGGGTGGCGTGGATGTCGAGGTCCACAGGTATGTTCAGCATTCACTGCGTGACGCCGCTTCATTCGCTCAATGCGGTCGAGCGTCCTACAGGCGGTAAAATTGCGGGACTTTGAATAAAGTGAAGACCTGCCAAGCCGTGCCAAAGACAGCAATGGGAATATAACGTGTAGACCTTTTGGTGTGAATGGTCGGCGTCAAGTGAAGAAAGGCTGGCCCTGGTACCTATATGGTACAATAGGAGGACAGCGCAAGGCACCTAGTCGATACACATCATTAGCTCGCTAACTGGAGGTAAGATGTGTGAATGAGGTTTGCCTAACCACGAACTGCCACGAAATGTCAGAAGAACCGAAAGATGGACAAATGCCGCGGCAGTGGTCGCATGAGCAGCTACAAACACTCTAGGGTATCTCCTGGCGCACTGTGACTCGTAGGACGAGTCTCCTGGACAGCGAAGAAAAAAACAACAGTAAAATGACAGCTAGATCGTACGCTAGCAAGACAGAGCGCAGAGATGAGGCCGAAGCCAAGCGATGAAACAAGTCCAATCACACGAGAGTGTAGGCATGGGGGTTGGAGTGATGGTCGGCACGTTTATATTGTAAGACCGTCCCGACCTGCTGCGCTTGAAGCTATGAGACTCGCGTTTGAAGCAATCAGCATCCAGTTCTGATGTCCATGTCCCATTATACTGTGATGGGCGAAAGACAGGGTCTGGGCTTGTAGGTAGGCCCGCTATGGCCTGTAGTCACAGAGCCATGAAGGCTACGCAACAACATGGCGGAAATGTGCAGCATCCAAGCTGTGAAGTGAGCTGTATTGGCTTGTTCAGCACACAGAGGCAGAATCTGGAAGCAATCTTGATGTCGCTCAGAAAGTGGCACTGCTGTCCTGGTCCACTGACATCTCCAACGTGGCTAGCTGCGGACAGGCAAATACTAGCAATCTTGCAGAGAGATGGACTCAGTCCTCCCAAGCGGGCGGCTGGCAGACCTACGATTGCGGTGGCTCAAACGTCAGATCGAGTAAGGATTCGCTCGTCTAGGGTCAACTGAGCTGGCGGGAAATGTTCTACGTCGTCTTGTTTGGCTGATGCGCAGAAGCGAACGGTTGACTGCATGACCTGGCTTGGCAGCAAGCAGTTCCGCCAGATACACCAGTGGAAGAGCATACCAGAGACCATGGAATCTGGAGATGCAGGTACGTATGACTTCTGATGCCATGGTGTACGCCGGGTCGGCGGGAGCCTTGTGCATACCAGACATGTCGTCAACTATGCTAACATGTTACACACGAGGCTTGCAATCGCCTCTGGATCGTCACAAAACCCCCCGCGGCAGCATCGCTATTCTTGTCCATTACAGTCTCATACTTCGATTTCTGGTTGGCCAAAGGCCGTAGAGCCTGTATGTGCATCTATCACTACCTAACCCGATGCCGACGATGCCCCTATGCACTCCGACGCCCCACCACGATTAGACAGTTACTGCCAGGTTAACGCACACACATACCGGCCTGCTCTCCCGCCTCGCCTGATACCTCTATACCACCGGCAGGCTGCAGTCTCACGGCCAACAGTGGCCAACGCGATGGTCGTTGTACAGAACGTGTGAGACATGGCCCTAGCATGCCCGGCATGCCGTCTCGGGTGGCGTGCGGCGCCACCTTGACAGGTCGCGGAGACTTTATCTTGCATATTATTGCATATTTCTGGGGAAGTTCGTATCCGCCTCCGGTAGCCACACGATCCACTTCACAGCGCAAGTACACAGCAGCGACAGTGCAGCATGCATAGGCAGTGCGAGGGTATGGTAGGAGCCAGAGAGAAGATGTATACACACAGGCGAGTCAAGGAGAATGTCTGACCAGAGAAAGAGAGACAAAGATGCAATCTTGAATAAGAGGGAGCAAGTTTGAGATGAAAGACATTTGAACTAATGTCGCAGAATTGTCTGGACTCACAGCTATCACAATCCGCCATGCGACTTCGCGCCCCAAGCCCCAGCGCCCTATCGCGATTCCACCCATGCGCCGACCCATTCAGAAGCTTTGAAGAATACTCTACATCAGATCTTTGCCTTCTGATTACCAGGCGGCAGCAGTTCAACATCCTTCCACGGCAACCCGAGAAACTCCCACATGTAAGAGAACCTAGACGGCACATCTGTCAGCATGCCTAGCATCCTCTCTACCGATCGTCTGCTGTGTTTCACAACCCACGCTTTTCTGGTCGCACACTATAACAGCCCTTGCCCGGGGCAGGAGCCTTGCTAAACGCGGATATACCCGTCGCCATTCAGCCTTCCCTGTCCCCCCGCGAACGGGCATACGAAGTGCGGCAAGGGGCCGAAACGATGAGGAGATGGGCGAGGGGGTACTCACCTGTCACTACCAAAGAAAGGTTCTTCTTTCCCTTTCGAGTTCCGGACAGAAAACCATGGACATCCAAATGCGCCTTTATCAAGCGCTTCTTTTGTATTGTCGTTGAGACGCTGCTTGAACGGCGCGCTGCTTGCATTTGCTAACACATCTCGGACTTGGTCTTCCTCCAGCCGCAGCTGAAGCACTTCTGCAAGGACCTCTGGTTCACTGACATCTTTCTGGTTCTTCCACATAGCGGTAAAAATGTCAAGGAAGATGCTCACAAAATGCTCGGCATGTGCCTCTTTCACATGGCACAGCGCCCGCTGTGGTAGCAGGGACGTGATGGGAAAAAATGGCGGAACGCTTAGCTCGGGCACTCCAAAGTATTCTTTCGCCCGCTTGGTATCATACTTGCTATACTTTGCCTTTGCGTCGAGGGTCCACGGAGGCTTGTTGCCTAAGTCTCAGTGTCAGCATCCATATTATCGGCATGAACCAGCCTCTGCAGGCGCTGATACGGTGGGGAACAGGCAATGCTAACCGCTGCCGACATTGATGCCGCCTAGGAAGACGGGTACTATACTGTCAAAAGCTAGTCAGCCATGTACTTGCTTTTGGGAGAGGCATGATGCCGTTGGTCATGTTTAAGGTCGTCGAATCAAGGTAATTTCGCCGCGGCGCCACAAGAGAGACTCACTCGATTTCGATATTGTGTGCTTCGAGAACCGATCTGGTTCGTTCAAGATGAAGCAGAGCGAAGTATGAGTACGGAGATACTATGCGATGCGCAATTAGCATGTGACGTTGAACCCAACAGTGTTCCAGAGAGAGACAAGGCATACCGCAGTCTAGATAGCACGTAATCTTGCCCGACATCTTCGTGATTTCTCTGCTTTCCAGTATCGACGAATCAGTTATTGTTGCAACGAAGTAGATTCTATCACGAAAGTTATGAGCATCGCCCGTCGGCGTGACGTGACCCTGGCAGTCTTGGCTGCCGAGGTTCATCAGAGCTTATCATCAGTAATCATCGCCCAACACCACTCAACGCCTCCGCATGCGTCAAACGGTAGATGCCGATACCCCGGATTTGTGCACGACGCGTAACTATTGAAACCACGAACAATTTGTCCGCCCTCAACACCGAGGCCGCTCGCGTTTAATTGACTGTCTGATTATAAATCCGGCAATACATTGACTCTATGTAACGGTGTTTTGCCCAATGTGCTATTAAAGCAAGGACACAAACTTAAACATCCTGTCCATCCTCAGTAATTAGTATTTTGAAGCAAGCAAAAGAAGAATCATGCCAGTGTCTACCAAGCAAGTCGCACTCGTGGTCGGCGCCTCTCGAGGCATTGGTCGCCAGATTGCTATCGGCCTGGCTAAAGATGGCTATGCAGGTAAGGAAGCAGATATACAACTTCAACCGGACATATCTTGAACCACCAGCTCCGAAAGAAAAAAACATCAAAAAAAAGGATAAGAAGATGCACTAGAAGCTAACTCACTCCACCCTCACACAGTCATCGTAGCCGCAAAATCCACCTCCGACGCCTCAACCACCACGCCCTTCCCCCCAGATCCCAACTCCCCCGCCTCCACCATCTCCACAGTCGCCCGCGAAATCCGCGAAGCAGGCGGCGAAGCCACACCCCTCCCCGTCGACACGCGAGACTACACCAGCATCGAAGCCCTCGTCGCCAACACAATCTCCACCTACGGCCGCCTCGACATCCTCATCTACAACAGCGGCGCCATCTGGTGGTCCTCCGTCGCCAAAACGCCCATGAAGCGGTTCCAACTAATGCAGCGCGTGAATGTCGAAGGCGTGTACGGCGTCGTGCAAGCATGCCTACCACATTTCCAACAGCAAAACGGGGAGTGGAAGGGACGAATTGTTATTGTCAGTCCGCCTATTTACTCCCGGTTTTTCCGGGGGAAGACGGCGTATGCGATGGGGAAGGTGGGCATGTCGGTGCTGACGATGGGTCTCGCTATGGACTTTTCCCGCGAAGCGAAAACGGAAATGGCAGTGAGTAGCTTGTGGCCGGCGACGGCGATTCAGAGTGCGGCGACGACGAATCTAGCGAGGGATGAGGCGAGTGAGTTGAGGACTCCAAATATTTTTTCGGATGCCGTCAGGGAGATTATCAAGGCCCCCGTAGAACAGGTTAATGGGCGGTTGTTGCTTGATGAGGATTTTCTGAGGGAGAGGGGGGTGAAGGAGTTCGAGGGGTATAGTGTTGTGCCTGGGACAAGGCCGAGGAGGATTATGCCGCAGGAGTTTCCGGATTTGAGGGTTAAGGAGCAGGATGATGAGGGGAGGAGGATGGATAGTACGGTTTTGAGGGCTGCGGCGAAGTTGTGAGGGGTTGGGGGAGGGTGTGTGTTTGTTGTTGCCTTTTTTCCATGTTCAGTTGAACCGCCGTAAAATACACTGTCGAATATCTGCACGAGAAATGAAGAAATTCTATTTTTTTTTACTTAGAAGGGAATAGTGGAGAAAGGTACCAGGCCATAGAATCTGTATCGGCTACCCTTGTTACTCCCCTTAGGTCCACATCTTCCACATCCATCACTACACTTGGTCTCTTCCCCCTTCAACATCACCAACTTATTAAAAAGTACATCAACCAAAATTCATTATAAGACGACACCCTATCCAACCATTTTATTTATATCCAAATATGAAAACCTGCCTCCCTCCCTCCCTTCAACTCCACATCCCAACCTCGTCAACAACACCAGGTGACCAACAAATTACCGTATCCCGAGTCAATAAAAAAAAGATGCCCAGCTAAACACCATGCTTGCTGAAACCCGCGTCAAAGCTCTTCCAAATCTCAAAATAAGCTCAAAAGCCAAAAGCCAAAAGCCAAAAGCCAAAAGCCAAAAAAAAAGATAAAAGCGACTACTAATACAGGGAATTGACTCAACTTTCGCAATACACATGCAAACTCAATGTTCATTACTCGGGGTTATCTTAACGACAAAAAACCCCTTAAAGCCCCAAAATTCCAGAGGAGAGAGGTATATATATAGACACGCTCAATTAGACCAGAAATGTTGTTTTCTCTTGGTGGTGGTGGGGTGTAAAATCCTTCATATAAGAAAGGGTATATAATTATCGAGCAAAGTAGCGTGTGCAGACAGACAGAGAGAAGAAACAGGATGGTGTGTGTAATCAACAATGTCTATGTGAGAGGATGATTGGTGATTTGGTGGGAGCGGGAAAATAAAAGATGCTTCGCTTTGTAAACATATGCCATGCTGATAAGATTAAAAGGCGCGACAAGCGTGCGTGCGTGCGCGCGTGCGCGCGTACCAGGATAAAAGACAAACGGTTTCTCCTAATCGACCGGGGAAAAAGGACCAAAAAATTCATGCATAAGGTATCGGTTTCTCGCAATCTCTCTCTCTTGTAAAGCAACAACGGTTGCCTGCCTTGTGGTCAGGAGGTGGTCAATCCTTCATCTAGTATAGACGTCCTCGACTGGCCTGGCTCGCTCGGCTGGGGGAAGTCCGACTTCGCTCATCTTCCTCTGGTACATCGCTCAACCTCGTGGGATGGTGATGTCTCATGCCCACCCATTCGTCACCATAACCATCGCCGCTGTAGTCCGGCTGACCTCCAGCTGTAGCGTAACCCTGGCCGTGCGAGGATGACGCACTTGAAGTCGTTGCATAGCCTCCCTGAGATGTGGCAGCTGTGCCGTAGTGCTGCAGATGCTCAAGCTCACGTCGACGGGCATCTTCTACGTCGTATTCGTCCGAGACAGGCGACTGGATTGACCGAAATGGAATACGGCGACCTGAATCATCGCGGACATAGTTGCCCCTCTCATCAAGGACAAACTCGACATCAGCCTCAGACTCCTCTGCTTGGGAGGTGACATAGGATTGTACATCCTCTAGCACACCAGATTCCGACTCTTGGTGCAAATACGACGCCGGTTGCTGGTAGAACGCCTCAGGTTGCGACATAGCGGGCTGAGTGGGAGTCCGCTGTGCTTCAGATGTGTAGTAGGGATACTGCAGAGGAGCTGGAGATAGTGCCGAATCTCCAACAGAGCTGGCGCCGCCTGGTCGCGAGGATGTATTCGAGGCCGCGCCTGACGGAACATAAGTCCCTTGAGACAAAGGAGCAGGCATGTCAGTCTCTCGCTGGCCATGACGACCACCCTCGGTAAAGGGATCAGTATCAGTCGGCGACTGAGGACCTTCTTCGTAGGAATAGTGTTGCTCAATGCCGGACCCACTCTGTGCACCGCCGTAGGTATCATCACCATGGCCCCTTTCTCCACGCCCCATATTTTGCGCCATCGGAACTACCTGCACACCGCCAACAAGGGTAGGCTGACCCTCCCTCAGTGAAAATGTGCGATCGCGCTCCTCTTGCTCCCGTCTCCCAAGCTCTTCCCACGCTCGACGGGCTTCCTCCTTGGAGATTTGCAATTCGCGCTTCATCTCCAACACGGCCCGCTCCGCATTCTTCTTCTCAGTAGCCATGCGCTCGAGATTTGCCTCAGCTTCGAGACGCAACTCGCGCTCCGCATTGATCTGCTCTGTTAACTGCGCCTCGCGCTCCTGCGCCCTTTCCTGGTCCTGGCGGTGCTCAAAGAACCATCTCTGGAACTTGCGCTCCGAGGACGCGCGCAGCCGCTGTAATTCTACCACGGCATGAAACAGGTTGGCGCCAGCAGCTGAAAGATCGGTGATTTGCCGCGACAATTGCTGAGCCAACGGCTCTCTACGGACCTCATCGGTATTTTGCTCGAGTCGTCGGATCCAGTACGAGGTCAGGCCTTCCCAATGCGAAGAGAGGGTTTCCCAGCGCTCAAAAGCATGTGGAAAATTCGACGTTGTTGATTCGCGAGCTTGTCCAGTAGCCGAACCTGGCGCAGGTGGTGCGCGCGCCTGTGCAGCCGCCGACGGTGCTGGTTGTGACGAGGTTGGAGGAGCAGAAGGGCGCCTAGCATGGCCCGCGCCAGGTGGTCTCCTGCCTGGCTCTGCAGTAGTCGGCACGCCGAGATTTGCCTGAGTAGGCCGGGACGACTGTTGGCTTTGCGTAGCGGCTCTGGGCCTCGACTGCGACGCGCCCGTTGTTGCATCTTGTGGATCGTTCATTGTACCCTGAGGTGGAAGGGGCCGTTCGGGCTGACGTGGCACTCCCCCAGACGATGCCGGATATTGTACGTACTGATCGCCGGGTCTCGGAGCTGCTTGAGGCTGCCTCTGGGTTCCGGCTTCTGTTGTGGGTGCTCCAGCTACACCAGAAACAGCTTGAGCTCTTCTTTCCGCACTGGCTCTCCTGCGTTCCTCCTCTGCAGCTTTTCTTTGTTCCTCCACTTCAGCCCTTTGGCGCCTAGCGTTCATGATCTGCGTAGGGGTGCGGATATTGGAGCGATCGACAGGCACGGGACCACCAGTTGTACGGGCCCCTCCATTGGCAGCGCGCCCACTCGTCAAGTCTGACATTTGGGCGTTCTCTTCAACAAAGTCCGGGGTGAATGGATGTGGGACGCGAAGCGCCTCTTCGAGCACGAAGCGTATTGCCGATGCAGTACGCCGACTGATTCGAAGGGCAGGATGAGGTTCTGTAGAGTAAGGGCGAGGTGTTTCGAACCGAACACGCTGTTGCTGCTGGCCCGGTTCGGCCGACCTGGCGCGCTCAAAGTTTGGCGTGCGGCGGAGGCTGTTTGTGACACTGCCGGTGGAGCTTGAGGCTCTTGAGCGATTGTGTTGCGTGCGATAGAAGGCTTCCGCTTGGTCTTGGCGTAGCTGGAGCGAGGTACGATATTCGGGAAAGGCTATTGGCGCGTTTCGGTCGTGGTCTCGTGAAGATGAGTCGTGAGAGGGAAATATGTTTGCGGGCGGTGATGGACCGCTGGACGTCACCGTGAGGCCAGGGACCAGCTCGCAGGGCTCAATTGCCCTTGCACCGTCGAGGAGGCACCCGCCGGATTAGAATTAGATGCGCCAGCAATGGCGGCGGCGGGTACTCGAGGGGGAACAAACTAAGCGGCGCACGAAGGGCTGCTTATAGCGGGAATGCACGAAGGCTGGCTGCAAAGTATGGGATTAGACACAGAGACTGGGTGGATTGCTAACAGAGGAGCCATTGCTGGTACGCGGCCGAGGGCGAGTGCAACGCGCGAGTGACCGGGGGGTTGGGGGGAAGGTGAAAGGGCTGGGAGGTGGCTGGGAAAGCATCATGAATGTCGACTTACACCTCTCACCGACACTTGGACAAAACAGAACAGCGAATTGCGCGCGGATGCGAAACGTACGAGTCGGTTCGACACGAGACACGCATGCGCTGAGGCGTCGTCGCAAAGCGAAGGCGCGCCAGTTGGTGCCCCGATATGTCAGGGTTTTTGTGTTATGGGCGAAGCCAAATGTCACCCGGATTGGAGGCGGACCTTCAGCCGCAGCGCTCGGAAGCGCGGCGCCCGGAGAAAGCGATATCGAATAAAACGAGTGACTGGAGAAGACAACAGCGTGGGATCAAGTGGGCATCGAAGGCACGCAGCCGAGCGATCGCGGACCTTTTGGGGAGAGCGGCGGCTGGTCGAGGGCGCAGAGGATCACCGGGTGTGCAGCAGTAGCAGCAGCAGTAGCAGCAGTAGCAGATGCGACCGAGGGTAATGGAACTTGGGTCAAGTGGAGTCGCACTGGCCGGTGTGCAGCGCAACAGGCATGCAAGGCAACTCGACGGCTACGAAGGGCGAGTGGTGCCCTGACAGCAGCCGTGGTGCTCGATGACGGTGATGGCAACGATGGATTGCCAACTCATCGTGCTTGTTGTGCTAAGCCGGGCATGGAGGACATGGGGGCGGTTTGGCCAAGGTACAGCGCAAGACGGAAAGCGGAATGACCAAGTATGATTAGCGACCGCCACCAGCAAAGCAGGGAACAGCACCGCCCTCGTCCAGCTTACGTACACAAGTGTGTATGCGCATGTATGTAGACATGTCCTCGACAGATGTATCTACTTGCGTGTATACTTTGATACCTACATACCATACATACATACATATATGTATGTACCTACCTAGTAGAATACAGTAAGTACAGCAATGCTCATCCTCGCTGCAATTACCTCATCGCGCTTGCCCCGCCCTCCCACACGCGCCTGCCCAATCGGCGGCCCTCCGTGCGAGTAGGAAGGAGCGGCCCGCGTCCACTGGCTCCAAACCAGACGTTACACCCATCTCCCTGCACTGGCACCTTTCACCCACGCCGACTACTGTACCTCTCCTCTAGCCATGTACATATGCACCTGTATGCCCTCCAACGGCGGCTACGCCTCACACTGCACTGCACCCTTTCATCGGTACAGCGTCTGCAGCCATACATATCATGTCGGCTCCTGAAGCCTGCATACGTGCCAGCAGCACAGGTCCACCATTGCTAGCGCCAATACGGTAAAGTCTGCTTTTCTATAAACCTAGGAATCCCATGTTGGATGCGCCAATTAACTCGTCGCCTATCATCTGCCTCAAGTACACGCGGCACGCTGTGCAAGACTCGAAGCCTGTGTTCCTCGCGCCTTGGACAATCGTACACAGACATAGACACAGACATAGACACAGACCAGCAGCCCCTCCACTGCCACAACCCTCAGCCCATTTGAACGCTGCGAAAAGCTCTGCATGTGCGTCGTAGTGTCGTGAATCCTCCATTGTCCCTCACTCCCTAGCGTTAGCCCCGTGATGAAGATGAAATTCAAACGCCCGCAAAACAAATCGAAGTTGAGTGATTCCACCCCAGTATCAAACGGTATCGCCAGAATCAGAACGCGAACCAGAAAGCCAGTCCAAAGATCGTCTTACCTTGTGCTTGAAGCCGCCAGTCTTGGACATGGTCTTCTCCTTAGGCGCCGTGCTGTCGAAGCCGTTGACTGCATAAACATCCACAGGGCTCACATTATCGAAGCTGCTGTCAGTAGATATCCCCGACTGCACTGTGTTGGCGCTCTCAACCAATGTCAGGCTTGCACCCATCGAAGCAGCATTACTGTACGTGGCTGAGCCGTCGACCGTAGGCATCTTAGGAGAGTTTGGAGACACTGAGCCGGCAGCTGGCGTAGGGACATCAGAGCCACAGACTGACACGTCTGAAGCCATGCTCAACGGCGTTTCGACGGCTACCAGTGAAAGAGATTTCGCAACCGCGGGAGGGCCTTTCCCTTTCTTGATAATACGGTCAATAGCATCTCCCAAGTCCTTCATCTGGAGTGACGCCTTTGTCAATAGCATTGGAGAAGGCAACAGCTGTCCATTGGCTGGGGTCGAGAGGCCAGTTTTCTGGGAGACAATCTCGCCATGGTTGTCGCGTTGATCACCGTGATCGTCAAAGACCCCAGTCCAGTTGGGCCACTGAATAAGACAGTGTGAAGTAGCGCTATTGATAATCTTGCTCCATCTATTATGTGGACTAAGCGGGGTTTTGGGAGCTCGTAGGCCGCTATCAATGCAGTCTTTACCGCAGGTCAGCAAGGTGATGCGAGAAAGTTCATGCTCGAAAGGAAGGTAATCGACAACGAAGCCGTTAAGCTTGAGGCACCTAGTCAACAATGTCAGTGATGGCTTGCACTTCTTCTTTAAGACCAAGCCCACTTACCAGAGTGGAAGTGGCTTAGCTTCCTCCAAACCTGCAGCAATACGTGCCTTGCGCATGCAGAAAGCATCGAGATATTCACCCATGCCGAACGAGTGGTGCAAAACACCTTTTCCTTCGATGCCCCTAAAAATTGCCAAAGCCTTTTGTCAGACAACATCATCTTATTCAGGGTTAGAAAATCCCAACTTACTTGTACTCCTTCTCATTAGAGTCCTGCTTCGGAACCGTCAAGCCTACCACATCCTCAGCTTTATGCCAATGCGTCGCACGAACAAGCGGCTCAGCAGCCATCTGCAAGTCAGCAATGCGCACGCCGCTCTCGGACACATTCCTAAATATAGTCTCCCACACAATAGACTGCATTGAGTCGTGCATACGGAACAACCGGAGCTCCTTAAGTTTGGTCTGCTGGACAAGAGGCCGCATATCCGCCTGCGTGATGTACGACTTGTACTCGATGTCGCCGTCTTGCTCAATGCGAACCGGCTGGCCGAGATCGAGAACGAGCTTCGTGAGGGATGTGGGGAGCGTCTCCCATACTACGCTCATGAAGGGGATGCCTGCGATCCAGCTGCGTCGTGTTAACACATATCTCCAGAGCAAACAAGAGAACTTACGTCAATTCCTTCAAACCAGGCATCTTCTCAACCATCTTCGCAATCTTTCTCCCCGCCTCCTCCCACTCCCGCTCATACTTGCTCTTCCCATGAACCTCACATTCTCCATTCCCCTTGTCTTCCTCTTCATCTAGAGCAGTATTCCACTCCCCAATAACATACATCTTCGTAACCGGTACCTCAGGCTCCTCACCACGAGCAAGATACCCCTCCACAACCCCTTCCACCCGCTTCACAGACTCAACCGGCTCGCCCTCCTCATCAGCGCCAACATCAAGCACGAAACAGCCCTCGTCCTCGCCATCACGCTCGAGAGCGACATCCAAGTTGTACGAGCGGAGACTCGCCTTGAGTTCAGCCATACTCGCTGCTTTCTTCTTTTTCGTAGTGTAAATCGTAGGTTGTTGCGTACGTAGGTGCGTAGGTGTGCTGCGTACTCTGGTATGTTGTGTGCGTGAGTACGCTCAGAAGGTGTAGTGAAGTAACGTCAAAGGGTTGTGCGTGTTTGTCACTGTTCAAAGGTGAACCTTGAGTGAGAAAAAGAGCAAGCCCCCTTCGAAGGTGACTACCGAATTCGATAGCGGTAATATCGCTGTTTGCTGATTGGAGAAGGTGAGCGCGGGTGTTTATTTGGGGTTCGAGTGAAGGGAAGGTGCGGGTCACGCTTTTGGAGTGACACAAGACAAACAGTGATGTGAGTGGTGCCTTCCCCCGTTTAGTTTGCGCTGGTTGCGGTGCTTTCTGACTGTGGTGAGTGAGGAGTGAGACTGAATGAGGTTTGCTTAATTGGTTTCAGGATATGGTGCTGAGAGGTCTGTATGGGGAAGGGGAGTGTGAGGTTACTAGATATGTTTTTTATACGATGAGTTTGAAGACGGTGGGATAATGACATTGTCGTATTGAAACTATCAGCAATTTTGGACAAGGGTGGAATACAAAGAATGTAGTGCAGGCTGTATGGCATTTTTGCTATTCATTCAGAAGAAACTTGTTATTTCGGAAGAACTATTTTCTCGCTCAATTTCGCCATAAATGCTGGAATAATATACAAATACTACTATGTCCCCATACCCTATCATTCCGATTCAATACTCAATACATGCCTCGCATATCAAACTATTTTCATCCTCTACATCCATGAATCGTACTACGAGTCTCTCCTCCTTCTCGGTGGTGGAGTAGTAGAATCCCTCCTTCGCCTCGGCGGTGGACTAGCGCTATCATCCCTCGCTCTACCCTTACCCTTCGACGGCGGCGGACTAGTCGAGGCACGCCTGTGTCTAGGAGGCGGGGTGCTAGAATCCCTCCTACGTCTGGGCGGTGGGCTCGCACTGTCATCTCTCGCTTTGCCCTTGCCCTTTGATGGCGGGGGGCTGCTTGAATCGCGTCTGCGTCTTGGTGCTGGAGATGGCGACCGCGAAGGAGATGAAGAATATCTTCGACGACGCGGAGGTGGGGAGCGAGACGGTGAGCCTGAAGGGCTACGGTCACGCCGTGTGGATTTGGATTTTGGTGGTGGAGAGCGGGATACAGAGTATGAAGGGCTGCGGCCTCGACGACGAGGTGGCGCAGAACGAGAGCGGGAGCGGGAATGGGAAAGAGAAGATGAGTAAGAGCGCTTGCTCTTGAGCTTACGGGGCGTTGGGGAGCGAGATCGTGAGCGGGATGCGGAATCATAGCTAGCGCTCCGGCCACGACCGCCACGCTTGCGGTCGGGCGTTGGGCTGCGTGTATAAGACCTGCCTCGCGAGCTAGATCTTGAGTCTCGCCCTCTGCGGACAGGGCTTCGCGATCGGGAGTAGCTACTCGAGGTATAGCTTGATCGCGATGAAACACTACGATCGTCCTCTGAATCATTCTCTGGCTCGGGAAGTGGCTTGGGCTTGGGCGCACTGTTCTTGAGCCAGTCACGCATACCCTCGGTAAGCACACCCATACCGATAGCAGTGAAGAAGTTGATCGAGAAGCGTGTCTTGCTCTGGTCATCCGCATCTGTGGGGAAGATGCCAGTAAGGCTGTCCTGGAGCATAGGGTCCTTGAACCGCTCAACTACCACCTTTTGACCAAGCGAGGCAAGAAGCTCCTCGAAAAGGATCTTGACAAAGATACGAGAACTAGAAGTCGTGTCCTCTTCCGTCATCTTCACTACTTGGAAGACATGCCAGCCGATACCGTCGGATGCTAGCAAATGGGCGAAGAACTGGGCGATGATGCGCAGGCGGTTCGTCTCAAAACGGTGGATGGTCTCGTAGTAGTGCGCAAACGCTTCCTCAAACAGGTCGGTCCACATCCGGTTCAGCTTGCAGAACCGCTCTCCGATCATACCGTAGAACTTCTCGTAGGTCCTCTCCTGGCTAGCGCACTCTACAATCATGGTAGTGAGTTCGTTCTCCAGACCCTGTGGCAGGTTGATTCGCATCAGCTTGTGTACACACTCCTCGAAACCACCACTGCTCTTGATGGTTAGGTAGATTGTTCGGCGCAAGTTGACGAGATCGGCATTGGTCTGATCCTTGACGTCCATGGCTTTGATCTCTTCATCTTCCTCATCTTCAGATGACGCATCCGTGTATCCGTCATCATCGCTTCCCTCCTCTTCACCCAGGATTTCCGCCTTGATCTTTGCGTACTCCTCTTCGTGGGCTTCGTAGTCAGGATCGAATTTGAAAATGTTTAATCCATCCTCAACCTTCAAATCACCCTCAAGCGTATGGTTGTGAGTAATTTGGTCCTCCTCCTCAATAAGATCCAACTCTTCCCTCACAACAGGGTTGTCCTTGTACTTTGTGCGCCGCACTTCGAAAAGTACCTCGATCATGTATTGCGTGCGCTTGTCAATATCGGCTTCGTGGAGGATGTTACGCATCTGGTCAAAGATGGCGTTGGCAATGGCAGGTTTCATCTCGTCGAGAAAAGCGCCGACTTCCTTCATGATGCCGACGGCAATCTCAACAGAATCGTCGGAAGGCTTGTTGAGCAGGAGCAGGAGAATTTCCGCGATGAGGATTTCATGGACGACCTGGGTGTTGACGAGGTGGGAAAGGAACATGGTACTCGACAGGGCGACGGCCTTATCATTCCTCCTGAATCCCTTCCTGAACTGTACGATCAAACGACGAACCAGCAAATCGCCGACCTGGGGTAGTTTAGTATTTACAATGGCCACCATGGTTGCGTAAATCGGGGTAAAGGGCAAACTGGCAGCCTGCGCCTTCATGATGGCTCTGCAAAACAGACCCCGTCCGCGCACCAAGTTCTCGGAAAACAGCTCAGGCACAATCATCTTGATGTTGGCGGTGTTCGTCTTGTTGATCAGACCCTGGATCGACTTCTTCAGCGCCTCCCAAGCCATGCGCTGGAACTCTGCGCTCTTCTTATCCGTAATCGACTTTTGCATCTCGCGCAGGCGAGCGGGTGGGATATACGCGCCTCCAGCACGTGTCTTGGAGTCGTCAATCGGCAGCTTCCGGTTCGCGCTGAAGGCATTCTGGAAAAGCTTCAATCGAGAGTCATCCTCGGGCAGGTCGTCGGTAGTAGGCTTCGGCGCTGGGCGACGGCCAGCTTCTCCGTTGCGATGGTCATCCTCCTCATCTCTCCGACTTCTCTTGGATGGCCCAGCACTCGGCCCATCGTATGGCGAGCGCTCGCGTTTGCGCGGAACATCTTGCGCATCGACCTCGGGCTCTGGCGAAGGTGAAGGCAGTCGGACAGCAGATGCGACCTCCATGACCGCTTAATAAGAGGGTCGCGGGGGTGGGGGGAGGAAGGGTGAAGATGGGAGAAGTCAAAGTGGAGGCGTGTAAAGTGACGCGCCTCGCAAAAGTTTAGCCTGGAAGCTGGCCCAGCAATGCAGTTGCGGCGGACGGACCGCGGTTTCGCCGACAGGGGTCTGGGCTTGGCGCGTCTTCTCGGGAGAGAGGGAGGAAAGGGACAGCATGATGGTTGCAACCCAGTCTCACTCCTAATTAATTTCACTCGTTCCTTATTCCAACAAAACTTCGCAATGGTATGGGATTGAACATGCACGATCAAGAATAATGTAGACTAACTGCAAACAGGCCGATCGCCTCGTGGGTCTCAGCATGCTCGTCGCAGCGACTGCCGTCTTCGTCTACTACACCGTCTGGACACTGTTCATGGTATGACCACCACTTGAAGATTTTCTTGCCGCAACACACATACTAAGTATTTACAGCCCTTTGTTGATGACGACCACATCCTTCACTCTCTCTTCCTCCCACGCGTCTGGGCTATCCGCATCCCCGTCATCCTCCTTATTCTCGGTACCACCGTCGTTGGCAGCTTCGTCTCGGTAGTAATGATTAAGAGCAATCGCAAGAAGGCACTCAAGGCCCAGCAGAAGAAGGCATCATAAACGAAATCTAGCCCTAGATATAGACTGGGCTTTGGAGAATGGGGTGAAACCCATCACCCGTAAAAGGGGTCTCAGTGTAACACTGTAGGGTCGTTACTGGAATTGAGAGATGATAATATAATATTGACTTTTAGTCGTTGCCTTTCTAAAATGGCCTAATCATGGTGCATGTTATTGCAAAGATGTCACAGACTATGCGCCGAACTGCAAGCTCTCTTTTTTTTGGCTTTACCATTAGTGTCCCGTTCACATGATACTGCAGTTGTCCTCGGTGATGACAATTGCCTCATTGTCTTCCTCTCCTTCTTCGCCACCACCATTCCCAACACCCCCGACCTGACCTCTAGCCAGGTGTCTAGCCAGTTGCGCAAATACCGCCTGGCTGATGAAATAATCGTCTCTTTCACCCTTACGATCCATGTCATTCTGGCTTGTGATTTGATAACTCTGATGCATCCTGCGCCGACTAGCAAGTCCGCCAGGCATAACCTCGTCATCGCTATCACTTACTGCTGCGGTTGCAGGCTCAGTCTCGGTTTCAGCTGCGGCTTCAGTGGTGACGTTACGGCCACGGCGACCCCAACGGATGCTAGAGAAGGAAGAGGGGTCTGCCGAATGCACGCCTACGCCTTTTCGAGCATTGTGTTGGAGATGAGCATCTGGTGAGAATATCTTCACCGTGTGGTCAATGCCCGATACAGCTATGAGTGGTTCATAGGGATGGCCTAGGTACTGTTAGCTGGGCATTTGGCTGTGTGCAGATTGACAGACGTACCCTGAATAACATTCACAACCTCTCCATCCCCTTCCAGGATGTTCAGAAGTTGTGCTGTCTTTCGATCCCAAATGAAAACGTGACCTGAGTCGCTCCCGCTGACAACGTACTCGTCCTGAAGACCAAAGTAGTTGACATCTTTTACCGTTTTGACGTTGCAATGTCCCGTGTAAACACGGGTGTGAGGTGCACATGGCACGTCGCGTTCGACTTTCCATCGTTTGTAGCGACTGCGGCCAAAGTCGGTACGCCATAGCATATGCCCACTTCTTGTCCGCCGTAGTCCCTCTTCATCCTCGTCCTCGGAGTTCTCAGAATCTTCGTCTAATCCATCTTCAGAGTCCCCATACCAATCATTTTCGTCATCGTCGTCATCATCGTCGTCTTCATCGTCGTCATCTTGTTCTTCGTCTTCCTCGTTTCCTCCGGGATTCTGAACGATGGTGGATCTCGATCCTGTTGGGGTAGCCGAGCTTGGGGAACCGTCCTCCTCGTTTTCTGCTTCTTGGTTCGATGTCCTAATTAACTCTGCCTCACGGACAGGGCCTTCATCAATCAGGGGATCAATATCTGCCTGTCGTGCTCTCAGTGCTCTCTCCTCGGCTCTGATTTGTTTGTCCGAGATACCACGACCGCCATAGGCGCGATCCACGAAAGCAAAGTTGATGTCCTTCGAAGCGTTGAGCAGCACTCCCCTTCCAACCTGATATGCCCATCTCCTTTTTGCTGCACTTCGTGTTTGTGTAGGCTCCTCTGTCAAATTCGTTTCCGTCAAATCTCCATCTGTGCCAGTTAGATCTGCAAAAGGTATCTGCAGTGCCTGGCCAAAGGCATCAACTGCTTCAATCTCAGAAGAAAATAGAATTCGAGTGGCGTCCGTCTCAAACTTGGAGGCATCAGGATTGACAATGCTATCATCGCCTGCAAGGTTCATCAGGTAAGGAATCAGTTGCTCTTGTATGGCATCCATGTCTGCCCCATGCGGGAGAGGCAGACGAGCACTGCTACTTCGTCCAGAGAATCCCTCCACTACTGCGCCCGGACCACTATCAAGCCACAAGAGTATGGCTTTTAAGAAGTCATAACCGAAATGTTGATGCCGAGGCAACTCTCTCTCCCGTGGCGCCGGTTGGATCGATGCAAAGTACTGTGCAATCAAGGCATCTGAGCTAGACCCAGTTAACAGCTGTCCGCCCAACACTCGTGCCAACGTTCCAGCTGCTTGCACAAACCGGCGCGAAGCTGCCCTGCTGTCACGGAGCTTGTTTTGTACCGCCACATCGACGGGATCTGGGTCGATTGGATAAGTCCATGCCCGATCTATATCATCCATATCCGCTATTATTGAGTTTGCCAAGCCCAGGATGGAGGTGAAGGCCAATTGTAGCCCTGTCTCTCCGTGTTCACCAAGATCGAATATGCGCTTTGCTATCTTGACGGTTGTACTCGCAATGCGGTAATGGTCCGTGGATCGCAACTCGTTCAGTTGCTCCTGAGTTAGGCGACTCTCAGCAGGCGTTTGGATGCGAATGTCTTCACTTTGTCCATTACCGTATGTGACACGTAGTGCAAGATCATCTTCCGTACTATCGTTTCGTGGCCTAGATCCTGCTCGTTCAGCAGCTTCCTGCGACGAAGCACTCGACTTTGGTCGTTTGCGTTTTTTAACAGTGTCCTTGACCCGACGACCGGATGCACTACCTGATGCTTTTATTGGTGTTACATTCTCTCTCGCATCCGGACTTCTCAAAATGTCGAAGCTATAGATGTGGTCTTGAGACCAACTTACAATGAGCTCGTTTGGCTGGGCGTCACTTATCTTACATGAGGTGATGTGACCGCTGTCGCTTCTGCTCATGCGTTGCTTCCCATTCGGCGCGAACTTCTTGACACACTGTGTCGCCTTTCCTAGAAGCTCATCGTCGTTTTCATTCCAACTTGCTGGAGTGGAAAGTCTGGAACCGCGCTCACGATTGATGTCACGGCCAAGCATGCGCCGATCATGCAAGAAGCAATGAAGGTGTGCCCCGCCGAGTGCGATGTAGTGGGGCTGGCTAGGAGAACAAGAGACCGTGTTAAGATCTAGTCCATATCGACTGTACGAGATGAGTGGCGGCGGAATATCATCAGATGCGTCGTCGTCCCTTGCCCATGCCGGAAGCATGCTGTCTCGTGCTGGTGGATATGCCCTGGCTGGCTGCCTTATATCCCATTGCCGTACATCTCCATCGTTGGAGCAGGTCATGAAATAGAACGGGTTGTCTTCTGTGACGATCCTCTTCACAGTGTCGGTGTGGCAGCGGAATGCCTTTGCATTTGTATCGGCCTCGGTCAGTGTCACTCTGCTCCGTGCTGTGCCCAAGTTTCGCGCACCACCTGCTCTAGATGCAGTTCGGAAGGCCGAATGACCTGAATGCTCAATGTCGAATATCCTCACGTCGTCTGTTGCGCTAACGATGGTACGGTCGCCCGAGTAAGGCATAAACTTTACAGAGAAGATGTTGGAGCGATGGCCTGTCTCAATAGACGTGGTGAGGTTGAACTGGTCGGTCGACGATTCGGGGTGATATGCATGAATGTTGATGCGGTGGTCGTCGGAGCCGGTAGCGAGGAGACGGCCAGACTTCGACCAGCTAGTGATATTAGATACTTCCCTTGAATATCTGTAAATTGGTTTCTCACCTGAGGGCGTTGACGCATCCGTTGTGACCTTCAAGCTCGTTTACGATATCGAGATTATCGATCCATTTCCGGTCGCCGTATATTGATCGGATGTCTGAGTACTTGCTGCGCTCTTGACCAACCTCTCGCTTAAGCAGCCGGTCGTAGACTGTGTACTTCATATCGGGCGGTGTTGAGTCTTGCCAGTAGCAGCAGGTGCTGTGTGAAAGGCAACCCCAGAAAGTAGCGGAGAGACAGGAAAGACTAGGCGAGGCTTCTAGAAACACCTAGACGAAGGCAAAGCGAATCGGGGAATGTCAGTCAGGTGGAACAATTCGTAAATTCGACGGCTTCTGTGTGAGCATCTCGGCGCCCTGGCAGTAAAGTTTGGGGCGTGGTTGCGAGCGGCGCGTGTAAGTCGTCGCTGGAGGTCGCGAACGAATGACGAAAGGTGACTGGGCTGTCTCCACCACGTTGGTGCTCCAAGCTCTCCCCCGCGGCCTGCCGTTCCCCTTCCACGACCAATCACCGCCGACATATGTAGAGACTTGCGCAGTGAGATCGCAACCCTTGTTCAGGACCCAGGACACAAATGCCAGCCTGAGATGTGATGATGAACATATCTTACCACATTTGACATGCTTCTGGTTGTTCCCCACCTTGGAACCAACACATTTACGCCAAAGGCCATTATGACACGAGACATCATGGCATGACAATGACTGAGCATCATGAGCAGTGCAAGTAATTGCGCGACATCAAATTTTATTCGGTAGAACGTGGATATAAGGATTTATTTACATAAGAATCAAAGCAACTGCAACACATTTCACCACCATGCATGAATAACTCTTATCCAAAGAATTTACATGGCAAAAACAGCACCGACAGCACCAACAAACATCATGAAGCCGACACTGGCGCGGCTAGCAACACCCTCAAACTGCGGTGGCATAGATGGGAGAGGTGTGACGGGCTTGCCGGTACCAGTGGGCATGGGGACATACACGCTGGTAGCGTTCTTAGCAGGGCCGGCGGGGATGTAAGGAACACCAGCCGATGGGTAAGGCGCAGGAATGTAAGTAGAAACGGCAACCTTGCTGAGAGTCACGTGCATGCTGCTGACAACCTCATGCTCCACGGGCTTCTTGGGATAGCCGGTGCCAACAGGATACGAGGGGTACTCAGCAGCAGGCGAAGAGGCGGGCTGAGCAGCGGAGGGCACAGAAGGCATAGAGTGAGCTGGGTACTCAGGGGCCGCAGAAGATGCAGGAGCCACAGGGTATTCAGCGACCTTGGAGACTTCGGGAACGGCAGGGTACGCAGCCTTGGAGACTTCAGGGACGGCAGGATACGCAGCCTTGGAGACTTCAGGAATGGTAGGATACGCAACCTTGGAAGCCTCGGGCACGGCTGGGTATGCAGGCTTGCCAGAAGAAATTGGCGTGGCAGAGTACTCCGCAGGGTACACGACCGAAGGAGCAGAGGATGGGTACTCAGGCACAGCAGTAACGGTGGCAACGGGCTTGGTGATTGTCACAGTCAAGGTGCTGGCAGTGTATACGCTCGTGGTCCATCCCTCAGGAACATCGGCGGTGCCGGTGGGCTTCGCGCACTTGGTGCAGACAGTCGCAACGTACGTCGCGGTGACCGTGGTAAGACCGGTGGGGCAAACATCGACGTAGGTAGCTTTGAGAAGTTAGTATGTTTTTGTGAGGTTAAATGCAATTTTAAACTTACTGGTAACGACACTGGTGGTGGAGCCAGTGGGAACAGTTGGGTACTCGGATTGCTCAGGCTTCTTGGTGACGGAAGGCGTGCTGTCGTAACCAGTGCTGGACGCAGCTGGGTACTCTCCGTAGCCCTTGGAGCTCTCAGCGGGGTACTCGGCACCCTTGCTGGCAGAGTATGTCTCAATTGGGTACACTGCTGACTCAGTAGGATAGACGCCGTAGCTGGAGTTGACACCGGTAGGATAGGCACCGTTTGAAGTACTGCAGGAAGTTGAGGTCTCGCTACCTGAAGGAACAACGACAGAGCTGCCAATGCTCTCGGGTGCCGAGACGGTAGGGACAGATGATGGTCCAACAGGGGTGCTGCTGGAAATTTCAATAGAGCTGGAGCTAACCATAGTAACGCTGTTGGAAGCGGGAATGCTAGAGGCAGGAATGCTAGAAGCCGAGACGCTAGAGATGGGAGTGCTGGACACGGGGATGCTGGAAGCAGAGATACTAGAGCCTGGAGTGCTAGAAGCGGAAACACTGGAGGCGGGATAGCTAGAGGCAGGAATGCTAGAAGCCGAGACGCTAGAGATGGGAGTGCTGGACACGGGGATGCTGGAAGCAGAGATACTAGAACCTGGAGTGCTAGAAGCGGAAACACTGGAGGCGGGATAGCTAGAGGCCGAGACGCTAGAGATCGGAGTGCTTGAGGCTGGAGTGCTTGAGGCTGGGGTGCTTGACGCAGGAACGCTGGAAGCAGGGACGCTGGAAGCCGGAATGCTCGACGCAGGAATACTGGAGGCCGGGATGCTCGAAGCGGGAGTGCTCGAAGCGGGCGTGCTGGATGCGGAAATGCTGGAGGCAGGAGTGCTGGAAGGTGTGATTGTCGAAGAGACCACAGAGCTAGAAGATACAACAGGATGGTACTTGTCTTTGAAAGTACCCTGAACAGCGTACTTCATCCAAGTACCGTAGGACTGGTCGTAAGTCGGGTTGTTCTTAGAGACGGTCGCCTCCCAAAGCATAATACCACCAAACATGCTGTCGCCCTGGAGCGATTGAACAAGCATATTGGCGTCCTCTGGGGCGAGGTAGTGGTCCTTGTGTGTAGGAAGGCCATCTTCACCTGCAGCCAATCCAAGGTAGAGCTTAATGTCTGGGTTCTTGGAGTTGTTCTTTAGCCAAGAAATCCAAGTGTTGAAAGTGAATGTGCTCTCTGCATTGTTCTTCATGTCTTGTACAGCCTTGGCAGCAGAGCAGGTCCAGGTGTTGTAGAACTGGGTGAACAGGAAGTCAAAGGGAACCTCCTTGAGAGCAAGGAATATCCTAGCATCGGGGACAACGCACTGAGGAGCACCAGAAAGAAGCATCTTGGAGTGTGCCTTGATGTACTTGCCGAAGACATCGTAGTTCGCATAGAGCATGTCTGCGGACGGTACATCCCACTCTGCAGCTTCGAGGTCGAGATCGAAACCATCAACATAGGCATCACCGAAGGGACGGGGCTTGCCGGCAGCTTTCCACTCGGCGGTAGGGGGACCATAAGCTCCGAGCAAAAACTCCGCAAACCAGTTTGCAACATCTGGTGTTGGGAGATAGTAGTCAGTTGGCCAGCCACCACCGAGCGAGAGCATGACCTTCTTGCCCCTCCTCTTGCAAGCATTGATGGCTTCACCAACGCCAGGGCATGAGCTGAGTAGCTTGCTGGGCTGGTTGGTGGTCGGGTCGGTGTAAGTTGCATCACCGCAAGCATTGGCGTGGTTTGTCCCAGGGTATTCGCCTCGCTTCTTAGGAAACTTGTTGACGACTAACAAGATAGTTGTATTAGCAGTGTTCTACTGGTAGGTAGACCAATTCGATCGGACATTGGTCTGTCCTAAGCTCGACTGACAGCCGACTATGTCCATGACTACTTACAGCCAATGTTGACAATGTCTACGTTAGGATCCAAGCAGACTTCGAGCAACGTCATCTGGTTGCTTCCCTGTCCCCAGTAAACAGCGACATTTGACTTGGCGGAGGCATCGTAAGCGGCCGAAGCAGTAGAGGCAAGAAGCCCAGTTGCAAAAGCAACGCGTGAGAAGATTGAGGCGACCATGATTACAGTATTAACAGTATAAACGACGACACGTGATGGAAATGATAGGACGGCCAAAGGCCAGTAAAGATTGTGATGAGCGAACTCAAAGAAGGGACGCAAGCAAAAATGCTGCAATTAGGATCGGGGCTCGAAAGAGAGCGACTTGAGGGCGAACTGGAAAGCAGAGCGACTCACGATGAGAAAAAGTAGGAATGGGAGATTACACTATATCTACTCTTGGCCTCAAGGCCTCATGGCGTGGTACCTGCATGAGTGGCTAGTCACTGACCAGCGCCGTTTAGCAGCAGGCAACCATGCCATTGTGCAGGATGGGACGGCAAATCTCATGAAGCTGCAGGAACAGAAAGATGGCTGTCGATTCGCGCTTCCATTGGTGGGGAGGCCTTGGACCTAACTGCTTCAAGTCTGAAGTCAGGTACGGCGTCCAAGAAGCTGTGCATCTAGGCGAGCGCTAAATTTGAAAATGGGTTGCTTTTAGGAGCCCTGGCATATGATGTCTTACTTTAGACTGGCGACCGGTGGACAGGCCGCTTCCGGCCATGGGAAACTTCAATCTCGGCTAAAGCAGTATGGCCCTTTGAGTACCGACAAAAGGGAAGAGAGAGAAGACGCCACGACAGGATGGTCGGTCCAGAGTTCCGGAAGTGGCGTTCGTACTTAGTCCAGGCACTGGAAAGGCGTGATCCCGTATTCAACGGTGGGTGTTCTTGACGATATCACGACGAGTACTGTACCCTCATCTTCATGCCGAATTGGAGAGTTGACCAGGCACGCTGCAGAAGCCTGATGGATGTGCGTCGCGGAGGGAAAAAGAATGGGGCCGCGATGGCTGCCTGATGGCTACGCCTCATGGCGGCATATTTGGAGTGGGTGGATTTATCCGAATGCAGGAAGGAGTCCGAGTGATTAGATGTTGGATGTGACCTGGGAGGCGTCGGCTACAGGACAAGCGATCACAAGTCAGGGGCACCCGGCGCCAAACCATTCCTCTTGCGGAAAGGCAGGTCTGGCCCTGACACTGCCGTACAGCCCTTGGGAACAGATTCTTTCATTGCCGCCTTGGCTTTCTTCACACCCAACGGCCGGAACACATGCGCCTGGCCGAGGCTCGTCTAGTCGCGAGTTGTTGTTGGTTTCATCGAGTGGATATCAGACGGCCGACGCTTTTGATTGCGTTCTCCTTCACCGGCGGGATAGGGTTAGTGCAGCGGGCCTGATTATACATCACGAGTTCTTGCGGAGGACTCATAAAAAGGCAATCTACTTACCGTGTTGGTAACTACGATCAGTACGAGGTTGTGGACAATCAATCGCGCCCACCAGGCGATGCTGCAGACCCTGCGAGATCTATTTCAAGCCATCAACTGTGCTGGAGAGCACGACTCATCTGCACGCCGAATAATCCTGAAATGGGGGGCGGAACGTTGGTGGCCTGAGTAGCCATGACTTTTTCACAATGCCTCGTAGCTGTGTCAGGCGCGTAACTAGGACAGCCTACACAAGTCGTATAGACACCATTGCTGATCGTTGCCTGACTCGAAAGCGTTCTGAAATACCAGCAATACCTGGACACGATGCGAGCCACGTGCCCGTGCGCTAGAACCCACAGTTCGGCACTCCCTGGCGCTGTTTGTCGATCCTCATCCGGGCCGATCACGAGCGATAAGCTTCGATCGTCCTATCCATGTTTAAACCCTGATCTTCGATCGTATAAAGCTTACCATAGTTGTAGTGTTTCTTTGAGAAGTTGCCACCATGGCTAATGATAAGAGTCAGTTCACATCTTCATCTACGTCGTGCAAATGGGACTCAACTTGCTCGATTATGAAATTAGATTTCTTGAAGGGAGATTCGACTATCACATCTATGTATTAAACCCGTCTAGCACCCTTTGGTATCCTCCCTATAGTTTCCTCTTTTCATACAAGACTTCATAAATCATGGTATTGCTAAGTCTATGCGACGGCGAATCGGCTGCGCTCTCGTAGCTTCTTACCGAACTTGTACAAGAGGAAGATGCCAACAGAGCAGAGTACCATACACCCTGCCAACAAGCTTACACCTCCATCTATCCCAATGCCCTCGAACATTGGACGTGCAAAGAGAATGGCTGCAAATGCAAATGCACTTCGGCTCAGACTGTTCGCGCTGAAGATACTGGCTGCATAACGCGGGTAGATGTTCGGGATGTAGAGCAAAACACTCTGAGCGATGAAGTAGATTCCGAAGACAGTCAGACCGAGGCCGATCGTAGGTACGATCCAGTGAACAGATGGTCGAGATGCCCATGCAAACATGAACAGTCCGATTGCAATGATAGGGCTGGCAATCAAACCGGGCCACAGATGGTTTTCAAGCTCGCCAAATGTACCGCTCATCAAACGGGGGAAGACTCGGTACTTGAGGTACAAGACGTGGAAAGTGAATGCGAGTCCACAGCCTGGAAGAATTGAAAGGAAGATAAGGCCAGTTGTCTCGGCGTTGAAGTTATACATGGGGACGTAGACCAAGGGAAGAGACTGGGATGTGTTGGTGAGTGCGCTTAGCAACGAGATTGATGAAGTGCTTACCTCAAAGAATGAGTAGTAAATGCCATAACACAAACCCATGTATACCGTCGTGAACAAGATGGCCGGATCCAGAATGTTGATCTCCCAGGGCTTGACAAGAGCATCAAATAGCAAACTACTGACTTTCATATTCTTCTGCTTACGTTCCGAGTCAGACATAAGCTCCTGGTTTCCTGTCTCCTCGCGCATACGCTTAGCCTTGTAGTAGAGAATAGTGGGTCCAGAGCTCTCTGGCAGAACGAGAAGCAACACGAGATATACTGGTCCTGAGATGATGAGCAGCTCCCAGCTCGAGAAGCGCCATCCCAAGTCCTTGACGGCGTAGGAAGACAGTGTTGGGCCCAGAGCGGGACCTAATGTGGCGACCATAGCCCAGAGGGCGACGGCGAACGGGAACTCGGCCATTGTCCAGACATCTGCGAGCGACGCACCCGCAGTAGCGAGGCAGGGCGATGCCATGAAACCCAGAAGGAATCGCAGCACCATCAACCCGGCGAAGTTGTCCACTAGAGAAGTGGGTATACACAGAATAACAAACAAGAATCCCGAAATCGCATATGGGGGGTTCCGGCCGATAGCTGGAACCTCGGATAGTGGAGAAAATAGCAGACACCCAATACCGTAGCCGAGCACGTACAGTGCGATACCTAGTGAGGCTGCGACATGACTGACGTCAAATATGTCCATCACAGCTTGCTGCGAGGAAGTGTATATCGAAGATCCAACATAGACGGCGAAGGTGTAGACGCAGAGTATGACCGTCACTAGGATTTTGTGACTCCGAGGCCAGTTCTGGGGGTTGCTGGGGTCGTCTGGGCCACTCCAGTCTATGAGGGTGGTTTGATGTTGCTTGAGCTCTGTGCCGACAGGGCCCTCTGTGGGTACTTCTTCCTTTGGAAAGGGGAGGTCGTCTGTTGACGAAGATGGAGATATTGGTTTGGCGGGCTTGCGCGTGTAGTCGAACTTGCGGTGTTTGGCATAGTGCAATAATGTTCCCACACTAGAGTGCTGGAACAAGTAGGACGACATGACTGTGGTGGTATAGTGCCACGAGTATGCAGGACGTGTTGAACGCCAACAGAAAGATGTTAAGTAAAAGCTGATAAGGCTGAGTAGAACTTTGTAGTTCTGTCTCTCAAAAGGGGTAACACGTATCACGCAGGGAAGGTGCGTCTGTTCGATGGGAGCTTGGAAAGTGCTGTGGTATCAAACCAAGTTCCCTCCTGAAACCTTTATACTTCATTGTAGTTTCTATCTTTACTTCATCATCTGCAGGGCAAGCCACACGAGGGCGTCAGATTCTTACGTGACACGAAAACACGGCTAGGGATCAAACATGCACAGAAGTTTCCGGACCGGCCAAGCTTAGCAAAAACGAAGTAGATTTCATGTGTATCGTGGATTTCTTCCATGACACCCAGTTAGGTGACAACCTCCGATAGGGCGTATCTTACATTCCAGCACTTGAACCCTTGGCAAAGGGCTGATCTTAGGCAAATGTAGACGTCTATCCCTTAGCCATGTCTTCTGACGCCGGTTGATTCGTCGGATACTTTTCTGATAGTGCTTGAAATCAAGAGTCATAGTGGAGCCAGCGGAGGCAACGGAGTAAGCGGACATAAAGCGACATGGGAAAAGCAACCACACATCTTACAGTGAGTGGAGTGCCGGACGAATTGAGGATATTCAACGAATAGTGGGTGTGCACGAAGTGTGTATCAGTGTCTCGAAAAGCATATGAGCCCATTATGCTACCTATACCTACGATTCTGACCGTTCTGTAAGCGAGGCTGGCCGTCCTTAGTGCGTCCACAAAAGCAGTCAGATAACGCCCTTAATTGCTGGCGCTCACTGATTGCACAAAAAGGAAAAGAGTTTGTGGAAAACGCAAACCTAAGTTACTACAAGGTTTTGCTGTCTTTCCTCTACCAACCTCAACACCGTTGCATAAGCACACTAAACGCCCTTCCCAAAACACACAGTAGGTGTACCTCGCATAATCCAATCACAGACATTTATTCGAATTTGGTCCGAAGCCTTGGAAGAAAAAGTCTCCGATATTTGTAAGTCAACGGTTGTTTTCGTGGGCAACTGCAAGCCACATTTCGCTGACAAATGGCCACTAATGTGTCGGCGATCGCTTCTAAAACATGGCGGCTGAGGTGATATGCAGGATAAGCGAGGACGCAACCTGTACAGCGTGACCCTCTTGTTAAGCAGAAAGAATGAGATGTCAGCAAGGTAAAGTTTATGTATCTCGCTGTCGAAACGTCTTCCGGTTCTCGTCCATCCCCTTATCGAGCGTCAGTATTATACTGATAGGAGTCATAATGAATCATAGTGCTTCATAGATAGCACACTTGTCGTAACCAATATCTGTTAAGACGTTATCGGGGGTGCTGACATTGGTACTTACTAACGCTATATCCGTTATACCCGTGATGATCTCGGAACCCCGACGAACACGTGAAGCTGCAGTGGAGATACCCGGCGGGCTTTCGGTAAACGCCAATGCCCTAGCGGTCATGCACATCCTGCATAGTTGACTATAGAGCTGTCAGGTTTCTCCACACGCTATGGACTCGGGGCTGAGGCTCCAGACTTGACGTTATGACCCTAGAATAGTATTGCAAGGACGAACCGATGACCAAGCAATACATTTATATCTACAGGGCAAAGAATGAATTAATTCGAAAGCCGATTTCCGAGGCCGCTTGAATAGTAAGAGACTCAAAACATTATCGCGAACTGTTCAAGTTCCAGCCAAGGTATCTGACAACGCACACGATGGCCAGGAGATAAGATGTTAAACTCCGCATCGAAACATTAGTTCGATCAAATGTAAGATTTCTGCCAATACTATGACTGCCACCTCACCTGTCCGTCTGTCCTACTCGGGCCACCCAGAAACGCCTGATTCCTAGGCACGAAGCCAACAGCAGATGATATGCGTATCCAGTAAGAGTAGTCACTGCTGAGAAACATCACAAGCTCAAAAGTACTCGCAAAATCTCCAGTTTTGAAAGTAGAAGAATAAAATATATGCAATTGGTATCTTTAGTTTCCCAACAAAATTTCCAGAGCCTAAACGCCGTCGTTCCTCATGAAGCTTAGTCTAGTCGTAAATGGTCTTCCTCAAAGCCATCTTGCCCAGAAGCGCAAGATTTACTTTCTCTCACCCTTCCTTCCAGTCTTCTTAAGTCTAGCAGCAAGATCCAACATAGCGTCTGCCCAGACCGACATGCCTTCTTTATCCTTGATTTCATTACCGCAGAAATCCTTCAAGAAGGCACCCATCTTTTCCTCACCATACTTCTCTCCATAGACAACTTCTGCCGCCATGCTAACCTCAGTCTCCACACCTTCCTTGCCGAGATTGACTCCGAGTTCAAACGTAGCCTTGACCTTGGTTTGGAGAGTGGGAAGGAGCATGTTGGCAGCGATTGCCATGCGTTCATCTGACAGGATGCATTCCTCTGTGATGTAGCTGTGCTCTAGCCAGCGAACACCCTCGGCAACCGCAAGCGCAGTAGCCCAGCTGTTCTTGACAAGATGGAGAAGGGACGAGATGCGCGTCTGCGATTGCGGGATGCCGTGAAGGTGGGCGCGGATCAACTGAAGGAAGAAGCGCTTGCTAGTAGTCAGGGGACGAGGATGAGGTGTTGCCGAGTCTCCAATGTAAGCGAGGGAGATGGACCCGTTTGGTGTGTTGGAGCCTGTAGCAAAGGCAAATGGCACAAAATACAGTTCCAAGTCGTTCAAGTGAGTCATGGTGATGCTTGTGGATGAAGCAGAGGTAATGCTCCAGCCATGAGCTTGTTCCAGAGCAGCGACTTGAACTGTGTTGCTGTTAGTGAGATATCATCATTGATAGATAGACCGGACATACTTTTGAGATTGCTGACTTCACTCGTTGACCAGCCACGGCACTCTTCTCGCATGCGTTCGGCAGCCTTGATCTCCTCGATGCATTCAACCTTGCGGCTCTTGGCTGCCTCGATACGCACTTCTTTATCAGCTAGCTCTTTCTGAAGCTGTGCCAACAATCGCTTTTTCTCTTCCAGCTCAGCATCTGTGGCAGTGAGTTTCTCTCTTGTCTGCTCGAGCTCCTCCCGGTCGCAACTGTTCAGTTCATCGTGGCGCTGCTGTAACCGCTTGCACTCGGTGGATAGAAGCTCCTTCTTCTCTACTAAAGGCGGTAGCACAACATCAAGGAGTTGCTCCTGGTTGATCAGTGTAGACTCGTCGCGTTTGAAACCATCCATAGTATGAAGGAGACCACTCTTAAGATCCTGCAGGAGAGTGCTTCTCCAAGTATACCACTCTCCACGTGCTTCGAGGCGGGCATTGGTCTTGAGATTCTTGAATTGGTTGTCCATGACAACACGCTGGTCCGGGGGAGCAGTGAGGTATTCACTAAAGAGTAGTGGGTTCTCCTCTAGGACATTGGCCTCCATGGTGCGGACAAAGTGGCGACCATCTGAGATGTACTTCTTCATCTCGTGGCATGCGTGTTGATACAGTTCGTATTCAGGCAACGTACACGCACCGGCAACCACGAAGCGGTCCAGTGATTCTTCCTTCTCCTCTACTTCGACGTCGTGGAAAGCAGAGGGAGCAGCAGTATGCCGCCTCTTGGTCGTACTAAGGTCCATGAAGCGGATTTTGGTCATGTCTAGGAAGTCCTGAAGCGAGATGCGCTCAACCTCGGAGAAGTCTTCTGCAACACTTTCCTCTGCTTCAGGCTCCTCTTGCTCTTGCTCACCAAAGACGACACGCTTTCTAGGACTCATACTTTTCCGCGGTGAGGCCTTTTTAGGCGTTGGGGTCTTCTGCTTGGGCGTTGGCTGCTTTTGGGGGGTCTGGGCCTTCTTTGGTGTCATGCCACGCTTCACCGGTGACATCAGTGACTGCTTTCGTGGCGTGGACAACAGCTTGATGCTGTTGCTCAGTAGTGAAGTGCTCTTCAAAACAGGCTCCTCGCGTGGTGCACCTAGAGGACTGAATTGTACGGCAGACAATGAAGAACGACGTCGGTTCAGGATAGGAGCAGCAAGCGGATCGTCAGGTATCGCTTTGGGTGTACCTGTTCCTTTTTGGCTAGTAGGCGTTGCTATAGACTCCTTCTCTTTTGAAGCACTCAATGGGGTACGGCGCACAAACGGAGAAGGCTCGATTTCTTCGATATCCTTCTGCCTGACAATTTCAGGAGTGCCTGGATCCAGGGTCGGGTAAACCACATCTCCTGAGGTGCTGGGAGTAATGTCTTTCAAGACCTCAGGAACTGCCTCTGCCTCTGACCTGAGAATTGAGCTCCTTCTGCGTCCAGGTGATTTTTTGGCCGACAATTTTTGCGGAGTTGGTGTCTTCCCAGTTGGAGTGGGTGTGGCATCGGCAGACTTCTCTGGGGTTGCTGATGCCAGGATGGATCGCTTAATACCAGGTCCAACGATCTTGGTGAACTCCATAGAGAGGTCCTCATCTTCGACCTCCTCATCCTGCATGTCCTCCTCGATCTGTACAGGAGATTGGTTGTTCTTGATGTTGCCCATAGCTAGTGTAAAGTCCATGGTTGCATCTTCAACTGGTGTCTCAATGCTAGCACCTCCAGTAGATGCAGGCACTGGTCCTCTTACGATACCCCCGATTGCCATTGTAAGATCCATAGTAGCATCCTCAGATACGTTCTCTTGAGATTGTAGACGTTGTCGCAGACTGGCTCGTCGGTCCGTAGGTCGCTTCGCAGGGCTTCCTTGTGACGCTTCCAGCATGGATATTCTCCTCTTAAGACTCTTTCTCCTGTTTGCCGGCGCGTTGGCTACCATGGCCCGAATGCTTCCCAGTGGCATAGTCAGGTCCATGGTCATGTCTTCATCAATATCTGAGCTTGCGTTGTCGGGTTGCTGCTCCTGCTCCTGCTCTTGCTGCTGCTGTTTTTGTTGTTGGTCCTGGGGAATGATGCGACCCACTGCGCGTGTAATATCCATGCTCATGTCGTCATCCTCGGCCACCGTACGTGCTGGTGAGAAGGCAGGGCTAGCGTTTTCCTTGTCGTATTCGGTGACAAAACTCTTCTTTGCCCATGGTTTGAAAGCGGAAGTGATTTCGTCTTGGGCAATGTCCATGGTCATATCTCCGTTCTCGTCTTCATCTTCGTCGTCCAAGTCCAGCCTTTGAGTGGTCGCCTGGTTTGCAGCCTCACGGAGTGCAGCGTCTAAGCGAGCGCTGCTTTGTGAAGAGTCTTCTGTGTCCGGGGAGGCGCCCAAGTTCTCTGTCAAATCTTCGTCACTCTCAGAATCACTGCTGCCGTTGTTATCGCCGCCAGGTGACGCGTTATCTCCACTCAGAGGACTTGAAGAGTAGACGTCATCTGGGTTGTTGAAGTTCATGGGTGGTATTCCCGAACTTCTGCGGTTCTTCTTCTGGTGTTGCGATCGCTGGTTTGCAGGTGAAGAGCCGAGCTCAGGCTCAGGCTTTTCGGCCTGCTCTGGTGGTGTGGAAGGCGGCTCGGCGGGGTCTGAAGGAGGGGCAGGCGATGCGGGTGTGGATGCCTGGGATACGTTTGAGGCTCTTCTGGTGGCCTCTGACGAGGCGGAGGAAGTGGTCGCATCGCGCATGTACTCGACTACATCCCACGTATGTAAAGTGGCTTCTGGGGCAAACGAGACGCGTCGCCTTGCTAGTAATAAATTAACATCGTAACCACTACAATTTTGAGGCTGACAATCTTACCCAAAGACTTGCGACGGGCTTCGCGCCGCTTCTTCTCATCCTCGCCATTAGAGGCCAGGATTGACTTGACTGCGGGGATAAAGGCAGACTAGACAGTCAGCAACCTTTACATTCCTGATCGCATACACTCGACATACCTTTCTCCTGTTTCCCGCGGCCTCTTTCAGGGGTGGTGCTTCCAACTCTTCCAGACCACCAGGACCAATACTCTTGCTACGCGTCTTGCGCGCAGTCTTTTTGGGCGACAGCCCTGATTTCTTTGGTGACTGTGCGGGGGCCTTGAATGAGCCATTGGCGATGAGGCCGTCAGCGATATTATCTCGGGCGTCTGACTGCGCCATGGTGTGGTTGTGAAATTTGGAGTGTCGTTGTCGTGGTTCGGGACGGGAGTGTCGATGCATGTAAACACGACAAGCGCCAAACCAAACAATGCGTCGTCAGGCCCGTGCGCGCCCCCTCGTCTGATCTTATCATTGACCCCCACATCTTCAAACCATCGTCACTAAGTAAAACCTGAATTCTCTTATACTAACTTATATTGTTCTGGGTATCTAATTACAAATGAAAACTATCTATACAAGGTAAAAGTAATCTCAAACACAGTACAAAAACCATTGTGTATCCCACCCTTGCTGTTGGAAACGAGCGTCTTAAGGAAATCCGGTGTCTATGAAAACAGTCAAAAATCAAACCAAATCGAAAGTCAAAACCAGTCGGAAGTCAAAACTAGCCGAAATTCAAGAACGCTTAACCCAAAGACTCCTCCATACTCCCACTGGAAAACATCTCTGATCCACATCACCACCTCTAGTTCCCTCCGACAATCCGGCGGCGGCGCCATCCACTCAGCGGGCGAATCTCCTCCGTCTTCGTATCGCTAACACGGTGATATCTGCTCCATCGTTCATCTTGTGTCTCCCTCTCCTTCTCTTCAAAGCCTCCCCAGAAGCTATTTCGCCTGACCCTAGTGCGCTCCCGAGACAAGGACCGCTCACGGGTCTCCCAGGCCTCATCAATCCATCTGTCACTGTGATGAAGCGTCTCGCTAGGCCAGAGGTGAGACCCGTGAGAGTGGTGATAGGATGTGCTAGGTCGGTCCAAAGTAGCACTGATCCTGAGTCGAAGCGCACGGTCTTCTGCGTCTTCGTTATCGCTATGATGGTGACGGTCAGAGTATCGGTATGTGCGGTGTCTGTCGTAGCTGTATAGTCTCTCGTCGTCTTCGTTGTTGCGTGTGTCGTTTGACCAAATATTGTAGCGTTCCAGCTGAGAAGGTCGATCGCGAACCGTCAGGGCGCTGGAGATTTTGTTGGACTTGTGATTGGCAGGATATGGGTAGTCATCATGGCCGTCGTCGAGATCAGAGAGCGTGATACTGTGGTCGCGTTTGTGGGTATTGCGGCGCACAAGAGGGCGCCCATTGTAAGGCTCCTTTTCAGGAGTGCGCTCGCGCGCATGAGTGTGAGAGAAGTGCAGATAAGACATTGTGGTTGCCTTGTAAGGCTGCCTGAGTACTTCTGAGATCAGATGGTAATTGACTCGAAGAGGTAGTGATATTGAAGTTGTTCTGAGAAAGTCTGTGTCTGCAACTGCAGCTGCGTTGAGGATACTTATAGTTGTGCCAGTAACAAGAGGGTGAAGGACACTGTCGTGTAGTCACATCCTCTATATACCATCCGACCGCATGTCTCAACTGCCTACACAGTGAACGACATCATACCTGGCCAGCATGGACCCACACAACCCGTGGACAATCAAATAGCACCGCCTCTTTTTTGTGGCTCACCATCGTGGCTGATGCAGGTGATAGCACACTATGGTTGGCTGCGCCTCCTCTTGGGCGCCCTTTTGCATGAACTATGGCTTAGCGATAACGATCTCACCGCCAAACTATTGAGGCTTAACAGTGGCCTCTTAGCTGTTTGCACACTTATGAAACCCTTCCGTGGTGAACATGTGAGGGGTTGGTGCAAAAAAAGTTGCGGTCGCGGCAATGGGGCTGTGGCCTTTTGCAAGTGTGGGGGCCGGAAACTCGATGGTCGCAGGCCGGTCGCTGTGAGCAAACTAAGTGAACATGACGGAACCTGCCGATATTCGGGTAGGTGCCTGCAAAACTGCACACTTTTTCTCCCAGGTGTTCGTAACTGTTACTGAATGTCCTTGCTTTCAGGCAGGTGGCTTATTGTAGCTTGTAATGTTTCAATCATCATGGAATATGCTAGATCTCATTCGAGTTGGAGGTGTTTTTGGCTGACAATCGTTCGTTCAGGCTGACCAGACACTTTGACCCTCCTGTGCCCAGAGAATGGAGGTATGAGATGGAGTGTGGTATCAGGCGAGACTCCAGAGAGGCTATGCTCTGGTGTTGGTTGGGTGCGCCATTTCGCAATGCAAATAGCCAAATGTACCAGATATTCTCAAGGGCTTCAGAGAGGCCTGCGACAAACATCCATGGTCTGACTCAAGTTTGGTGATACTGGTCACCTGAATTCTTAGGTCGCACTGGTTGCCTGGAGGGACGCTGTTGATACCTTGGGGCGGTCTCCAACGCCACACCCTGGCATTCAATGGCGGTTCCAGGCTATGGCGGTTTGTGCTTTCAGCCCTAACGACAGCGCTTTGACGTAGTCATGTTATCTTCAAGAAAACGCGGCGCTAGGGCGTTCGCATGGTGGGCATCGCGTCCGTGCCTAGCTCTCCGTTCTCTTGCTTATGCTTCGTATCTTTTAGGCTCCAACGGTGGCCCTGACAGAAACATCAAAATCCCTTGAGCCTTTCTAGAAGGACATGTGCATGCGTTGACTTTTGTGTGAGGGGCAATGCGCGATGGTATCTCTCGAAATACGATATTGCCCCCTGATAAATTAGATTTTTAGGCGTCCAGCTCAGCAATCTTCCGTGTCATGCAAGATCTCAACTGTCTAGTCGAGTATTTCGTTGGATTTCTTCTGATGTGGGGATTACATGTTGTATACCACACCGAGGGACAGATTGAGGAACTCAGAGTGCAAGATAGTGTCAGAATGTGCAGTTCGCGATGTGGGGATAGATGGTCATGGGCGTGCGCGCTGGCGTGCCAATGTCCCATGGCCCTTGGCATGTGATCGCGCGCCATTCCTCGCTCTCAGGCTAGCTAGGATGAGGCATTGTCTGCGGCATAATTGACAAACTTCAACGTTTTCAGACCATGGCCGAGGGAAAGGGGTTGGGGCAGCTCAGAGCGCGAGAGGCCTCGTCCTTTGCTTCTCTATACTTGGCCAGCACCCACCGCAAGCTGTCGTACACAGACACGTAGCGCGCCACCATGTTGATGTTTCTACCGACTGAACTCCTGGCTCTTGTAGTCCTCGCCCGTGCTGTCCTAGCTTTCCCACGTATGTCACTGCTCGCCACGTAATACGATGATCAAGACTTACTTTTGCCAGAAATCGATACTCCCGTAAATGCTACGGCCACCATATCCATTGGCCAAACCAGCGAGGGCGCGTTGGAAACGCCATCGGATGACCTTAACAGCATACCAGACGAGTGTTTGGCCAATCCAAGAGTTTGTGGCGGACGGGAAAGACCAGAGCTTCCAACGGCCACAGGCTTTGACGACACCGATGTTGACAGGACCATCGTTGGCCCGTCCACTCCGACCAATGTGGTTCGCACTTCGAGTGTTCCAAAGGTTATCAATGTTGAGACAAATACTGTAGTTCGTGCTGGGACGAATACTGTGGCTCGTGTAGAGCCTGCTGCTACACCCAGCTCGGCAGCGGGTGGCCTTGAATTAGAGGAAAACCAGCCGGACGCCAACATAGTGACGCAAGACACGACTGGCCCGTCCGCTGCTACACCGAAAGAACATGCGGGTAGTCCCGCAGGGGATGTCCCATCTAGGGTTGTCTTGTCAGACGCGCAACAGGCACAAGAGGCACAACAGACACCACAGACAACACAGAACAGTCTGCTTTCAGACATAGTCTCGCGACTCGGCCAAACCCAATCTATTGTGCAGCCAACTCAATCTGATGTGCAACCTCCACGGCCTGATGCACAACCTACAGGGCTTGATGCGCAGCCAGCGCCATCCTTGTCGCGTACAACAGGCGATTCGGGCGAAGACTCCACCGTTGATTCTACTGGCAACTCTGCCGTTGACGCCGTGCCGCAAACAGACGGAAATAGCATCACGCCAGGACCAGGCATGCCAAGTGCCACAGGCACTACACCAGGAGCCATTCCCAACTCTATCACGCTCGGCTCAGCGGTAATAGCGCTAACGCCCGGTGTCTCCACCACCATCGGACCCAGCTCTGACCAGACGTTGGTTGCCATCACCACGAATGCTGCTGGAAGTACCCTAGTGACCATCAGTTCAAGCGGGGTCGCTGTCACCGCTACAGTAAGCGCTGTGCCAACTACCGTTACTCTGCCGAAGACGGGCTTCGAAGCAAGCATCACTGATGTTGCGCGTCCTGGAGTGGTCACTAGTAGACTGAGCACTACTTCCAGTACAGCTATGGCTGCTAATAACAAGAGGAACGAAGTCGGCTGGTGGACAGGTGCCATGCTGGGAGTCGTTGGGCTCGTACTCGGATTCTGAGAGTTGGATGCTGTTACCGACGATTTCTCTTTTCTTTTCTTTGCAAAGATCAATGGATCGAGGTATCCCAGTGCAAAGCAGTATGAATAGGGGACGCGTCCACACGCGTGATCACATGCGGTTTTCCCCGCGCCCCGCTTCTTGATAACCCCCGCATCGACACGTCTTGCTGGATACAAAACGCAGTTGTCCCTCCGAAGTCTCTTCCTACTGCTCCACACTTCTCGCTGTCCCCAAATTGAAGAAGGTCTCATATATACCCCCATTTCAACCATCTAAAGTACTACCTTGACCAACTTTTCCCACTCCAAGATACGTACGAGAGACCAACAACATGTCTTCTGAACCCGACAAATCAAAAATCACAACTACCCACAAGGCGGCGAAGGCTCAGGGGTTTCATAGCTTCAGGGCTTTCTTGGAGTCATATGGGCTGCGGGTTTGGGAACCAGACGATGTGGAGGAGGGAAAAGCGATTTTGAAGGCCATGGGATATAACATCTCATAAGAGATTGGGAGTCCGAAATACAGAAAGTGCTAGGTAATATGTTAGACCACTAGGAGCGATGTAAGGGATTCAAAACAACGGTCAGATGGTGCACGAAGTAGTAATGAAAGGGGGAACAGCTTAGGAACACTTAGTCTCGGTGTCTTATCAAGACTGGAGTGAACGACGCACATACTTATTCCATAACGAACAACATAATCTATATTCTACATCAGGAGATTCTCTATTTTACAAAGTATCCTATAAACCCCCCTTCCCATCGCTACTCCTCAACTCTCAACCCATACACCCTCAACTGCTCCCTCGTAACAGCATTCGGACTCTTAACCAACAAATCCTCTCCTCGCCCACTCTTCGGAAACGCAATAACGTCCCTCACGCTCTCCCTACCGCACATCATCGCCATCAGCCGATCCCAGCCCAGCGCGATCCCGGCGTGCGGAGGACATCCGCTACGCAGGACATCGAGCAAGTGCCTGAAATCCTCGATGCGCTCGGGCGCCATCTGGAGTATGTCGCGGAATATGAATTCTTGCATGGGAGCAGAGTGGATACGGCGACTGCCACCGCCGAGTTCGACGCCGTTGACGACGATGTCATAGTGGGCTGCTGTGGCTGCCGACGGGGAGGTCAGGAGGAGATCGACGTCTTCCGGTGTTTTTGGGGCGGTGAAGGGGTGGTGGGTAGATGAGAAGCCGGATGTGCCGCCTTGACCTGGTTCGGAGTCGCTTGAGGGAGTAAATAAGGGGAAATCTGTTATCCAAAGGAAGCGGAAGTCGTCTTTGGCGGGGGCGTCCACGAGGCCTTGTGATATGGCTGATTTGTGGAGGGCTAGTCGCAGGTTTCCGAGGGAGGTTGAGCCGCCGGAGAAGGGGGCGTTGGGGCGGGCTTGCAGGATGAGGAGGTCGCCGTGGTCGGGGATGAGGGTTGGAGGTCCTTCCATTGTGAATTGGTGGCCTAGGGGACCGAGACCGTCCATTGGTTTGGATAGGTCGCCGATGAAGACGCCGGGTTGGCCGTCAGGGTTGTCGAGGTAGGGTTTGCCGTCTGGGCTGTCGAGGAAGTTGGCGATGAATTTGCGAGTGATTTTTGGGTCTTCGGATATGGGGATCTTGATAGCGTCGACGGTTGGGTTCTCAAGCGGAGTGATTTTGCTGATTAGGTCGGATGTCAGGTGTTGCGTGATGTTGTGTATCTGTACATGTCAAGTTTAGATCTATAGGTATATCAACATGTGTCTTACCTTGGACTCGTAACGTAAGTCTGGTTTGTCAGATCCATACAATGCCATTGCGTCGTGGTACGTCATGCGTGGGAATGTCTCGGGAGTCTTCAGATTTAACACACGCTGCCAGATTTTCCTCAACAGCCTCTCTGTCTCTCTCATGACATCTTCTTCGTCTGCAAAAGACATTTCCATGTCAAGCTATATATCATTGTCAGAAGAGAAAGATGCATTCATGCAGGGAAACTGACCTGCGTAAACTCAGGCTGCCTATCAGCCCTGAGATCTTCATCGCGGAAGCATCGGGCAAATTGGAAGTACTTAGTAAATCCAGAAGCCATGAGAATTTGCTTATATTGCTGAGGACTTTGTGGCAATGCATATGCAAGGCCCTTTTGACGTGTTGGTACAAGAAATTCTCGCGCACCCTCGGGTGTCGACTTGAAAAGAACGGGTGTTTCTATCTCTTTCCAATCGACTTCAGTCAAACTCAGTCTTGCTCTAGCCATGGCCTTTGATCTCAGAAGGATGTTAGAACGCAGCTCCGAATCTGTGCGAAGTTGCAAATGCCGCTGATCTGGTCCGAAAACAGTGTCGTTCTTAATAATTATATCGTTAGGAATTTCATTGAGTGGCTCTACGCGTGTTACAGCAATTTCCCGAGTAGTGACCAATTTCATGCCGAGGAAATGATCGTCTTTTGCTGGTCGGCGCTCTGCAAGCGTGCCTCTTACGATGACCGGAGTCCACTCTTTCAATGAGCGGAGGCGAGCATGTGCTTCGGCTTGTTCTCCTTCTGGATTGTTCGAGCTGGAGACTAACTGGATACAAGACGTCTGGTTCTTGTTCCGAAGCATAGTAAACGAGAGCTTGCTGCTGACATCTCGTCGAGTACTAATGTACCCAAGAATTTCAATTTCCTGACCAAGCTCATGGTCGGCTAATTTCCCGTCGTTCCATGCATTGTCGAGTTTCTCCCATGACGAGGACCGGACTGCATTTCAATAAGTGCTGGAACTGGACTTGGTGGGGCGAACGTACTGGTCGCCTTGAAGTCATCAAGCGTCTTCCTGAGTTTCTCATCCGGTAAAAAATTCTCTTGAGTCGGCTGCAACGTCTGAAGGCATCGGATTGAGATTGGCAAACCTGATGTTACTCGATTCGCCGTGATCTCGTGATGGCGTGGTCTGAAGAAACGGGATATTTCCACATAGGAATTGCGCAAGCATGCACCCCGATTTGCCACATGCTTTGATGCATGTAGGAGACTCATTCTCATAGATGCCGCCCGATTGGACCCTGAAATTGTTTAGATGCGAAGATACTGGTTCAATGCCTTTGCTGCCAAATCTCGATATGCTGCCAAGGCCGATATCTCACCAAGCCTCATTTGGATTAGCATGCGCATGGGCCATTGTTCGGAGCTTCAAAATCTTTCTGTAGCCCTCACCCGACTTCCTCTCGCTATCCCTCCAGTTTATAACATGTAAGCGCCTCTTTTTTCAAACAATCCCAGAACCTAACTAACAGCGCATTCTAGATGATGAAAGCCTAGCGTGTATTAGCTGAGCAGCTCTCCTCATCCGCCTTCGAACTCTCCTCTTCGGAGGCTTAAGTGGTTCGCTGGTAGATTTGGATGTGGCCGCATGACTTCAGCGTTCGGCACACCCACCTTGTTACATAACGGACGCTTTGACGGCATCTCTGATTCAATAAACTGGTCGGTGTCAATTCTACCGCGATTACACTCGCGCGCGACAAAACGATTGCGATCACGGATACGAAAACAAAGGCGGAGCATTCTCACTGCGAAGGACTGCCGTGTACATAATATTTTGATAGGACAATGAAAGAGTTTTATTTTTCTGCGTGGTGCACCTTTGTTGGGTGACGTTGGAGGAATGAGTAAGAGACTGTAGCCCTGAGACATTCGCCAAAATTACTGCGAGAGGTATTGGAGTTGCCAATCTCTTACCTACTCTCCGAGACGGCGATATATGAACGCAGTGTCAATTACCCCTTCACTATTTCTTCATGGAAAAAGGGGCGTAACACATTTGCAACACATTATCATGACGGCAAGTCCGTTAGCATTGGGAGCTTGAATGCTTCATTTCAGTCCAAACTAAGACATGCCTCAAAGCAGTGAAGTCAAGTGACTTTAGGAGGTCTTTACATAAGGCTAAAAGATTTATCACTGGTTGGATCACATTTGTGAGGAGGCTGGATAGTTTTCGCAACTTCAACAGAGAGAACATGCCATGCAAAGAATTTTCTATTTTAGAACGCATTTCCATTCTCAAGTGCCACCATTTCCATTTATTCCTTGTCCTACAATGGCTCTGTATAACATGGTATTGAGCTCCACGCAACTGTCCTGTTCTAGAGGAATAAATGCTCGATCACGCTCAACAACGAGGAACATGCATCCCAACCTTTACCTCCCTCCTCTTTCCTTTTCTTGTGAGACCACGAAGCAATCTATAACTCGCTCTTGACAGGACCTCATCTACAGGACCGTCGTTAGCACTATGATTGTATACGCAGACCCGAACGTCAAACGACTACAATGACGAAAACGTCCGTACAGTATCGATTGTAAATTGCATGCCACACGGTCGCCACAGGCCGTTCTCTGCCTTGATGCAGTACTCATTGATTATCTTCGCCAATACCTGCGTAAGCTACAGATGCCGCAGCGACGCCGGAAGAATCTGATGCGGATCAACTGGATCCGGGTTCAACAACCCATCCGCAAACACAAGATGATCGATACTTATGCGCAGCGTATGCAACTTCGTCAGCCCCACAAGCGACCCGATACTAAATGGCCACGTAATTGTCGAGTCCTTCTTCATCCGCATCTCCAGCACCTCCAGCAACGGCGTGTACTGAACCAGTCTCCTACCCAACACCTTATAATCGAAGGTTCCGCAGAACCAACTCAGGTCATTCAACCGGTGCCGCAGATCCTGTGTGCCATCTAGAGTCAAGTGCCGGAGATTGGCGAACTGGCCAAGGAAGAAACATCGCATCACGTGTACAGGACTAACCGCTACATCGCGCAAGTCCAGATGCTGAAGCGCCAACGGCGTGTCATGGTGCAGATCGATACCATCAATGCCCCAGCCCGGGAGCCGCAAGCACTTTACAGAGGGCATAACCGACATACAGAATGTATGACCGGCCTCAATACCTTGAGGCTTGATTTCCGCGATGCATAGGTCCGATAGTTTAGCGAAGGGCTGTTGCTCCTGCTGTGTAGCATCGACGGGATAATCAAACCATGAAATACCGAGGATTTCTCGGCAGTTTGCCAGTGGTTCAGCGCGGGTAGCGGTTAGGTTGATAGTTTCGATGTTCGTGGCTAGGGTGAGGAAGATGGCGAGGAAGGAGTCAAGGGAGGAGAAGGGGTTGTACGAGAAGCCGTGGTTGAAGGTAGATGTAGATAATTCTCGGATGAAGTAGGAGTACGGAAGAAAGCCTTATAGTTTTTGTAATAGCGCGTAGAAGGCGAGGTTGTTAGCTTGATATAGATGGTTCCATGCCTCGGTCTCCTGCTCGGAGAGAGTGTCAAAGACGCAATCCAATAGGTACTTTCTCTTTGGTACCATTGTGAGACTGTGTACGTGCTTTGCAGGGTGTGGTTACGATAGGGTGATCGTGAAAAATTGCTTCATCTGGATGGTTGACATCTGAATGAAAGAGAGGTCGCGATATAGAATTGGCTCCGTGATGTGACGGAAGTACTTGGAGACCATTGACATGGCAGCCAGAGATGAACGGTCATTGTGTAGATATTTCAAAATCGTTGTGTCTAACTCGGTTGGCAGTTTGAAGAAAGACATGTTTGTGAGTTTTGAAAGAAAGTTTTAATCGAACGTGGGTTGAGTGGGGTTGGGTGGGATGTACTGGTTTACCTTGGGTGGGCGGGTATATAAATACGGGGCGGGAGGAGAGTTTACGCAGTGAAATGCGAAAAATAGCCCGTGACCGGTGATCATACTGAGGTGAAGTGAATTTGGTGTCTCATTAGCGCTTTCACTGAGGTGAATTCAGGTAAAGTGACAAGTGGGACACTTGGAAATCCCTTACTCGTTTTGTTTGATGAGACATTCTGTGGATAAGAATGGCTGCCGGTGACAATAGCTCAGGTGGTCTTTGTATTGGGTCACTGCCCTGTATAGAACAGGAGCAGCGTAGGTATCTATATGGTGAGCCTAGCTCGTAGGCTCACCTCAGACTAGTCTAAAACAGAAGAAATGGATAGAAAAGAGCTCGGTAACCCGTGTTTACCTACGCAACACATGCATTGTGCTTTCTCTCTCTTCTCTATGGACCGAGATACTAGAATAAAAACAGTTCTCATCAACATAAAGGAGATGTTTCCACTTAGTTGCCTTCACTACATCATATTCAAAACATGATTATTTTAAATGGTAAAGTACTTAAATTTTACACATAAATTGATATACCATGAGAAAAGATAGTGTAGTTTTATCAAGCTAGCGAGACATTTAATAATGTTATGAACAAATCTCAAACAGCTAGAAAAAGTTCGCAACACAACAACCTAGAAGAAGATAACTTCCAGCAACGGTGACTCAGGTAATACTTGTATTGAACCACTGCTCACTATAAGAGAGAATAGCTTGGATGATATAACATGTGCCCACAGGCTACTCTCACTACAGAGTGACGTGGCAATAGAGAAAATGCAATCAAAGGCGCTTGGTAAGCGGTATTTAGATGCGCGACAAATAGAAACTATCTCGATGTAGATACAGGGCCCACAAAGAAGATTAAATATCCAGGATTGTTCGCGATTGCCAGATCTTCTCTCACATTACCCTGCCTATCTATTCTCTAGAGTTTGTTTGCTTGCATCTTCGTGAGCTCTGCTGACCAGAACGCTACACAAGTGACTCAGGCACCGGACCATCCCAAATACTCACACTCGGAGACTGGGGCTTAACAGTATCATTAACTTCCTTGGCCTGAATCATGTGTTTACGAAAGGGATTGGTTGACTTTGACTCCCAGGAAACAATCGAGGGCGACTTGACCGGGCTCCCACCTCTGCTGCTTCTACTCCGCGTAGACGCGTGATCGCCATCGTCATCACTATGGTCATAGCGAGCGAATGTGGTAGCTCTAGAGCTTTGCTTGCCTTCAGTGTCTGTGTCGCTGTCAGGGCAAGATGTATGACCGCCGTCTCCCGAGTAAATCGATGCTGTCGAGGATACTGATGGCGTATACGGTCTATCAGTCCGGGGTGACGATGCTTTCTTGGTTCCTTTGTCGTAGTGCCATTGGAGCTGCCGATGTCGTCGTCGATAGTTGTTCTCTCTCATCAGAAATGATCTCTCTACAAGGCTCTCAATGTCTTTCTATATCATATTAGACCCGCTTCCATCGACAACACCCGAGTTTACTCACATAAGTAAGCCTTCCGTCCAAGACGTAGACTCCCGAGTTATTGGCTTCAAATTCGAAGCCCAACTCAATCAGTGCGTATTCCTCCACAAGAGACTTTTGTATGATAATAGTCTCCTTGGAAGATGATTTTGAAGATGGGGAAAATTGAGGCTTGTAGTCTGGACTGAAAAAGTAGGCATGCACGGGTTGACTTCCGAGAAAGTGTGTCTGACCTTTTTCTGAGTGGAGTTAGCACAATGAGATTGAAACACTGCAAAGGTCTCCTACCAGAAGTTCGCGTGTATGCCGGTCTCCACCCAGCTTGTTTCATGGTCAATAAAAGCTCGCTCCCCAAGCTAATCATTGCCGCTTCCCAGAAGATAGTACTTCGCACCAATTGGTCGCCCGATTCATCGTAGTTATAGGGTATTAACTGATTGCCAGGGTCTTCTTCCGGGTCCTCAAAGGTAGAGTCAATGCCATGCGCAGCAAGCGATGTCTGGAGCTTTGCTATCTGTCGTGATGCTCGATCAGCCTCTGCTGGGAAGATGACCAGCTGCTGGGAGGACTCGGTCGCATTAGACATATTCCCGGTTCCTATTGATGCATGTGAAGACTGTATAGACGAAGTAGAGCTGCGAAAACTATTGTGGCGTGAGTGCCGTGGACGCTGGGGCTGGGCGCTTGGAGGCTTGAGGTTTGTCCCAAACTGAGCAAATCCATGCTGCAGGCTTCTCAGATGTGATGAAGATGAGAGAAAAGGATTCCGCCTGTCAGTTGAATACTCCATGACATCAACACTACGATTGCCTTCAGCAATTCGAGTTCGACGTATCGGTTGTTGAGCGTCCTGCTCTACCTTCAACTGCTGCTCTTGAAACCCTCGCAGCAAATCTTGATAACGCTTGATCTCTTTTTGGTGATTGCGTTCAAGTCTTTCTCTTTCTTTAGCTGCCCTTACTTCATTCTCTTTTTGTGTTTGTCTCTCTGCATCTCTTGTTTTGGCTACTAATGCTTGCCTCTCAACCATCTCTTTTATGGCGGAATCTCTCGCTTCTTGAACCATTTTCTCGGCTTCTTTCTTCCAAATAGTTTGCAATGCCACCTCTATACCCCTTTTGTCTTCAACAATGCTTTCGAGTTGCTTCAATCGTTCGTTGTCTTTGTCGTGCATTGCTTGCATCAGTTTCATTTGAGCTTCGATGGCTGCATTGGCTCGCTCGCGTTCATTCTGTGCTTCACGCTCTTGCTGTGCAGTCAATAGTTCCATCAGTTTCAGGAAACGTGGCTCGTTTGGATCCAACTGATTGTCCTGTCCTCGTTTCTCCAGCAATTTCTCTATCGCGATCACGATGGCCTTCTCTTTCGCCGCTGTTTCAGCTTCATTCGACTGCTTCTCTGGATAGGCACGAGCAGGAGGAGGAGGAGGAGAAGTATGAGTATCTTTAAATGATGTATTCGGATGGTATTGACTTGGCGGTGGTTGTGGAGGAGGCGGAGGAGAGACATAATGGGGAGGTGCGGCAGAGGACCGATAAGCCCGAGGGTCAACAGAATGGTTGAAGGGATTTGATGGCCCTTGTTGAAATGCTGAGACCGGTTCCTGCCATGATGGCACTTGTTCAAAGTGGTCGTGCGATGGAGTGGATTTCGGATCAAATGGATTGTAGCTGGATGTGGTTGTGTTGGAGAAACTACTTGTAGGTTTACCCTTGGTAGAAGTAGTCCGGTCTTTGTTGAGATTATGGACTCTGGATGTAATGCTTTCGTTATCAGTATATGAAGCTTTTTTGTATCTCAACTGCCTTTGGTGGTGAGGAGGAGGGCGCGAACGCGAGCGTGAGCGCGAGCGCTCAATAGGTGACATGTCTTCTTTCCACCTAACCCGGTGCTCATCAGATGACCGCTTTGGTCTTGCGCGGGCAGTTGTGTAAATGTGAATAATGGGCTGATCTGACCGTACATCGCGACGTACCGGCGACTTCCCAGGTTTGAAGGACCATGAATCATCATCATCGTCATCATCCGGTTTAGGTACACTACGGCTGCGGTGATTCCTGGTGTTACTGTGAAAATTGTATGTTGGCATAGTGATGCCGCTCAAGGAGTCATCATCAATACTCTTGAAGTCTTCGTCGTCTGATTTCACAGGCTCGTTCTGTAGTTCCCACTGATCGAAAGATAACTCATCTTCCTTTTTCACCTCTTCAATGTTCCTCAAAAGATCTTCTCTCCATTCATCGTCATCTTGGTTAGCCGCACTATGAGTAATCTGATCGGATGATAGCGTAGTCCAGGAGGATAGAAGCCTGTCTACAACCAAGCTAGGTTCAGTTTGCTTATTCCAAACAATCAAAGACTTCTCATCCGAAGCCTCGTCTTGTATATGAGAGGTTGAATCCTCTTCAGAGGAAAGAGATTCATCAGCAACAGATGCCTGGTGATCCTCACACGTCTCCGCATCTGCTTCAGATGAGTAGGGTATGTCGGGACTGAAGACTAGATGATACAGCCATGTTGCAGTGTCAAAAGAGCCCTCTTTCCATATATCTAATTCTGCATTAGTGTATTTTCGTTTTCCGGTACCAGAATCCTTGTCGTCCTGTTGCGCGTTCTCTACCACTTTGCGGTTGGCCTGAACGGCACTCTCCACCACTTTTCGAAACCGATTGAAATTTGTTGGAAGTCCAACTGAAATACTGGGATCAGTTTCAGTATGACTACATCGATTAGTGAATTTCTAACATGCGACGAAATGACGAGACATACGGGCGAGTGAATTCTTCTCTCGCAAGGCGTATAATGTTCAGTTCCAAAATGAGGGCGGTTTTGATGCCTTCAACCTTTTTCAAAAGCCCCTTTGCTTTGGGTTTGTTGATGTACCACTGGAGTCCTGCCAGTTTCCGGGGCGTGTCTATCAACTTCTTGATCTCGGCATCGACTTGTTTGTACCGTGAAATTATGGTATGGGTATTTCTAAAAAGCGCTGGCTTGCACAAGTCCCGATTGGCGCGAATGATATCTGCGAGTGTCTGCAGACTCTCGGAAACCAAGGAGAATTCCTCCGCTGTTGCTGTTCAGAAAGCCGTCCCATACACGTAAGGCTGAAATACCTACCAATATCCGCAATCTGCTTGGGGGCGTTCTTGATTGTGTGTGCTACATCGAATAGGGCAAGCGAGAGTTGAGCTGCACTCGCGCCGATGGTGATGGCCGACGCAACAATGCCAATGGCTTCGGCCATTTGAGTGGGTGAAGATGTGAACGACGGTTCAGCGACCGTGAGGAAAAGGATTATGTCCTGAAAGCCATAGGTGATGGCTCTGTGGCTTACACAGCCTCCTCACAGTGGTCCTGGGGGCCGAAACTCGAAGTGGTGGGTGTGCTGCAGGCTGACACGCATCAATTGGTCGACAGAACCCAGAAGATGGCTCTGCAAGATATATAGTTGCATTCAGCCTAGATTGAAATTATGCGACGTGCAAAACACAGCCGCAGACACTGCTATCAATCGCCATGTTGTGACACGATCTGATCCCGTGGTTTTATAAGCCAGTTATCGAGAACAAGCTTCCGGGTTTGGATATGATAGTATCATAGCCACGGCGTCTATACATAGTAAAAAGCGGCGACTTCTTGTCTAATAGTCTCTATCGATCGGTATACTAATTCCTGACTGGTGGCTGTGGCTGTGGCTTGCAGTGAGATGGTCAGTAAGTGTTGTAGTAACTAATGTTAATGGGCGATGGCTGAGTGGCTGGTGCCGCGGGGCCTTGGCATTGCGTCCATGTGCCTTCCAAAAGTTCATCATCACCTCCAAACCGGCCGTCTGCTGGAACTCAAACCCCCATGCCGCCATGAGCTTCCGACCAATACTGCCCCGGCCAATTGCAGTGCGGGATACAAACTCAGTATGCCTGCGATGCTGGTGGAGGCTCGCCAAAGCGCCGCTACAGTCGCGGCAGGCATTCTCGTCGATTTCGTCGTATAGAGCGAGCGCTGTGACTGCCGGGAAAGACACCAACACCTTCACCAAAGGCTATTTCCAAGCAAATCCGTTATTAAAGGATTCATTTTGGACATCGAAACATCAATTGCAGAGTTCAATTGTTTCAATACGATCGGGAAATGGGCAGCAATCGAACAAGGAACATGCCGCAGTCACAGCAGAAGAAGTCCTCCCACATAGACGGCGGAAAAAGGCAAAAGAACAGGCAATGGAAGACTCGGAGACTGCCTATCCCATACCCCACGATGCCTCGTCGAAACTGGCAAACATATCCTCGAGTCTTCCGAATCAATCCCTAAAGCGCCTCTTAACCACCTACCTCTCACTATCGAAACCCCGCCTCTCCTTCCTCGTCGTCCTCACTGCTACCGCCGCATACTCCTTATACCCCGTCCCCGGGCTGCTTGCCCCCGCCGCAACCGCCACACCCTCGCTCTCAACCCTCACACTCTTCTTCCTCACATCGGGCACAGCGCTCTGCTCAGCCTCCGCAAATGCCTTGAACATGCTCATGGAGCCCGAACACGACGCCAAAATGAGCCGTACGCGCAACCGGCCGCTCGTCCGGAAACTCATCAGCCCACGCGGGGCTATTGCGTTCGCCATTGCCTGCGGCGTCTTCGGTACCGGCGCGCTATATTACGGCGTCAATCCTACCACGGCTTTTCTCGGCGCTGCAAACATCGTCCTCTACGCCGGCGTCTACACGCCTATGAAGCGCATGCACGTGCTCAACACATGGGTGGGCGCCGTGGTCGGAGGAATCCCCCCGTTAATGGGCTGGACAGCGGCAGCGAACCAGTACGCTCACGACGGTACATGGCAGGAACTGCTGTTTGGCGAGGGCTCCGCTGGCGGCTGGCTCTGCGCCACACTCCTGTACGCCTGGCAGTTTCCCCACTTCAACGCGCTGAGCTGGTCTATCCGCGACGAGTACCGCAACGCGGGGTATCGCATGTTGGCCTGGGTTAACCCCGCGATGAACGGGCGCGTTGCGCTCAGATACGCCGTTCTCATGTTTCCAATCTGCATAGGCTTGTCGTACAGCGGTGTTACCGACTGGAGCTACGTAGTAACCAGCAGCGCAGTCAATGGCTGGATGGTGCTCAAGGCCTGGCAGTTTTGGAAGGCAGAGGGAAACAAGGGGACAGCAAGAGGCTTATTCTGGGCGAGTATCTGGCACCTTCCCATTGTCATGGTGTTGGCTATGGCGCAGAAGAAGGGGTTGGGTGAGCGGCTTTATAGGAGTGTGTTTGGGTATGCGGATATTGATGAGGAGGATTTGTATTATGAGGCTGGAGAGTTGGAGGAGGAACGCAGGCAGTTCGCTATTGTTGAGGGGAGGCCGAAGGCGTGAGCTTTCATGATGGACTCTTGAATGCCAGGCCTTTTTGCTTGGCTGCTCTATTAAGGGTCATATCTCTCCAATCTTTACTGTATTATACGCATTTGGATGCTGCATGTAGGAAGGAAGATTTTATTGCCATATGCAGTGGAATGAATGCCTTAGAGGTCGTCTTTTATGACGCCATTCTAACTTCTCAATCGAATGTCATGACGCGTTATACATGTTTATTTCTCATCTTTTATATACTTATTTAGATTCTTCAGGTGATTGTATTTCAAGGCACCACCAGGACGCACAGTAATATATACCCCCTTACTTCGTGCTAGAGCTAGCATGCGACCCCCCATGCTTCCTCCGACTCGAGCTCTTCTTCTCCTTCTTCTCGCTCTTCTCGCTCTTCTCGCTCTTCTCTGCCTTCTCTGTCTTCTCTGCCTTTTCAGGCTTCTCAGACCTCTCAGGCTTTTCGTAGCGCTCCGGCTTCTCCTCTTCCCTTACTTCCCTGACTTCGCGAACTTCGGCTTTGCCGTCGATACGTCGTACGATGCGGACAATGTCGTCAGCGCGCTCGATGGCGACTTCGTGGCCGACACCGTCGAGAACCTTGACGCGGACGTTTTCTTCGCCCAGTGCGGCACGCGCGTCCTCGGTTATCTCGTCGGCGATGATGATGGGGTCTGTTTCGCCGAGGACGAGCCAGACTTCTCGTAGGGGGCCGGCACGGGATTCGATATTCTCGCGGATGACGTTCCAGCGGTCGTGCTGGTTGAAGACGGGGGCGTGGCGGATGGTAGAGATGAATGCTGGGATGAAGCCCTTGTGGTTTTTGATCTGCCAGTCTACGACAGATGAGACGGTGCTATGTGGGTTTCCGGGCAGGAGCATTTGGTTGCTTGAGACGTAGGTTTTGTCGCCCTCACTTCTGGTGGTTGTGGTTGTGGTTGTGGTCTCGGCGTTTTCAATGGCTTCGGGATCAGTCTCGACGGTTTTGGCGCCGGTCCAGAGTTTACTTGCGACTAGCCTGCGGACCATCCATTCGGGCATCCATGAGCTATTGTATAGCATCTTGCTTGAAATTGAGGCGTGAGACTTGCGGATCAAACCACCTGGGGCGACGAGTACAAGGCCCTTGACCAGGTGCGGGAAGTAGGATGTGAAGTCAACAGCAATGGCACCACCCAACGAGTAGCCGACTATGGTGAAGTTCGACCAATGCAGTGATGATGACTGAAGGGCAAGCATGATTTGGGTCGTGTAGAGAGTGGCATCATAGTTGGTAGTCTCAGGCGAGGGACCATCCGAGTATCCACGGCCAAAGAGGTCTGGTCCATTGGTTAGCCTTGTTGTGTTATGTGACAGAAACAAAAAAACAAAAGCCAGGATCTAAGGGCATCGAATACAGTTTCCAAGAACATTCTGCCTCAAGCACCCAATATCTCCTTAACCTATGACTTGAAGCCGTTGTGCAGATCTGATGCATGATCGGACGTGCGGCGCACGTGCTTCACCGTTTGGTAGGGCTGGCGGGACCCTTGCCTAAACAGGCAAAGCACATGCGCAAAGGACGATCCAGCGTAGGCGCGGGGTATTGTCCATACATTATGCGACCAAAAGAGTTCTGGGAACAAATGCATGCGCTGGGTCGCGCCTACACGAGGTTACCTTGTCATGTCGGATTGACGATGCACGAAGATGGATGGTCCAAAGACTAGTGATGACGATGACAACAAGAGAAGGACCCACCAAAGAGCATGACACGTCGTCCCCTGCCCACCAACTTGTGCGCAAGATCGGTCAGGGCGATACTTGGAGTCGAAATCCCGTGGATTAGGAGAACTTTTTCACCATCCCTGGGGCCGAATTCGTAGACACGGATAGATCCAAAGGGCGAATCCACGTCCCGGGCACCTGGTAAGGCAGCGGGATGGTAGGGTAGTTCGGCAACATCCTCAGGCGAGATGTCGGGCAGCAAGGAGCGTCGGGGAGAGGGGATAGGCAATCGTTTTGCAGGCTTTGATGAGGAAGTCAATGCCCATAGAAGTGACAGGCCGCCGACCGAGGCGGCGCCGAGGATGGCATAACGCTGAATCTTTGGGAGTCGCTCGAACCGGGACAGCTGGGTTGCCGAGATGTTTGAGATTTTGGCGATTGCGACCTCGGCAGCCTTGGGGGCCGGCTGCTTGTCGTTGGCGAACCTGGAGAACATGGCGGCGGCGAGGCAGGAATTGATGTACGAGTAGAGAGTCGGACCCTGAGGCGGCGACGAAATAAGTCGATCGCCAACGCGCGCTAAGTTGGGGCGATGGATGCAAGCAAGACGGGGCACATGCAGTCGCCTACGCCTATTATCACGACCATGTATGCATAAGGATGGGAGCGGCCAGCGAGCCCACCACGGCTGTCATGCTGGGCGTATAGCAGACAGGCTGGGCCAGAAGCAGCTGCTGCATGCATCTTCCCTAACCCCAAGCGCACTGAGGCACGACTAAATATACCCAAAAAGCTCCGGCCGGCAACCAAAGTCGCTTCATTCAACCAAACGCTGATCTCGAGGCGGCTAGCGGCCAGGCTGTGGAGAGCCAAGCGATGGGAGCGCGTCAGCTTCTCAGCCACCCTGCAAGCACACAGGGAGGGCGTGGTTGTTCTCTTAGACGTGCTCCTTTGAGCTTCTTGGGGCGGTGCTAGTCAAGGGCAAATACGACTCTGTTTCCATCTCTTCCGTTGTTTTATACTATCTTCCCGCACACTGCCTTGCCCCCATTCCCCTCTTTTCTCTTCCCACGCGCCTCTCTGCGAGGGCCGCATGTTTGGGCTCACCTCGTCAGCGAGCCTCCGAAGTCTCCCCCCTTAGCCTTTGATCGCGCCTCTCACCGCCCACCAGCGTGGTGTATACTCACAAACAGGGCCTCACGATTGCGGCTGCGGCTGGAAACGACCAAGCACTGTCGCATCTCAACGGCCGCCCGGGCTCTGTAGTGCGCCATGGACGACTGGACGTCCAAGCAGCTCCCTGAGCGCCTGCCCTTCTCCAAGAAGCGGCTCTCCAAGAAAGTCATTTTCTCGTGCGTGAAGCCGGAAACCATCCAGGCGTATTGAATGCTGACCAGAGCAGGTATATCGGTGATTATCTCATAATCATGTAGGGCCGCCCCTTCCGCCGCACACGACCTCCTTCCTTCCCGGCTCAATAGCAAGGCTAATCAACCTCACAGCGTTTTGATGCTTACCTTTGCCATTGTCGACAAAATCCCCCCCTTCCACCAGCCCTTCTCGCTCGACAACTACACCCTCCACTACCCCTTCGCCACGAAAGAGCGCGTGCCCGTCATATGGCTATGTGTCTATGTCGTCCTCGCCCCCGCCGTCATCATTGGCATATATACCATGGTCATCGACGGCCTGTTCTCGCACCAGGCCGCCATGCCTGCCAATCGCACCGGTCTCAAGCGGCTTTCGGGAAGATACAGGTTCAAGGACAGGTTGTGGGAGCTGAACTGCGGTATACTTGGGCTGGGCCTGAGTATCGGCGCTGCCTTTACAATCACTGGAGCTTTGAAGAATGCTATCGGAAAGCCGCGGCCGGACCTCATTAGCCGGTTAGTTGGTCTCTGGCGCATTAGAAGCGTTGACTGACAGCCGACAGGTGTCTTATAGACCAAGCCAAGATTAACACGGAGCGTTACGCCCTTCAGACCATTGACATTTGCACCCAAAAGGACAATTATATTCTGCAGGATGGGTTCAAGAGCTTTCCCTCCGGACATAGCAGCGGTACGGCATCTGACCTCTCTTGTATGGCAATTTTACTGACATTTCCCAGTTTCCTTTGCCGGCCTGTTCTACCTCTCCATTTACCTTGCCGGAAAACTTCACGTTTTGGACGCCAAGGGTGAGGTTTGGAGATCGTTCATCGTCATGGTCCCCGCACTCGGCGCTGCGCTCATTACGGGAACGCGTATCATGGATGCCCGTCACCACCCCTTCGACGTCATTTCAGGCGCCCTACTTGGCATACTCGTAGCATGGGGCTCGTACCGACAATACTTCCCTCCTGTTTCCGAGACCTGGCGCAAGGGACGCGCATATCCCATTCGTGCCTGGGGCAAAGCATCACGCGCACCACCGCACGCACCAATGATGGAAGACGATGTGCAAACGTTAAGAGACATCAACAAGCCTGTAGACGAAGAGCGTGGGGAAGCATCAGGGTATTCTGCCACAACTGTGGTTCCTCCAGACGGTGATGTTGGAGGCAATGTTTTCCGCCAACAAATTCATAATTCTCAGCGAAGACGGCAGGAATCGGGATCTCAGTACGGCGTAAACCGAAGTGACACGGGCGCATCGAGTAATTACCGGACCGAAACCATGACATCCGGCATATCCTCCAAGGTCAATAGGTACACCAATCAACTGCCCTCCACTAATCCTTTCGCCGCGGACGTCGCACGCCAACGCCAGATGGACACTTATGATTACTCGTCTTCGGAAGAGGATGAAAACTACGAGCTTCAATCTAGGACCGGCGTCTATAACCCGGTATCTGGTAGACTCACGGATACAGGATACCATCCACCTGCTGGTATCTCGCCTGTTCCTACACCACCACCTCCTCCTCCTCCGCACAATGCTAGTATACAGAATCAACAGCCCATGATGTCTCAAACGGGAGACCTGTCTGATCGAAGGGATGTTGCGCCCGTGCCTCCACCACATGCTATAAGCATGCCCCAGCAAATATGAAGAGGGGCCGAGGTACACGATTGTGTATGAGCGACAATGTATTGGCGGAGGGAATTGAATTTCCCAAATATCCGCATTCTCTTCTCTCGGCAGAAGTTGGTGTGCCGATGAGCATATGAAGAGGTGCTACGGTTAGGACGAGGCGCATGTATCGCGTCTTGATTGGGAACAAGGAGTTGTGTGGAACGGGGATCATCATGACAGGAATTCAATTTCCCTAGAGGAAATGGCGCCATGAAAATTTGTAGCATAAAAGTGCAATCCGATTTATGTGTAATCTTTACTTGATGTTTTTTGGAATAGATCGCGTAGGCGATGGTCGGACCCCCTGCACGCGAACGCCAAGCGTTGCGTCAGTGGATCCTTTGAACAAGACACTTTTGTTGGACCCTGTTCTACTCACATCGGCATCCGAAAAGTGTCCTTCCCGCCAACCCACGAGACCCCTCTACCACCCCCCTTTCCACTGGGCGCATACACACACATATATATATATATCACATAACCTCACGATTCCCAAACCGCGCTCCACCATGGAAGCCCTCCAGTCCACTCTCCAGCCCCTAACCCGCGCCCTCCCCCAACCCATTGCGGACATAGGCGTCTCCCTCCTCGGCCCAACCTGCTACCAAACCCTCATCTACAATGTCGACTTGACTGCCACCGAATGCGTCAAACTCGCCATCTCCAAGGGCCTCGGCATCGGCATCATTGGCGCCTCCTCCATAGTCAAGATCCCGCAGCTCCTCAAACTGCTCAACTCGCAGTCCGCCGAAGGCCTCTCTTTTCTCTCATACTTACTGGAGTCTAGCTCGTACCTTATTTCACTCGCGTATAATGTGCGGCATGGGTTCCCGTTTAGTACGTTTGGGGAGACGGCGTTGATTCTGGTGCAGAATATCGCGATTGCGAGTTTGGTGCTCAAGTATAGTGGCAAGGGGCTGGGGATTGCGGCATGGGTGGGCGGGCTGATGGCGGCGGGGGCAGCGCTGTTTAATGAGGATCTTGTGGGCGAGGAGAGGCTGGCCATATTGCAGGCGAGTGCGGGTGTGCTCGGGGTTGCGAGTAAGGTGCCGCAGATTTTGACGGTTTGGAGTGAGGGTGGTACGGGACAGTTGAGTGCTTTCGCTGTGAGTTTCATTTTCTCCATTCTTTGTATACGGATGACCTCTTTTCTTTGGATTCGAACTAATGTGGTGTGTGATACAGGTTATCAACTACCTCCTCGGCTCCCTCTCTCGCATCTTCACCACTATCCAGGAAGTCGACGATCCGCTTATCCTCTACGGCTTCATTGCTGGCTTCTGTCTTAATGTTATCCTCTTCCTCCAGGTCATGTACTACTGGAATGCGCCTGCATCCAAGAAGACACAGTCCAAGAAACTCGAGAAGCCCATTGTAGCCGGGGGCAAGAAGGAGGCAACGCGCTCCGTGTCCACCGGTCGCGCGGCTGGCAAGAGCCCAAGCACGAGACGCAGGGGATAATTGTCTTTGCTCGTAAGCCTTCTACCATATATGTTACCATTAATATTTTGTCTCTTTCTATTCGTCTTGCCATGCCAAAGATCCAGTGCGAGTGAACAGATAACATTATCGGTGATATACTTCATATATGCATTACTACCTCCATTACAACCATTTACAATACGTATGCTCGTCTAGTGTCTTTTATACACAAAACCCTTACCATTAGAGATAAAACAACCATCCAATATAGTACACACGAAGTCCGCCCAACATGGCATGGATCAAAATCATGTACACAATTAACTCCGAGTAAGCTGAGGCGCAAGCCAGAAACTGTATATAGACAGACAGATTGAGTATCGGATATACCGATTAGTCGCGTACTTAAAAGACGTACTAAAACAAAAAGGTTAGTGAGTGAGACTTGTATCAAAGATCATATCGACTTACTGGGATGAAAAGATAAGGCACCTGCCTCTCATACTCCTTCCATGCCTCGCCATACTTCTCCCTGCACTTCTCGATATCCCTCATTGCGCGGTGGATAATCATGCCGCCAAAGAAGACAGAGTAAAACCAGGGGAACGGGCTGCTGAAACCGGTAATGAGACCCCAGCTGACAGCAAAGAAGAAATCGCAAGTGTAGTGGATCTTGCGTGCCTTTCCGTACCAGCCATCAGCCAGAATCTTGTTTCCGTGGGCAGTTTGGATAGTCTTGGGGTTCTCGATGCGGCCGTATTTGAAGTAGGGGAAAGTGGTGCGCTCCTCAACGACACCACGCTCTTCCTGGCGGAACTGGTTCTTTTGCGAGTTGGTCGTGTCCCAGATATAATAAGCGTAGAGGTAGGCAAGAGTCAGAAGAGCGGTAAACCAGGTCGGGAGGCCGTACTCGGAGGGGTGGTGGTAGGCGATGTAGAGAGTGCAGTGGCAGTACGACAAAGGCACGCCAGCCATGTTCCAGAAGATGAGCATGAAGCCAAGCTTCTCATAGTACATGTCCCAGGTTGTGATGATGAGGTGCTCGCCCTTTGCGCAGGCGCCAGCATAGAGGTAGTGTGCGAATAGGAGAAAGATGGCTTCGATGGAAACGTAGCCATATTGCTCATACTGCTTCAAGCACGTGCCGAGGGAAAGGAAGAAGAGGATGAACCACGGGATGCGGACTTCGAGGAACATCTTAAAGTCCAAGATGCCGAAGAGACGGGGGTTGAGCTCAGAACCGAGGAAGAAGTCGACAATGAAGTTGTCAGTCATACGGACGGTTGCGCCGCGGACGCGAGCAGAGACATATGCGATGGTCGAGCAGAGGAAGCCAGAGATGATGGCAACGCTCATGATGTGGCCAAACTCGTCAATCAAGGTGTAAAGCTTGAAGTAGCCGCCAAAGTGTAGAGCCAGCATGATGACAATGCTAGAGTAGAAGGACCACATTGCTGAGCAGTAGTAGTCCAGTTGCTTTCCGCCCAGATGAGGAAGCGCCTTGCCCTTGCGGTAGACACCCGGCATGAACATGTAAAAGGTCATTTGCATCAGTCCGAAGTACCAGTAGATTTGCCATGCCTTGTTGTTGGGGTAGGCTTCCGTCTTGACAAGGTACCACATGTGACCAAAGAAGTCTGACCAGCTCTGGCTCTGGGTACGCGTAGGGAACTTGCCGTCGTAGAAAGCAGCCCCGATCCACATGTAGTACATGAGCGCAGGAAAACAGATCATCATACTGCCCATTCCAATTGCACCTCCGAATTCGTGCAGACCAGAAGGGTCCTTGGGGGGAAAGAACTTTTCAGCCTCGAACGCGAAGTCTAATTCGACCTGTTCCTGCCTGCTGTGTCCATTTGCGTGTCCGTTGACGTGTCCATTGGTAGTTCCATTTCCGTTGGCGTGCCCATTGGAAATTCCATTCCCGTTGGCATGGCCATTAGTGTGGCCTGTTTTGAGGGGCATGGTGCTGTCGGTGGATGACAAGGACTTTGCGAAGGCTTCCTCAGGTTCTGGCGTCGATTCATATGTATCTGCGTCGGCCACGGCTGATTTGCGCCGTTGTGACCTTTTGCGCCCTGGAGTCTCAACAAAACCGGGACGTTCGGGCTTTCTGTGCCGTGTATGTCAGCAGTCAACTTTATTTGTGCATTCACACATCGACTTACACTGGGGTCTTGCCCGCCTGGGATCGCGTCACTCGCATTGACATGATTGTTGTGCGGGTGACGGTGGCGGTGTGTGGTTTCAGGGGCGCTCAGGTAAGAGACGGCGCTTGCAAACCTCGACGAGGGCAAAGGAGTTAATGCAAACTTCAAAATATATAAAAGAGAAAGAAAAGAGCAATTGCGCTTCGTCACAGAGCATGCATTACAGCCAAGGAGGCGGTGTGGAGAGCCAATGGCATAAAAAGGGCAGAAGGAGAAATTCAATGTTTGTTGACAACATGGACCTCCAAATTCGGGTGTTGCCGAATAAGGCTAGGGTCATCAATCGGACGCGCCAATCGGAGTGCACGGATTCCGCCCCTCAGGGGAAACCAAAGTATACGCGCGATACGGTCCACACGGTCCATACGGAAGTGACTTGACATAGAAGTTCTTCCGTATTAGAAGAATTGTGCCAAGTACGAGTGCCAAAGTGCTGCCAAAGCTTAGTTAACACGTAAAAAGGATTCGATATAGAATTCTCTCTACGTCCGCATTTCACATTCAAGAATTAACTGGACTTCACCGTGGCAACAAGTACAAAGACGGTAGGCAGGATGGATCTGTCTAAGCTTCAGTAGTACTTTAGCAGTAATCAAGACAACCTCTGTTGGCAGGTAAACTTGAAAGATATCTCTGTATGTTAACGCGTTAACACCAATCGAAGCTAGACTCATCTGATGTAGCTAATCTATATGCTGTACCGAGAGTCTAGATATCGATACGAGTTCACCTAGCCAGTTTAACTGGATTGTTACGCATATTATAGCCCTGATATACGTCAAGTATTTCCTGTAAGCACAAATCTATCGACGTTGCGTGGGATAAGTTCGTTCTACAATTCGAATATTTCGCGCAATTAGTGAAGCTACTGTCATGGAGCGTTCATCACCTCTATCTGCGTAGGTACTCGGTGCACAACATGTGTGTGCTGACCCAGTTTGAATACTGTTTAGACTAGTGTAGTTGGTGTCTGTATGTGAATTATTTCCCTCTGTTATCTCCTATCTTCATCCGTGTGTGGTAGATGATCATTGCTTCTTCGTGTTAAGATGATATTTCCTTATCATTGTAGTGATTTACGGCCTCGGCCGATCTGAATTTATTCCTTCTTAGGCCTTGCAAAGGCTGTGGCACTACCAGGCTATCCAGTTCCAGTGTCTCCTCGACAAAGCAACACTGACTGGAAAGGAAACTCTGAATAACTATAGACCAGAGGATGGCCGATGTAAAGACGGAGCCCAAGTACATTGTAAGTCAATTATAGTTAAGTTTATAGGAGGGTTTAGACTAATCGAATTAAAACAGGGAGCTTGATTACTCTGAAGCCTGATAGAAGGAAAACTGGATGGCTGACCTATATCAAACACTTCGTGCATCCATACGACTAAATACTTCGTTTCTTGCCGGGTGCATCTTTTGCAATACCTGACCGTCAACTGAGCTACAATCGGGCCTCAGGTACGCAGTGAACGGGATCAGGCGTCCCGGGCACAAAGATGACCCATACGACAGCACTATCATTACAAACATCATTTTGTGAAATTTGTGTTAGCATTTCCGACTTGATAAATTATTTTACCACGCGATGCTTCCAAATTTAAAACTACCCGTCGTAGTATGTCTGTCAATTAAAGATATATCATAAGTTATCATAGCTCATATTGATATTTGTATGTTCCGCACTATCAGCCTAAAACTACCAGGGACTAACCCCCACTTGACATTATCGTTTAATTTGCGGAAAACCTATATACCATTGCGCAACTATCGCATATCTGAATAGTGTTCATCGAGTACCTTTGACGTTGTTTATTTGGCTCAGGTAAGTTAGTCCAGCGCCCACGCTCATAGCATATATATCTGTATTCCTCTCTTTCAAGAGACCAGTGGGCCGATACAGAGATCACCTAGACCACCGTTGCCGGGAGCTATCTTCCTCCACAACAATATACACAACTGCGTCGATGCGTATGCGAACATGATTTTCGCAATCTATACAAAAGCCCTTGAAATGCCAGACATGTCCTCAGCAGAGCGATAGTGGACTGCTGAGAATGGAGGTGGGTATGTAACCGTGTGAAGATATTGCTACTGTTGGCAATCGGAGTATTGCGAATTTGGATCCATAGTACACCCGTCTGTCGGATATGGCTGGTTACAAATGCTAATCACGCTTCGCGGAACTGAAATAGCCGGACACCTCAGACAAGGGAAAGGGCTAATTCCTTATTAGTATTTTACCACTTTTGATGGTGGTTTGGTGTCCGGCTATTTCAGTTCGATGAGAGATACGGTCACCAGACTAGGGCGGAAATTGATGCGGAGACCTCACGCCCAAGCAATCGTCGAAATGGCATGGCTACAACGTGTGCACACATACACAGCCGCGACGCGTTCTGTTAGGGAGCATCGGACCATCAGCACCTGAACGTCACCATTGTCCTGACATGTGATGCCCTCGGCGCTGCGGACCCATGTCCTGCATGGAACAACAATTGAGCCGCCCCACGTGAGCCTTCCCAATCCGGCATACCTCGGTATCTTGGTGAATGACGTCTGCCCTCAACCAGCAAGTCAGCCGCTCATGGCTCAGCTCCACCAATGGCAACGCCCGTAAATCCACGCACAAGATCACACGAGAGCGGTCGCAGTACTCCAAACGCGCTATTCACGGTCGGTCTTCAGCTGATGGCCTGTTTCCCCGGATTCCTTGGCGTGGAGTAATTGCGAGCATGTGAAAGTAGCGCGAAACCATGCTAATCCTCTTATAAGCCTAGAGGTGTCTCCATCGTCGTCTTGTGATCGTTCTTCCTTCATTGTTTTGCTTTTCATCTCTTCGCCTTCCTCCCCTTTTGTATTCTGAATCTAGAGAAAAATGGCGAAGCGCTTCTCTACCGCCGATGTCGCGTCACACAAGACTGCGAACGACCTATGGATCATTGTAGACGAGGATGTCTACGATCTTACCAAGTTCCAGGATGACCACCCTGGCGGCAAAAAGAGTACGCTGAGCCCTATCTTGCGAATTCCGCGATCCAAGCTAATGATTCCAAGTCCTCCAGCGAGTAGCTGGCAAGGATGCTTCAAAGCAGTTCTGGAAATATCACAACGAGAGCATTCTTAAGAAGTACCAGAAGCAGCTGCAAGTCGGATCACTCGACACCAAGGCTGCTCCTCCAGCTCCTCCCGCGGCCGCTGCTCCGGAGATGAAGGAAATCGTCAAGCCAGAGGCGAATCCTGGCGTCGTAGCACCTCAGCCAACTCAAGCTGCGGAGGAGCCGGAGCCTTTCGATTCCTATGGCGACCTCGTCCCATATGCGGACCCTTCGTGGTACCAAACTGTATGTTCACGAACGCGCCTTTCAATGACTCCCATGAGCCTCGACTAACGCAAAGACCAGTACCACTCTCCCTACTACAACGAGACACACGCCGCCCTACGCGCAGAAGTCCGCGACTGGGTTGAGGAGAAGCTTATGCCATATGTCACAGAGTGGGATGAAGCAAAGAAGGTCCCAGATGAGATCTTCCTCGAAATGGGCGCACGAGGATACCTCGCTGGTATGCTTGGCGTCAAGTACCCTACACAATATACCGACCTGAGGGTCAAGAGTGTACCGCCAGAGAAGTGGGATCACTTCCATGAGATGATCATCACCGATGAAATATCGAGGACGGGCAGTGGTGGTCTCGTCTGGGGCTTGATTGGTGGATACGGAATTGGCGGACCGCCTCTGTTCAAGTTTGGCAAGAAAGAGCTTGTCCAGCGTATTGGTCCCGATCTGCTTAGCGGAAAGAAGAGGATATGTTTGGCAATCACCGAGCCAGGTAAGTCCTCACCTTTTGTATCTGGAAAGTTGAAACTGACATTTCAACAGATGCCGGCAGTGATGTCGCGAACCTGACCTGTGAAGCCAAGCTCTCTGAGGATGGCAAGCATTACATTGTCAACGGTGAGAAGAAATGGATCACAAACGGCATCTGGTCCGACTACTTCACCACCGCTGTTCGTACTGGCGGCGAGGGCATGAACGGCATTTCGGTCCTTCTGATTGAGCGCAGCGCAGGCGGCGTTTCAACCCGTAAGATGGACTGCCAGGGTGTATGGAGCAGTGGTACCACCTACATTACCTTTGAAGATGTCAAGGTTCCTGTTGAGAACCTCATTGGAAAGGAAAACCAGGGTTTCAAGGTCGTCATGACGGTAAGTCAATCATCTAAATCGCCTTGAGATGCCCACTAATCATCATCTAGAACTTTAACCACGAGCGTATTGGCATCATCATCCAATGTCTCCGCTTCTCTCGTGTATGTTACGAAGAGAGCATGAAGTATGCACACAAGCGCAAGACCTTCGGCAAGCGCCTCATTGACCACCCCGTCATCCGTCTCAAGCTCGCGCACATGGCTCGCCAGATCGAGGCCAGCTACAACTGGATGGAGAATCTCATCTACCAGTGCGAGAAGATGGACGATATGGAGGCTATGCTCAAGCTTGGAGGTGCTATCGCCAGCTTGAAGGCCCAGAGCACAACAACATTCGAGTTCTGTGCTAGGGAAGCAAGTCAAATCTTTGGTGGCTTGAGTTATAGCAGAGGCGGACAGGGCGCCAAGGTCGAAAGGCTATACAGGGACGTTAGGGCATATGCTATCCCAGGTGGTAGTGAGGAGATTATGCTTGACTTGAGCATCAGGCAAGCTTTGAGGGTACACAAGGTCCTGGGCATGAAGCTGTAAACACCCTGCACATGGTGGGAAGTGTCTGTAATAAAATATTCTATGTAGACCAAATTTCTTACGTATTTCAATTCGAGTACCAATGAGTCTTTCAAATGGTCCGTTGTCCAAGTCATGAGAATGCGTATATGTTATGCCGGTAGTAAGTCGTCCCACGCATTGGCCTCCCCACTGTGGAGGCCCCACAAATTCCGACCTCAGCAACGGCAGTTACTTCCCAGCTACCGATTCTGTATAGTGTATGCTGTGATTTCTCATAACAGAGTGCCAATCTTCTTTACCCATACGACGGATAAATGATATGCAGGAGACAGCCACTCGATTTGGCTCCACACGATGGCGTGAAGTAAGGGAACCACATTATGGCGCGGGGTCAAAAACATCTTGATCAATTCAATGGCGATCCGAGTCATCAGCCAAGAAATTTAAACATACGCGTACCAGTTGGAATGCATGAGGAATCTGTGCTGGCTGCATCGCATATTTGATAGCTGCAAGGTATGCCGGGTATACAACTCTGTCGTGTAGACTAAGAAGCAAGAGTGGCATGGCTTAATCTAGGTCTAATTGATATGTCTAAAGAAACGACATGCCGAGTTTCATCGTACGAAGGCTTAATCAAGGAGTCCCTGAGTACAAGATTCTCCACCATGTCTTTGCAGTATGGAGTCAATTTCAATATAAATTCGTGCCCTCATGCAAGGAAACAAGTTATAGACTATTGTATGTGACAGCTTTTGTCAAAAGAAAACTATCAGTAAAATTATCACAGCAGTTCCTCTGAGACTTAACAAAACCATGGCTTCATCAAACGACATCCTTCGCAAGGTCGAGTGGAATGGGAAGCAAGTCCCAGTTTACCCTATGGAAACTATCGACTTCTCTGCACTCCTATCTCAGGAGCCTGCAGAACTCGGGAAGCTTCTTCAATGCTGCAAAGACGAAGGATTCTTCTACTTGGACCTAAACAACGTTGACGGACGCCGATTCCTTGATGACCACCAGGAGCTTTTGAAGCTCATGCACAGGTTCTTCGAAGCTCCTATTGAAGTGAAAAACGAGTATGGACTTATCTCCCCTCATCTCGGGTAAGTCCATGAACAAGACCCCTCCCTATACCTCACCACATTCACTAAAAGATACCAGTTACGAGCCCATCGGTTCCCGTAACGGCGTCCTCGAAGACACACGCGACGGCTACGAAATGGTCAAAGTCTCTCGCGACGAGATCCAACGCGAATCCCCTCACATCCCACGCAACATTAGAAACAGTGCCGACCTAAAGACCCTCGAGAACGCCATTTCTGGCAACAACATCATCGGAAAAGTCATCTTGGCCGCTCTTTCCACGGCTTTCGGCCTTACAGGCTCGTCCCGCTTCGAAAACTTGCACCGTAACCACCGTCCTTCGACCAGCACTCTATCAATGATGCACTACATCCCATCCAACCCCTCCAAAGACGGCAACGTCGGTCACCAAAAGCACACAGACATAAGCTCCCTCACTGTCCTCTTCACTGAGCAATGGGGTCTCCAAATCCGACCACCAGGGACCAAGGAATTCGGCTTCGTAGAGCCCAGGCAAGGCCAAGCTATCATCAATGTAGGCGACTCCCTACGTTTCGCCAGCGGCCATACGTTCCAATCTTGTATCCACCGCGTTGTGCCATACGACTATCGTGAGCATAGGTATTCTGTTGCGTACTTTCTGCGGGCTGAGGACGAGACTATGTTTCAGGATAGTGAGGGGAGGTATGTTACTTCGCGCCAGTGGCATGATGAGAAGTTTTTGGCGTTTTTGGGGTCGCCGGCTGAGCAGGCGGCTGCGCCGAGGTCGTTATTGCTAGGAGGAATGGAGGAGGATGAGGGGGATGTTTATGCGGCGTTGAGAAAGCCGGTTGTGGTTGAGGGTGGTGCGAAGGATGCTGTTGAGGTGGCTATGGTTGAGGTCGTTGCGTAGCTGTTGGGCCGTCGAGCTGTGTGGAGAGTAGTGTTTTATGATTGGTTGTGAGATGTAGATTGAATTGATGCAATATTTGGTTCCGAAATGTGATCCATAAAAGTGACCAACTGGAACCCACCTGTTGCTTGCAATGAGAAGTCGCTTTGCATGACATCATATCTCATACACATGCAGCCCCTCTTATGACCCCACATTATTGATATTTATACAAATTAAAGTAGCTAGGATGGTTCGTTGAACTACCCAGACTAATAATTAATTGGGCATATGTGCCACTCTGTCATTCAAGTAACTAACAAGCCCTTCTTCCTTCTCAAATCCCATTGATGCACGCAGCTTCAATCCCCAATATCATGTACTTCATCCTAGCCCTACTGTTATCGAGAATCACCCAAGGATGTGACAAAAAACACCACTTTCGGCACCACAACCGCCATCTATACCATCGCGATACGGCCCCTATCTTCCCACCAATTCTGACCCCACAGGAACAGATTCTGGTTTCGTCTTTCGATAACACATCGATAGCATCTTGGTCAAGCTACTATTGTAATTCTTACACTGCCTGCCCAAAATAGAGTGTGAGTATACTCATACATTGCAGCACACAAGCGGAATCTCGCAGGAGAAAGCAGCACAGTACCAGAATGGACAGCTTCGAAATGGACCGAGTATGGTTTTGACACTAGACTCGATAGCTATTGTATGTCTTCTTACCACTTCATCCTATACCGTAGAAAAAGGCAAACAGACATGTCTAGCCACTGACCACAAGCCCAAAGACGTCTACCTAAACTACCCCATCCACCAATCCCTCACACTCAAATACTCCAACGGAACCACTTACAACCTCACTCTCGAAGAACCCATCCTCGAAGAAGACCCTACAACCAACTCTCCAAACCGCATCCCCGCATTCCACGGCTACTCTGCTTCAGGAAACGTATCAGCGCCGTACATCTACATTGGTACACCCACCCCACATCAAACCCCAAATCAACACCAGCTAATCCAACCCACCAGGCCGCGCCACAACCCAAGATCTCGAGCATCTCATCACACTCAACATCTCCCTCGCCGGTAAAATCGGCCTAGCCAAACACGGCGGCCCCTTCCGCGGCACCAAACTCCGCAACGCTCAATCCTTCGGACTCACCGGCCTCCTCCTCTTCACCGATCCATCCGATGACAAAGAAATGGCGCCACCAACCTACGCACCGTATCCTGCAGGACCAGCGCGTAACCCGTGGAGTATACAGCGCGGTAGCGTGTTGGATCTGAGCAAGTATCCTGGGGATCCGACGACGCTGGGGTATGCTTCGAAGGAGGGTGTGGAGAGGAGGGGGATGGAGAGTTTGCCAGGGATACCGAGTTTGCCTTTGTCGTGGGGAGAGGCGAGGGGTTTGTTGGAGGGGTTGGAGGGGTGGGGAGTTGATGAGGGTGGTGGTGGGTATTATAGTGGGCCGTCTGATGCGGTGCTTGAGATGAGGAATGAGATGAAAGGGGGTATTGAGTGGATTCATAACGCGGTTGGTGTTGTGAATGGGACGGAGGGGGGTGAGGTTGTTGTTGTGGGGAATCATCATGATGCTTGGATGGTTGGGGGTGCTGGTGAGTTTGAGCGAGTTATTGATGTTGGTTCTGGAGAGTTGGCTGATGAGGAACTAGCGGATCCGCATTCTGGTTCAGCGATTTTGATTGAGTTGGCGAGGGCGATTGGTGAGCTCTTGGAGACCGGGTGGAGGCCGAAACGAACGATTGTTCTTTGTAGTTGGGACGCTGAGGAGTATGGGTTGGTGGGAAGGTAAGTTATGTTTCTTGAATCACAAAGCTGTTTTCAGAACTTCAGAAATAACATATTTTAGCACCGAATGGGTTGAGGAATACACTCCCTGGCTCAAAGCGTCCGCTGTATCTTACCTAAACATCGACGTTGGAGTCTCTGGCACCATCCCCGACTTCAATGCTTCTCCCGACCTCCACTCCCTCATAACCTCAACTGCGCAGAAGGTCATATGGCCCCACGGCGAAAATCGTACAATCTACGATGTCTGGGAAGAAATTTCTGGTGAAATTGATCTTCTAGGTGCACAAAGCGACTACACAGCGTTTGTACATCGCGGGGGCATGTCTGCCATGGACATCGGCACTACACGAGCACCCCTGGATCCAATTTATCACACACACTCCAACTTTGATAGCTATTACTGGATGACTAAGTTCGCTGATCCAGGATTCGCAATGCATAAGGCGATTGGTCAGTTTCTGACCTTGATGCTGTTTCATCTGGTAAACGACGATGTTGTGCCGCTTGAGCCGGCCAACTATGGTATAGAGATGCAGGCGTGGCTTGAAGATCTCCGCAAGCTTGTATCATCTACAAATGGAACGGCGGCAGTAATAGTCGAGCAGCTTGAAGATACCATTACGGCATTTGAAGAAGCAGCACGATTGTTCAATGCTATTCGTGACGCGGCTGTGGTCTCAAACGATGTACGCCTAATCAAGGAACTGAATCGCAAAGCTCGCGATTTTTCGCGGGAATTCATCAACCAAGGCGGACTTCCTGGAAGGCCATTTTATCAGCACCTTTTATTTGCACCAGGAATAGATACAGGATACAGGCCCGTTACTTTTCCTGGAATTACGGAGGCCGTTTCTGTGGGTAATTTCACCCTAGCAAATGAGTACTTGGGCAGGACCATAAAGGCTGTGCTGGCAGCAGCAAGCATATTGGCGGCCTGAAATCGGCATTGGTTATTAGGCAAGACATGCTGTATCGGTCGATCTTGAGACAAACGTAGCAGCTGCTCTGACGACAAAGACGCATTAGGCGGTGGTGGGAATTTCGATTTTTCGTTCTTTTGGTACAAGTCAGTGAAGGCATACTTTGTTCATGGGATCCGTATACGAGACGAATAAAAAAACAGCGCTTCGCTCTATGCAACACTACAATACGTCACATTGCCTGTCCTATTGAACTAAATTTAGTACTGAACCGGTGAAGAGCAGCCAGCCTTATTGTTCTTTTTCCACTGCGTACCCTAGCAAGCCCAATCATATCATTGCACAGAGTAGCAATTGTTTCCCTGGCTCGATTTGCCCAAGCGGTTACGTGCTCAAAGCGGTTAAATGTGGGTATTCCTTTGTGATCCATGCCAGGCAACCAGCCCTCCACATTGCCGTCTCACACTATATCCACTAAATACAGTGCGATAAGCGGTTTATGAGGCGGTATTGTGTGACTCAAGCGCCGTGTTTTCCTGGCCAGTTGCACAGTAGCGGAGAGAAAATTGCACATCTGCCACACGTTACAGCCTTGCGGTGGGCCGCCTTAAACGGGGGGCCGCAAGTAGCATAGCCCATCACGAGGATATTTAGGATACTTGAGGTGAAGATTGTGCCTTTGATATCCAAATTCTCTTGTGGCTCTCCATCATCATCTTTGAAGTTTTGTCTTCGTGAATTTCTTTGCAAAGACTGTGGTTGTGGATAAATTTTTCCGCCTCGCCCGTCATCGAACGACAACTACAGCGACACATATTCGCCGAGTACCCCCTTACATCCTCCAATTCGAATATTAGGACATAACTCAAAGTAAAAATGGTGTCTTCGATTCTCAATGTCGCGCTGCGCGGTGTACAAGCGCTCTTTGGCATCATCGTACTCGGCCTCAGCGTAACGCTCATCCGCGGCCATCACTGGGGCAGTCTTCCTGCCGGCTTGGGCTATGGTGCATTTGTCGGCGGACTGTCCTTTGTAGCTGCATTCATAGGGTTGGCTGCAACATGGTTCGACTTTCTGGGTGGCATGGTTGGGCTTGTCATCGACGGCGTCGTTGCGCTCCTGAACCTTGCTGGTGGTGTTGTAAGTATTCGCATCTCCTAATTCAACATTACCGCTCTTTTCATCGAATATGCGAGAAAATCCTTACTGACTATCCCAAAAGCTCTATGTTGTTAAGCTGGCAGGCGTAGACTGCGAACTGAGCGCCGAAGATCCCGGCAACTTGAAAAAGATGGCTGAAAACGAGTGGTTTAATGGCGGTTGCCACGGTTCCGGATTCTGCTGGAATAACTACAAATATGGTAAAAACCTCTCAAAGGCGATAGCTGTATATGAGGGCCATTGCAAGGAAGCTAAAGCCGATACCGTATTTATGTTCCTAACTGCTGTTGTCATGATTGTCTGCGCGTTGCTGGTTTGGTTAAGGATGAGGAGAGGCTACTGAGGAAGAAGAAGTCAACAGTAAGATACGCTCTCGAAACCTTCATAACTGACTAGATGTTTACTTAAGGAAGGTTAACCTTGTGGCGATTAATGTGCAATCCAGCACCTAGTATGAAAATATTATATACGCTGCGAAATAGAGTTGGCATTCTCGAAACTGGTTTTGTAATGGTGGCCTTTTTTCAGTATGCGATACCCAGATTTTCCTTCCAGTTGCTGTTTCCTTGTGGGTTACCTTTTTTCAGACGTTAGCAATGAACATACATTTATAGATGGGTTTCAGCCCTTGTTTCGTGCACCGTCAACTCAAATCTGTGTTCAACCCTCGAGGTGATACTACCAACAAACAAATCGAGTAACAAACCCTCCACCCATCAAGTACACCCAAAGATGATCATACCATCTTTCTGTCTCTTTCACTTTTCCACTTTTTCGGGTTCAAAGTCGGCTTGCAGAAGTCAGTCCTTCAATCATCAACGTCACCAGCACTCACTGCCTTGATCTTCTGCGCTGCATCTATTTTGTGGCTGTTCCTATCTGTGTAGGTTATGCCGCCAGGATACTGTGGCTCACTATTTTCCAATATTACCATCATTATCATGAGTCTCTACTATTGCAGTGCATTTGTTGTGCTAATGCCTTCCCTCCTCGTGACTCTCGTGGTATTGCGAGGTTGATGAGTTGGAAAGAAAACAGTCGACTGTTAGTCACACAGTCCCCACGTACATTATGCCATGCTATTCATATGCACTTCAGATCACTTGATGCCATGGCTTTTGAGATAGTCTTATGTGAGGAAACTAGAGACTGGCAGAGGGCATTCGGTCGTTGGATGAAAGTGTATATGTAGATGCAATACAAAGAGGTGTATAGTGGCTGTAGTGCTTGAACTGCCGTACGCGCATGTGAAGAAGACGCAGGGGAAATGAACGTTCATCAAGGGGCGAGCTCCTTCTGCAAGAATTTAACAAAGCAAAGAACTTGAAGACGTGACGATGATGCACAACATAGATCATCAGCCTGTAGGTATGTTACCGGAAGTACTTCCATTTCGTCTCACTAAACCACACAGGAAGCAAGAGTCGCGCGATAATAGTATATCTGCATTCCAAAACTCACTAATCACATATGTCCATGCATCTCTTCGCATTCATGAGCCTTCCAATCAACCTGGTACTAACGCCGCTTATGCACAACCTCCGGGCAAATCCGCCCAGCCTTGCTCACTACGCCTCACTATGCAAATGAACCGACATTACTTTAGGCAGGGCAAGTCTGCGACCATTAGCATTTGTCCGATAGTAGGTAGTGCCCTATCCTCTTCTAAGAACATACGCTGCCGCAAGATCCACAGCTCTTGGTGCCATCACTGATACCAGCGCCGCACTTGGGGCAGCTGGTGTGCTCGGAGTTGACGAGAACGGTGACGGACTGCATGTTGATTTCCGACAGGTTTGTTCGGTAGGTTGGTGAAATGAAGGGTTGGTATTCGTAAGGTTGTGGATTGATGGTTTGCGTTGATGGCTCAGGTTGGAGGGGTAAGGTGGGGTTGATATAGCGAACGTCTGCAGGGCCAGGCAGCCACGGCAAGATTAGGAAGCTAGTGCATTATCTGTCAGATGATTCCAGGCGGTAAGAGCGCTTGCATTTACAATTGGGTAGTTGGGTGGGGGTGTGGGAAATGGGACGAGCCGGTGAGGAAGCATGTAACTAAACTGGAGTCGGGATACGTAAAAGGACCGAGCAGATGGCACTGCGTAAAGGCGGACGCCCTGTTGAGAGAGGACGCAGGCTTGTGATGATCTAGATTCATTACCTAACGTGACAGATGATCTGTCCGTTGATAACAACAAGCCAACCGTCTTCCTTCTTCTCCATCTCTCTGAAGGCCGCGGAGATTTCCTCCAGATCTTGTTCCGTCGCATGTCCGCTATCCAACGCCCTCTTCTTATAGTCGCTTTGCACGGTCCTGTCAGCCCAGAGGCCACACCAAAACTCCCTCTCTTCTGGTGTGCTAAACGTCCAAGCAGCCACACTAGCCTCGATATCGCTTCTTGGAAAGCCAGCCTCCATAGCTATTGCATGTAGTTGCTTGCCGATATTTGGATGCGCCTTGAGTCCCAGCGCAACTTTGATGTAAAGCTTCTTCCACTTATGCAGCATAGGATGATCCGGATACCAATCCATCGCACCGTAGTTGCAGTCTCGGATGGCAAGAATACCACCGGTCTTGGCTAGTCTTTTCATTTCTTTCATCGCGCCTAGCGGGTCTTGTAGATGCTGCAACACTTGATGCGCGTGTACGACATCAAACCCTTGCTCTTCTACACCTTCCAGCTTGTTCCATTCAAAAATGTCACCAACTTCGAAACGTATGTTCTTGATTCCCATTTCTTCTGCGTGCTTTCGGGCCTTCTCAATGACATTGGCGGAGGGATCGATTGCGTAGACGAAACCTTGTGGAACTCGAGCAGCGAGATCAACGCTGATGGTGCCAGGGCCGCACCCAACATCGAGTATCTTCAGTGAGGGTTTGTTGAGGAAAGGCAAAAGATGAGGACAGGAGTTTTCCACGGTGCGCCAACTGTGAGAGCGGAGGACAGAGGCATGGTGTCCATGAAGGTATGGTCCGGACATTTTGGCTAGGTGGAGTTGCAAAATATGATATCTATTCAATGAGCAGTATGAAGCTTATACTATGGGGCCAAAGAGTGCTAGGGACCAGGTATACAATTGCGTCAATGATGGCATTTGCTTTGGTTAGTGCCGGGGCTAAGGGGAGATGAATCGATGTCCTTATAGTCTTGGGACCATGTAGCGCTTAGAATCAAACATGCCGAAATCGCAGCACTTTGATCGAAGTAGAGTCCTATTTTTCGAGATGTTGCGACAACGGAGTGTCATAATGCTTGTTAGAGTGAGAGGGCAACCTGCACTTTTAAGTCCGAAGTCGGCCATCTTGGTGCTCCCGCTTAGTCACGAACACCCCATTCTCTGCGTCATCAATCCGCGCATCAGTTGTGCAGAGGTTATCCAAGAAGGAAATGCGAGTTTAGTGCCGGGATCTGCGGACAATTCAACCAGCTATATGGGGCAGACCCATGTCGATATGCTAGGAATACTATCACGACGTAGGCCACAAGATGATACTTGTATCCTTTCAACTACAGCTAAATCCACATATGTAGCGCGATTTGCAAGATCTACAAAATAAGGAGATTCAAATATAACTCTTGTCTTCAAGGCAACTCATCTGAACCTTTCGATACTCTTACCATCTTATTTACTATATAACGCCACCATCATGCCATCCGAATATGGGTAGTAAACGACAAGTTTTGGAGGAAGTGCCCGTCGTTGGCTGTGAGACCGTCTTGACATTATTTGATGTATTCATATCTGAGTTGCCGTGAGTTTCGAGCAAAACATTGAAAGCAGAGGATTTTGCACTATGGATCTGATACGTCACGTAGGCCTATCTTGTATTATGTTCAAGGTTCAGTTCAAAGCAAATACTGAGCGATGATGAGAGCCGCAATTGCTACGAAGAGATCTCTGTCTAGTAATAACGGAATCAAAACACGCTTCATGCAAAGTCAGCCAACACTCTCCATGATGTTAGCTGCTAAAACACTAGTTTGCTAGCTTTTTTTTGGCGTGCATAGCATGAACTTTCTAGTAGATATTGTTTTTCCTAATATTTTTAGACCCTAACTTGGATTTGCCCCGCCATAGGATGCCGTTCTGTCGCTAGCCCTGCAAGTTATATGCAATCTGGAGGCAACCACATCTCCCTCTATCGCTTTCACCTGTACCACCAAAACTGCTCAACCTTTACACCGTATCTGCAAACGTGTTTTGCCCAGGCATTCAGCGTTATTCGGACCCATAAATCCCCAGAATAAGAAGAATTGAGCCAACCATAGCTTTTATTAAGCGAACAGCAAGGCTCCCAACTTAATGCCTAGAAACTTCCAGCAATGGTTCCCACAATTTGCTCCGTATTTCTCTCAGATACTGCGTGACAACTGTAGCTCAGAGTATCAAGCATTTCTGAGCGAGACTGATCTTTGGCCAAATCACCGTATCAACACTGTGGTGTCCTGCATGCTGAACCACATTGATGAGAGTGGAAAAGCCCAGATGGCAGCCGCATCGTTGTTGCTAGGCATTCTTCCCACCATCCTCGGCATGGTTGGATCCAACATAACCGAAGTCGGCCTTCTGGCATTGCGGCAGCCAATCCTTGCGATTCTCCTATCTCTTGGAGCCCCTGTTGTCTCACCTATCCGATACTTCGATTACCGAAGCCCGGTCGAAATATTAAAGACTAAACCGGATGCCATACAGGTATTCACGAAATGGCAGCAACAAATTTATCTTGTAAAATATGTAATTGCGGTAGCAGCAATCGGAAACGTAGTTCATATCTGGCAGCTCTGTGTGTATTCCATCTGCGTGTTCTCTAGAAGTACCTGGTGGTTGCCTGCACCGTATGTTCCGCTCCTCACACAGGGAGCTCTGATAGCTTCTTGCGTCATGCATAGTATCTAACACATATCCTTCGACAGCTAGGCTGGTGTTTCAATCGGACCTCATCTCCTGGGCGCTTATGCAGTTAGATTGAAACTTCGTATTGTGCCACGCAGGTCACTCTTTGCTGCTATTGTAGGCGAGTTTGATTTTAGCAAAAACCAAACAAAAGTGAAGTGGGATCGAATTCCTGAATCAAAATGGTATATTGTATTTTCTTGGCTGGCATTGTTTCTTACGATATTACATCTTGTTATGGGCACTGTGGTACTCTCTAGCGCCTTGTTCATCAGCCCATCTGATGCAGTAGTTCTATCAATTCGCCTTCTTAGCTCAGCAGTTGTATGTAGAATTCTTCTTATATTTGAGTTACACATTATAAGGCACTTTTCTCAACTATAAGAGAGAGAATTAAGTAGAAATAAGTATATGTATTATAGTCAACGAGGTCATAAAATATTTTTCTAGTAGCCTAAGAATATACTAATGTCAGGCGTAAGGGTAGATAAAGACATGAAGCAAGGGCAATAAGAGGAGAGATAGTCAAACAGTCTGTATTTATTATAGACGAACAGCTACCGATCAAAGGTAGTATCCGTTAAGTTTATATATACAGTGCTAAGTCAAATATGACTAAGGTAGCCTGCCTTGGGCCAATAGGTCCCAAAGAGGCCCAAAGGGGGTCAGAGGAGGCTAGGCTCTGACTGCATTCTTGCATGCGAACCCGTACCAAGGAAATGCACTCGTCACAAGACCCAAGTACATACGACATGTACATTCAGCCGCACCGTTGCATTGGCGCTAGTGCCGGAACTATGCATCTTGCTAACAATGCAGAGTCTGTAGCCTAAACAAGGCAATAGCATGGATTTACACGCAACAAGCACATATCGTACAAGCCACAACATTCGCACAACTCACGCATTATTGAACCACGCACCCAAACCACACTCACACACAGTATAGCAAATATCCACTCCCATGACTCCAATTTCCACTTCATCAACAACCTAAAAATCTTCGTGATATCTCACAAACAAACAAATCCGTGTACCATACCACCACCGCCGCTCCACCCGGCCCAGCCCACGCCACGAACCCGCGTACCCGCACTAGACCCAAAACAGACAATGGTACAATAATCCCAAACCCACCTCAAAGCAATTTCTCCCCCCACCATTCCAATTCTCTCCAAGGGCAAGGGAAAAAACACCGCAATGCATGCACACATACCCGTAGACTTGACCAACAACCTTGCAATCCCCCCCAGTCCAGGGCGTAACTTTCCACCAGCTTAGCAACCCCACTTCCGCCCCACATTCCCGCATATGTACATACTTACATACACTATGCAAGCCTTTTGTGACTTCCCCCCCCCCACTTTGCGTCGATGCGGCGTCGAGCATTGGAAATCGCGAATCACCGCATGGTCCTTCTTTTTCCCTTTTTTCTTTTACCGCTGCGGGTTTGTCCATTGAGGGGAGAATTGCCGAGAAGGGTAGGTTGGGGACATAGGTGTTGATTGTGGGAGAGTTGCATTGTCCGTTTTGGATGTTAGGGGCTTGCGGGTTGGTTATGCAGTGGAATGGGGGGGGGCGCGTGCATAAGTGAGTGGTACGGTGGGTTTTAATCGGTGATGGGGTGTGTGGGTACTTTGGTTCTGGAAGAAGAGGAATGGTATGAGAGAGCGAGTCAGTGGTTATTGGTGTTGATAGTTACACGATGTGAAGATGGAGATGCACCAGCGGCACTGGGATATTTAGATTACTATGGCCAGCGATACGCTGGTGGTAACTTACAAACAGCACGGAACCCACCCAGACAAGAAAAAAGAAGACCATTTCAGTTATCCAATAGCACCGTCATTTTGATATATCATTAACACAACGGCTATCGCCATTGTTGTTACCACTACATTACACCTTCTCAGCCTTGTGAGCCACGCCCCCAAACATCTTCTCACCTCCCATATCACCCCTCACAGGACTAGGCTCTGCACTTCCCTCCGCAACCGGAGCTTCGACAACAAACAGTGGCTCGCCCTGTACATCATCTTTCGGGCTTAACCGCCAATTATGTGCATTCTGATTCACACTAGGCTGTCTCCCTCTTCTCTTTGGCAAAGGCGGTGGCACTGTGGCTAGCTCACTGGCTGCAGAACTCGTCCTACGCCTCATCTCACGAAATATTTCCTCGCCATCTTCTGCGGCTGGACGCGCGTCTTGACCGGGAAAGTGAGCTGCAGGTAGCAGTGTTGTCGGTGTAAACGAACCCCGAGGGCTATCTAGATCCTCTACTGATTTTTTACTTGATAGTGGAGGAGAGGCTGCGACAGGTTTCCGTTTGGTGAGGTTTGCAAATGTAGAGGTTGCTGCTGCTGGAATGGCCCAAGTCTGCCTCTTGTCGTTCTTGGGTAAGGGGAGTGGGGTTCCGGGCGGCGGAAGCGGCTGACCTCTGCCCATGGGTTCGGTGTGTGATTTGGAAATCGAGGGCGAAGTTGGAGCCTGTAACCTAGGTTCCTGTAGTGCCTCTACAGACAAATTTGGGCCTTCGGACGTTGGCGGTCTATTGTTAGCAGCGGCTTTGTTGTTCTGTTTCGCCGCCAGCCAACTTCTTGCTGCTGCAGTAGCTGAGTTGAGAGACTGATTAAGAGTCTGTTTCCTAGTCTGCATGCTACTTGCTCCTGCTGCCGCTGCTGCTGCTGCAGCAATTTCTTGCTCAGACAGGTCTCTGGACTTGGCTCTGGTGTGAGCGTAATCAGCATTTGAGACTGGTGCTGACGCTGTGCTTTCTGCATAAACTGACGGTGCTGACGCATCTTCCGAGGAGCTGACTGAAGATTGGGTTGCTCGACGCGGGTTGCTCGGTCGCATGGGTGAACGCAAAGGGGTTGTGACAGGAAGGGACCGAGCACTGGTCGGCGTCGACCCGTGTTCGTGCGCTGTCTCTGCGGAAGCATTCGCTGAGTCGACCTTCACCTGCGCCATCGAAGAAGTCGACCGCATTGTACGTGGTCTTATCGATGAGGACGAAGACGTATGATCTGCAGAAGTAGAGATACCAGTCGCGACTTCTTCTGATTCAGCACTAGAGGAAATGGAGAAGTGTGCACTGGCAGAGTCGCCCTTCTCGTCAAGTCTTTGCATATCAGAAATGGCAGCGTCAAGTGTGGCGTCTTTTTGGATGGCCTTGTCCGCATCTTCACTCTTGGTTTTACAAGTATCTTCCCAGATACCTCCTCTGATGACTTGCGCTATCGTGTCTGTGAAGGGCATGTCGTCCCAGTTGGGAAGCACCAAAGTTTCATTGACGACTTCTCGTATCCGGCTTTCAATTGCCCTCAAGACAACACCGTAGGTAATCTGCCGTGAACTGACGATTGGCTCAAGAGAGAACTCCATCTTGGGCGGAGTCTCAAAGGTCATCCAAAGACGGTTACTTGGTGGTGGCTTGATCCTGATGAGAATGTGACCGTCAAGCCTCTTCAATACCGTAGCCAAGATGAGTGTCACCTCGCGGGCCTTGAAGCGCGTGCCCAGGTCTATGCGCACAGTCGCTGATACTTCGATAGAAAAGTTGCCCTTATAACTAACATCAGCTTCTACAACGAGGTCGCCATCAACAGTCAGCTCTTTGAGCTTCGGGTTAGTGATGAAAGGTGGTAGAGTGCCCATGTCGACTTTGCGCAACTGTACACTGCTGATGATAGCAGGTTTGGGAACGCGGGATATCTTCTTGTTGATTTTTGCTGCAATGAACTCTTTGATCTGCGAGGTCTTGTACATTGCTAGGAACACTCTGCCAATGAGGGCATTGATCCAGCGGGTGTGAAGGTTCTCCTCCGAAGCATGCAGCTGTTGTACCAGCTTTACAAGATCGGGCGTTTCGAACTTTAGCGGAACAGACGGCGAATCTGTGTCGGAAGGGTCCTTCTGGTTTTCCTGAGCATGGAGCATCGCGTGATAGAAGTCTTCCTTCTCAGAGCAATTATCAGAGAAGAGAAAGAATTGCTTTGGATTTGCAGTGCTGTCATCGTGCAGTTGCTGGACCAGTCGAATGCCTAGCTTCGTAAGTACTGTATGGATTAACAAGAGGATGTTTGCAAAAGCGTACAATTTCTCTTGATCCAGAGCTCGCCCTCAGGTATGCGCTCTCCACCTCCGTATATGTCCACCTGGTAGTGAGCTAGCGAAATGACGTGACGGACTTCGATCTGATCTTCGTTGTCGTAGAGCATGAGGTGCCCAAGGCTAGTATTCAGTCAGCCCTTGATTCTGAGGTGCGGCTTGTGCAGCCAACATACCGCAAGACAACATAGAAGACGTTCCGAGCCTTCTTGTTCTTGTTATTTGCCGCATCTATTGTCGGGCTTGTAGTCTTGTTGCGATCGAAGATGCTCCTGTACATGGACTGATAGACGCTGGGACTCTCTACCGCCACGACGGTACCTGCAGGAGTGGTTCGATCCGGAGGCTTGCCGTTAACGCCGCCCGGCACATAGTCCCGACACACAGCAAAGTACCCAGCGCAGACATCTGGCTCATGTGTTCTTCCTTTTAGCTTCTCCAGTATCTCATCGTCTATCGCTGCTCCTGGGTCTGTGTCGTCCCCTCCCTTGCTATTCACCGACCCATTCGATGTCCTGCGGGGTTGTGAAGCTTGTCCATGTTGGGTGGAGGCTGAATCGAGGATGTCATGTTCAACTGGCGTAGTACACCAGAACCATGCAATTGTAAGAAGAGCGGGCAAGAGGGTCAGTCCTCCTACAAGATAACCCCATATGAAGATGTTGAATACGGTGCCATACCCCCAATCCCCGCCCATGTTGCGTGACGTGTTATGCTATAATCCAGACCATCCCTCGCCATGTAACGTGTGCGGCGCGAAGGTCAGCGTGTAGTATAGGAGGGCAACGTGTTCTGAAGCATCGACCGGAAGTGTAACCTCGAGTACGGACCCGGGTAAATCGGCGCGTCGAGGCAGGGTGGTAGCGAGTGGCGTTGGGGAAAGCAATATAGCGGGCGCCAATGTTCAAGGGCTGGCTAGGGAGATCAAGTCAAGACAGAATCAAGCAGCGAGCCCCTTTGGACAAACAAGAGTCTCGAAGTGAAGCACTAGCCACGGTAGTCATCTGACGCGAAGCGAGGCTGACCGTTGGAGCTAATAAGCTATGCCATGGCCCATAGCATGCTATCCACGGGGCCATGCCGGAGACTTAGTGCTCCACATGTGACGATGCAGGTCGCCGATCGGCGCTAAGCGAGCCCTCCCGCTGAGCTATGACGGCATCTCTGACATTGCTTCCGTCCCATCTCCTGCGAACACGCGCCTCAGGTACAAGTACATATAAAATATATACATATGTACATGCTATATGTATATGCATACATACACACATACCCAGGCTTGCGGTATCCTGGAGAATTCACGCGCGCAACACGTCCCTGAGCGGTAAGTGGCCAAGCATCTCATGTGGCGTCACGGTTGGTCAGCTATGGCGGGGTCCAGCTGATAGCACCCTTATCTTGGAAGGGCACATGCAAAGTTATTTCTTTTGGTTCTCGACTGCGTCTCAAAAATATTCAGGTACTTCATCACTCTACTTGTTCAGTTGAGATATATCCATATCTTCAAGGCGGATCCGTTGCACTAACATGATTGACTTAGAAAGTCTACTCTCAACGCTAGCTAGCCGTACCTGTATCCATAGAACACCCCCTGGAGCTTTTGTCCAAAAGAAATACAAGCAATAGCCAAGGCTAGCAAAAGCCGACATGTCAACCACAGAATCCCAGTCCTACACCCCTGACATACCCTCGGAGCCTGTCACCAAAACCACCGACAACATCCATGTAGAGCTCACTCCCCATGACCTCGACTCTCTCGCCGCCACGCGCTTTGTCCGCTCTCCATCTGCAGGTGCGACTGTGCTCTTCATAGGAACAACGCGCGACTCCTTCAACGACCAGCCTGTCTCGTCATTGTCCTATACATCATACGCGCCCCTCGCCATCTCGACACTGTTCAAGATTGGTACCTCTATACTTGCCAAGCACTCTTGTACCAAGATCGCCATCATCCATAAACTAGGTGAATGCCCAATTGGTGAGGAAAGTATCGTGATTGCTGTCTCTGCCCCACATCGACAAGCGGCGTGGAGGGCAGGCGAAGAGGCGCTCGAAGAGACAAAGGATAGAGCAGAAATATGGAAGCTAGAAAGATTTGAAGGTGGTGAAGGTGTTTGGAGAGCAAACCGAGACGGCCAAAAGGGAGTCAAAGTGGGATAGAGTGGTGTTCTGGACTTTGTATACACAAGAGCACGCCTCTAAACTTATAGCGCAAGCTTGAATGATATGTACATAAGTTGTTCGCATCTCACCAAATCACACGCAATGTTTGTATTAAGAGAAGACATCTCTTGCATATGATCCAATGCCTCAACTACCCAGAAAGAACAGCTCTCTTCCTCGGCGTTACCGGAGATAACCCACATGCCGTCATTGCTTGTCACACACCAACGTTGAGGCAGCAGCTTCACGAATCATGCAAGACACACTATAGCTGAATACCGCCTTGCCTACACCATCATGGGTCAAGGAGAGTCGCACGAAGCACCTCGGTTAACACTAGGTATGTATGTATTCACCAAACTCACCGCTCCCCAATCTGACACCAGCCAGAGCAGCTCTCCCGAGCCATTGCTGAGCGATTCGCACAGAAAAGCTTCACGCCCCTCGAGCTCTACTGCTTCAACTCTGTATTCCGCTCGCTAGCTGACACGCAGTCTGGGGTGCACTACTGGAGCGAGACTACACTATGCCGATTCTTGGAGCTTCCCGACGCGCTGGGCGTGGGCTCGGTCGTCTTTCAGATGGCGAGTTACCTTGGAGCATTTCCACTGCCCAGCCAGGCCCCTGCCATTCTAACACATGAGGCGCTGCTCAAGGTTGTCACGATATTGACAGAGCGATATGGGGCAGTGGTCAAGAAGAGAGGGAGAGAGATTTGGTTGAGGGAGATTTATCGCAGTTTGGCGATATATGACAAGGGGATACGGTCGAGCGTAGAAGAGAGAGAGAAAGAAATTGCCAAGAATACGGAGAATCGGGGTAGCAGCAATTTGGGTTTTGCGATTGATGCGCCCGAGGATGGGGATGAGGGAGAGGACGAGGACGAGGACGAGGACGATGAGCTGGTGTTGGCTGCCCTCGAGTCCATGGATGCGATTGATGCATTCAAGCAGGGAGACCACACCAACGTCCACCACTCCATCATACCGACAGACAACTTCTTGAAACTAGTGGAGCTGCTGCTGCTCATTGCGCCGATAGATGCACAGCAGAGCCTCTCGAGTTTGGCACCGGATCTATCAGATGACAGAGTCGAAGAGCTTCGGCGCGCTGCACATGTTATACTATCGTCTTTTGGCATCGAAGACCATCCAGGAGTCACATATCGCGTCTTCAACGCTGTCATCTCAGCAACGCTGCCCTACCTTTTCAACGGCCTTAATCCGCTATTCGAGCACTTCCTTTTTGCAAAAGACTTTGATCTTTCCAAACGCAAGCCTGGCTCCACATCACCAACTCAAGAGAACCATCCCGTTATCCCACCACCCAAAGCAGAACTGGAGCCAGTCCTCCGTGAAGCAGGCGAAATCCTCAATCTAACCACCTTAAGCCAACTATCCTTCTTCATCAAAGGCAGCAACCTTTTCCGACGCCTCCGCCCCCTCTACAGCGGCAGCACCCATGGTTTCAGTATGGGCTCCTTCGAAAAACAAGTTTTCAACTGGCGCGCTCCCACAATCCTCCTCATAAAAGGCCGTCTCCTCCCCGCCACTCCCTCCAGCACTCGCGAACGCGCACTCCAAGACATGCTGCCACCCAAGCGCCATGCAGATAGCATTACGCCCGCCTCACCAAACCAAACCCTCATCTACGGCGCGTATATTCCTTCGCAGTGGAAACACACCGGCAAGTCTTGCTTCGGCGACTCTACGACCCAACTCTTCCAACTCTCACCTACCCACGACGTCTTTGCCGCGTCGTCGTATAGTACGGACTACACCTACTTTAATAAATCCCCAACCCAACCTGCGGGCATCGGCCTCGGGACCCCCGTGCCCGCTCAATCAGCCTCCTCATCATCATCCTACTCTTCGCATTCCGTCTTCCGCCCCGGTCCCGTATCCTTGCATCTCGACGACGCGCTCGAATTCGCAGTCTTTACGCATTTGGCTGAGGGTGGAGGTTCATTTCTTCCGTCAAGACTCCCGGCTAGAAGGGGAAAGGATTGGCAGGATCGATTTGAGATTGAGTGCTTGGAGGTTTGGGGGTGTGGGGGGGATGAGGTGGCGGAGCAGCAGAGGAAGGAGTGGGCGTGGCAGGAACGAGAGGCTGAGGCGAGGAGGAGGATTAATTTGGGGACAGGGGATGTGGAGATGGATCGGGAGTTGTTGAAGATGGCGGGAATTATTGGGGGAGAGAGGAGTGGTGGGAGTATGGGATGAGATAGTAGGGGTTTGTGGTGGGTATTTGGGAGGGAGTAGTGGTATGGAGTAATGATACAGATGGACCTTTTTCTTTGTTAAGAAGGACAGATTTTAAACCTCTATTTCGTTTCTCCCAAATCCCCCCCCCCTCTCCTTCTCATGCAATAGTCGAGTAACCCATATATTCCATCGAATACCTACCTTCAAATATTTCCAAATAAACGCCCATAATGCTTCTAGCACAATGTATATCGTACACCCTACCCATTAATCATCCAAATTCATCCCTGCCTACTCCCACCATCAGCAACTTCCTCTTTTTCCCCACCCTTTGACAAACAAAGCAACTCAAAAAGAAGAAAAAACTCACCTCTGCTTATGCTTGGGATTCTTGGAACAAATAATATACACATAACGTCCCTTCTTGCGCCTCACGCTCTTGCACCCTTCACACAGTTTCTTGACCGAGCTCCGGACTTTCATGCCGCGAGTCTGGCCGAGGCCATGCTTGAGACCCAACCCATTGAATCGCGAGACCAGATCGCCAATATTACTGTTGTTGCTGCTGCTGCTGGCTGTGGGACGGGAGGAGCGTGCGAGAAGGCCTGGGCGCAGGCAATTGCAGCTTGGGGTGTGCATGTGCATGTGTTGCGTGCGCCGGGTGAGGAGCGGGGCGCGGGCAGGGAGCGCGCGGCGGAGAGGGAGGGTGAGGGCTCTGGAGAGCATTTTGGCGGTGGGATAGAGAGATTCGAGAGGGGTGGATGGGTTGGTGGGGGGAGTGGCGGCGCGGCGGGGAGGGAAGATCGCAGGGTGTCGAGGTGTTGGAGGCGTTTGCGGAAAAAGTGTGCCAAGGCGCTAGTGGGGGTTATGGGGGGACTGAGGGATGGGGTTATTTGGATGGGGGTTTGGTAGGTTTGGGATTTGAATACTATCTTTCTTTTTTGATTGTATGTTTTGGTTTTCTTGAGGGGGGGGGGGGTTTCCAGCGGGGATTTTTTTTGGAATACCTGGTTACATTGGCGAGCGGGTTTGATGAGGTACATACTTTACTCTCGGTGCCTGGACCATCAAAGACTTCTGTCCGAGGATGGGTTCGTGTGAACAGTGATATTCACATACAGAGAAGGATTTATTGTATATGAGAATACCCGTATTGCTCTGGATTATGCCAGACAAGTTATATTCAAAGTTTTTCAACGTAGAAAAATGCAACATAACTCCTACTCCATCACAGCAAACCAAACTTGTCAAACGCGTGATAGATGAGACGCCGAAAATTCCATCCCATCTTCGATGAAGATATATGTCACTCAAGTACCAATAAATTCCCAGACCGCAATTCGATTTTCTGGGTATCAACTGCTGTTGGACAAATCTCACTTGCCGTCTCCTATTATATCCCGTGCCGCATCCTTCACCCTTTCACTCGAATCAACAAGCTGCTGTGCCGCCGTTTGAATCGATATGCTTTCCCGCTGCATGGTCCTGACTGTGCCTTCGAGCGTCTGCGTGCGCGAGCGGAGCCGATTGATTTCCGCCCGGAGAACATTGATCGTCTCGGTTTGCGACGAGGACGAAGGAGCATAATTCTGGGGCGTCGATTCGCCCGGTACTGGTGAGTAATTCGAGGTTGCATGGCGTTCTGAGCCGGGCGTGGGTGTGACGTGATGCTGGTCACCAGTCACCATGGCTTCTTCCAGCACGCGAATCCGCTGCTCCAACTCCGTCCTCTCTACATCCCATTTCTTCTTGTCATCTGCTCCCTGAGACTGCAGGCGATTCGCCATCTCCATGATGCGCATATATTGTGCTCCATTTGCAATCAGCTGGCGTCGAGCTTCATCCCGGCTCTGCTGCAGATCCTCGACTTGTCCTTCAAAGGCTACAACTTGGCTTTGCAATTTTTCCTTTTCGTCTGTCAAACTGTTGATTTCACAGTCACTGACTTCAAACTTCTTTTCAAGAGTGGCGCATTTTGTTTTCTGGCGTTCGAGCTTCTGGAGAAGGTTGTCATATTCGCGCTGGAGAGTTCGGAATTCTAGTGTCTTAATGGTAACCTGGTGTTGTAAGTCCTGCAAGAGAGTGTTCTGTGCTGAAGCGTGGGCGGACGTGATGGGCGGAGTCATTGACGACAAGCTTTGAGAACTTGAGAAGTTCAGCGACGATGGCGAAGGCAATATGGTCGGGTGTACGGGCTGTGTAGCCTGTGTTGGTGATTGTGGAAGCATGTACATCGCTCCATAGGGCGCTGCTGTTTGCTGTGGCGAGCCCCCGACAGCTATTGACGCTGTACCATAGGGATTTCTTCTGGGGTCGTCTGGAGAGGAATTAGAACGCGTAGAATATCCATAATCATGGTGAACTGGGTACGGTCTTCTCGGCGGAGACTGTTCCTCACGTTCCTCCAGATGGTGTTGAGCTCTCCGCATATTTGGCGAGTCCTCGAGTGGAGATTGTAATCTTGTGCTATGTATGGGCTCCTGCTCTAAGTGCTCCTGCAGTCGGACATTACCCTCATGCGCGCGATCGAGAGCCCATTGCAGTAACTCTTCGACCTTGGCGTGACTGGAGGTGGGTGGCTATTAGAGCGCATCAGCATTGCCATTTCTTCAACAGAGGCTGACGTTACTTATCAGCAAGTGTGGATTTGTATTGGACCGCTTACCTGGGACGAGACTTGTGGCTCTGTACGCGTCAGATCATTGAGTTTATGTACCAACTCGCCCAGGTCTGTAGCAAGTTTGTGCATCAAAGAGCGTGAATTTGAGCATACCTGGCCCCTGCAATCAGGTGGACAACAAGTTACTGGCCTTGGTGCAGACACCTGCTGAGGAATAGGATCAGGATCCACGGCCCGCTTGGCGCGCGGTTCAGGAATCAGCGAAGGGATTGTTAAGAGCTCTGTAATCGTTTCAGCTACGAGTACGGATGAGCGAGTCGCAATTCCGTTCTTCGAATGGATGGAGAGCACCACACTAATAGTAATCATAGCCTGTGCTCCAGCTTCTTGGCTAGCATGATTTACATCTAATAAAGAAAGACAATGGTACCTGTGTGGTGTTTGTGTGCACTCTGCCTTGGATGATGTTCGAGAACATCGAAAAGAGAATAAGATCCACGTTCAGATCTACTCAACTCGAGTGACGGCGGTGGAGGCGAGCACTGTGAGGCGATAGTGGCAGGGCTAGCTGAAATACTGTATGAAGAGGCGAGAAGCGGTGGCAGTACCCGACGGTCTAGAGCAGGGCTGTCGCGAGCAAAGAAGCCGGCTTGTGGCGGGAGCGGGGAAACCTGCTGGGCAAGGGAGGCAGTCAGGATCGAGCTGCGACGCTTTGGTTGAACGTCAATGCTTTCTTCGTTCTCCCATGGTCGTTTATCGCCCGCACGAGACTCCATGGATATACCTGGCCTTGTATTCACCTTCTATGAGCGAATGCTAACGCCGCCTCGCGCCATTCGGACTTGGGAATTACTTTTTAGGTATTAGTAGTGATCAATTCTAAAGAACATAACAGGTCTTCTCAAGGCCCTGCAGGTGCTGAGAGATTACTAATGACAGGTGAAACGCGTGCGTATAGGCCTGGAAAAAGGTGACTAGTGCTGCGCATAAACTTAGCAGCCGTCTGGGTATGGAATCTATTCCGGAACGACGCCAACACTACAACGAAAACACATGTAGATAATCAAACGTAACGCACATTGGAAAAGCAGTAGTAAATTCAGTATGGCGGACTAACTGGAGCGAAGGCCACTACCGTGAACTGTCAGTGTACCCAAAGTGCACCGCCAGTACGTGAGCAAGGAGACAACGCCACTGCTGTACCATACCCTGGCTGTACTCATAGAACCCGCGAGCAGGAGAAGCCAAATCTGTGCAAAAGAGGCCACTAAAATAGCAAAAGTGCTTGGGTGGGCGAGCTGGTCACGAGGAAGGGGGGTCGCTGCAACACTTTGAATCCGTTGGCCTTGGCAAAAACATGCCTAGTGGTGCAGCTAGAGTCCGGAAAGTGGTGAAATTCCAGCAAAGGCAATGACAGCAAACAACGAGATGATGTTGCGTGGGGATGAGTGCTGAGTAAGATGGGTGGATAATTGTTGGTAATGATGAGTGCCACCTTGTACGGGGTTAGCGCTACTTAGTCAGTCTTAAACAAACAAGGCCTCCCGAAGTCTTGTCATGCCATTTATGGAAGCTAACCGAAAGTCGTTGCCGTCTCGTCTTTGCTGCACCTGCGCATTCCTCAAAAGATAACCGTGTCGGTAATTTTCCAACCTCAGAGGCAGAGGTGATACATTGGCAATGCCCAGCTAGCTATATCTGAATCCTTACCGCTTGGTGCGTACCACAGGCATGTTGGAATGTGTCATAGATAACCATGTCTGGCCACGGTAGTACAGCACAACAACAATGACTAAGCTTCCTTGAGCAAACATGCCGCGGGAGCCGCTTGATGGGCAGAGGATACATTTGCGCATATTTGGGTATACGTGAAGAAGAGTCCTACGGATGCTTTCCATCTGGCCTTGGCCGTCCATAGTCTCAATCTCTCCAAGCCGCCATCTCCCCTCCGTTATCCGATGCATGCATGCCGACGTCCCGCGCAATAGTCCGCAGACGGTCTTCTACCCAAAGCTTCTCCCTTGAAACGACTTCAGCCTCTATCTTCTGCATTATCTGCAGCTCATCTAGGACCCCGCGCAAGATAGTAGTGCATGCGTCGACCATGGATGAAATGCTCGATCCGGGCGTCGGTAATGCCAGCCTCTCTAAATCACCAGCGAATACGGTTAACTTCCGGATCAGCGCTGCAGTATCCGCCTTCCATGAATCTCTGAGGCCTTCGATCGTTCCAAGGGCATTGCTTCCACCAGCATGACCTCCCCGGGCAGACCGTATCTCCTGAACCCACGAAATCCATTGCTCAAAATCTGCTACAAGACGCTGGAGACGACCACCTGGCTCGACCAGCGATGGAAGCTCGTGAAGAGGTTCTGAGAGAATCTGTACATGTTCGACTAGACCTGCCGTCGAGCCGCCATTGCTCCATTCGAGTAAGGAGTGTAGGTTCTTCTGCTCTTGACCAGCCCGTTCATTTTCTAGCATGACCTGATGCAAGCTAGCAACCTCGTCAAATTTGGAATGCAAAACGCGCTTTGCGCTCTGCTCCCAGCGCTGACTCACGTCCGCAGATGACCGATGTAAGAGATGGAGTTGAAGTAGATCGGACTGCAGACTGGCTATCTCGGGAGGAAGTGAATGGGATACAGGCTGAGGAGCGGGGTTGATGAATGACGCAGTCGGGGCTTTGCCGGTCTTGCGTGGTGTGAAGTGCTGTTGAAGGGTACTAAAAGCGGGCCGACTGGTCTTCTTAGCTTCCTCCACAGTGACCTCTTTCCGCTTTGGCTGAATAGCAGAAGGTTCTTCAGACTTGGATGTCACACCACTACCGGCAACAGCAGCTGGTGCATCGGACTTAGTCCTGACACTTGCCGTGCGTCCTAATCCTGTGGTCCTTGCCGATATTCTGGAAGTGCTAGGTACTGTATCTGCAGAGGTATTGCTGGCCTTTGTAATACGGCTTGGTGCTGCGGAAATAGATTTGGGACGCTCTGTGCCGGTAGTTGCTTTGGCAAGATCCCGTCTCCCGGTCGATATAGTACTGGTAGACTGTGTACGAGCGTGGCCGCTCAGTGCTGAGGACTGGCCTATCTGAGATGTAGCAACTGGCTTCCGTAATGATTGAGACCGGCTTAGCCCGACCTTTTGAGGCTCAGCAAGTTTGCTTACTGAAGTAGGTGGACGTATGGAGCGGGAGCTTGTCTTGTCACCCTGACCAGCCGATTGAGACGAAGGAGTGCCATGTTGGTACACTGCTCGTGGACGAAGCCGTCCTGGCGCCGCGCCTGTAGCCTGGCCCTCTTGTGCTGACGTTGCAACCTTTGGCGGTGACTGGGCATCACTTGGGCTGGGGCTCGTGTCCTCGGCCTCAGGCTCAGAAGGCTCCGGAAGGATACTTGAGCGAGTGTTGTATCTGTGCTGCCCTGGTTGTGGAAGTAAACTACGAGGCTTCGCACCCTCTGCATCATTTTGCAACGAGGCGACAGTACCGGCATTCTGGCGTCTGTTAGGTTTTGCCAGGCCATAAGGCGAGACTGGAAATTACCCGGGACTGCGGATGTGCATTACTGATCCTTCCTATTTGTGAGACAGGCTTAGCACTCATGTTGACGCAGGCAAAGTTACCGTCATGGATAAGCTGGGCTGGTGTTCGTTGTCGAGCAAGTTGCAAACACGACACATGGGATGTTGACGGGGCCAAAGCTCGGGGCATCTGGCGCTAAGCCTAAATGGGCCTAGAGTTGTTATCGATAGCTGTTCAGGTATGACGATGGAAGCAGAAGGCTTAAGACAAAGTGAATAATGTCGTAGATGGTTCGTAATCTATTGTACCTAAGCTGACTGTCTGACGCAATGCTTGCTTCGTGATTCGGTCGTCCAGCTACATGATGGGTTTCCTGTCGCGAAAGCACAACCGCATGCAACTCTGAGTGGGGGTCACGCCCATGCAATTGCAAAGAGGTCCCGCCTTTGCCGCTGCAAGCGACGTAGCACAGAGTGAGAAAGCATACTTTGCAAACCTCACCATGCTCACAAGCTGCCGCGGCGAGCTGGAAAAGACACACCCTCGATAGCAGGGTAGTCAACGAACCAGCTGACCCGCTCTCCGCCCCTGTGGTTCACCAGACCGCACGGCAACTGCTGTCCTTCATCGGTATCAAATATCTGGCGCATAATATCCTTCTTTCCTCCGCCAGTCGCCACAAAGGCAATCTTCAGTCCGTGTTGCGCAACGGGGAGCGAGATGGTGATACGTTTTGGCGGAGGCTTCGGAGAATCGGAAATGGGGAGAACCCAGGCTTCGGTTTCGCGGAGAAGGTCGGAGCCTGGAAACAAGCTGCATGTGTGTCCATCGGGTCCGCAGCCCAGTAGAAGCAGGTCGAACAATGGTAGCTTTACGCTGTCGCGGGCAGCAAAAACGCTGACAAGCGTCTTTTCGTACTGGTCGGCCAGCTCTTGTACATCGTCGAGATACTTGACATCGATTGGGTGGACCTTGGGTGTGCCTAGTTCTTGCGGTATCTTATCCAGAAGCTCCTCCTTGACCAATCGGTGGTTGCTGTCTTCATGGTCGAGGGGCACAGCGCGCTCGTCGGCATAGAAAATTTCCCATTTATCGAATTGGATCTTGCCTTCGCCATTAGTCTCCTTCAAAAGCGCTTGCGCAAGCGTCTTGGGCAGAGAGCCGCCGGAGACTGCGACACGGAAGACATGATGACGGTCGAGGGCGGCATTTTGGGCGTCGAGCACGTAGGCACGCAGGCTTGGGGCAAGCTCGGCGGCACTTTGAAAGGCGTATAGATTCGGAGGCTTTCCCATTGTGCAAAAGTGTGTGTATGTGTGTGTATAGTGTTGGTGGAGTGAAGTTTGCAGGCGCGCGGTGGAGAGGGGTCGGCCTGGTGGTGGGGCTATGTGCCGGTATTTCGTGTAGCGGGCCAGTGACGATAGTGACGTGCGCAGCTGTTGCTTGACTGGTTTCGTCGATTCTACGCAGAAACAACACGGAGAGAAAAAGACGGAGCTGATAACGAAGAAGGGGTGGGGACTGCCTACGAGATGAAATCGAGGTGCAGTCGGCCCTCGTAGCCGGCGTCCATTTTGAGCAACCCGTGCAGCTATTTCCGTGGCAGGTATCGCATTGCTCTCTGGCCTGTCATGGCGCGTTTTGCGCGATTATTGAGGGCTATCGCAAGGCGCCAGAACAAGACATTCAAGAAGCCCTGGTAAAAGGATGGAAAGAACAGCAACGGAAGTATATTTTTCTACAGCAGACAGGTGAGCACTGCACATGACCGTTACCGTCAAGCCACCAATGAACAACGTTTAGACAACAAGAGGCATTTAGGTCTAGCCCATGATGCAGTCATGTGATTGTCCCCGCTACTCTACATCAACACATGTGCACGAAGTATATGTATGTACTCTATCGAGCCGGGGAGATATGTCGAAAGCCGGTGCACTAGAGGAAATGGACGTGAATGGGCTTACGTGCATTATGCTGTACGCCAACTCGTAGTCGGTGCATGTGTGCCCATCTGGCGGTAGGCTAGAATGAGAGAGAGAGATGAAATTGCAACTGTGGCTCCTTTGTTTGCTTATTCACTCTACTGCATGTCGAGCAAAACTCGGATGCATCGTGTACCAGACATTTCTGAGCACGTTTGAATGCACTACTATACCCAAGACATGGTCCAGAGGAACGATGTGCATTGTGCATGTTCGAACCACAAAGAACCACGTCTACCTCTTGACTTGCTTTTTATGACCTGAGAAAAAGCAAGAGCATATTCCTGACCGGGAATAGGCAAATAGACCAAGACTGTGGTGTTTGCTAGGACCCGTCAACTGCCGGAAACTTTGTGTAAATGCGAGGCTCAGACTGGACCAAATATAGTTTCGATGGGAGCGCTCAGGTAGATAGTGGCTAGGCGCGAAAGAAAAGCCTACCAGTTCGGACAAAGCGAGGCAGATCCTGTACCAAAAACAAACAAGGCGGTCCCAAGCCCAGACTTTCCAGGGAAAAGGGGCACAGAGGACGATAACGGGCGACGCTCCAATGAATGGTTGCCACAAGATGGTGCGCTGTTTTGCTTTGGACCGTGTGGAAGTTATTCAATAGAGGCATTATTGCACAGGGCGTGCAGGGCTAGGCTATGCAACGCACGGTTGAAGGCGCACCCTGAGGAGTTTGATTGCGACCCAAGGTCGACGACTGCTGGGAGCGCTTTTATGCAGGTCCACGTCGACATTCAAACACGCAACAAGTGAGTATCACTGCGCAGAATCCCTCCGAGATGTGAGGCAAGGTTTGGACCTGCGGAGCCATGGGTAGAGTGCCATTTGTCCTGTGCTCTTTGAAACGCCATGGCAGGCAGCCGGGGCTGGACATGTCTGGCACGGTTGCATGTTTGATGAAGCGGTGAAATATGGAAGAAGATTGATCCGTTTTGAGCAGGACATGATGGTTAGGGGGCACCTGCATGAGATGGAGCAGCGGGCGGGTTGGCGCAAAAGCTGGGGGAGATGTGTATACAAGCAATGGATGGGTAGAGAAGCGCCTTCAGTCTTGACTTGATTGCTTGCTTGCTGCTAAGGCAGTGCTAGTCATAGTGCAGGGACCTGGTATGTTCAAAAGGCGGTTCCTGCAACGTGACCTGGTGTTCACGGCCGTGGATCTAGACCGCGAGCCAACGGTTCGGCCCGCTAAGAGACCGACGATGGGCGAACAACCACAGGCTGCGAGAATAGCGGTCGCAAAGTCCGCGGTGGGAGCTGGAATCCATGGCTGGGAGAGAAACTACCGCATGGGGAACGGGTTTTGTCAATGGGCACAGGTGCAGGTGGTGTTGGGCGAAGGCCCGGTGGGCTCGGCAAGCGGAGAGGAGGGGGTGGGTAGCAGTACAGTAGTAAGCATACGCGCGTTACTTCGGAGCAGTGAGCGAAGCGGGCGTTCCGGGTTGCGGCATGTGTGTAAGTTGATTAAGTCTGTTTTGTATAAGGACGCGACGGATGGCTGCGGTCGGTGATTGCGCAAGCCGTGGGTTGCTGAGCAACAGGCAGCGGGGGCTGTGCCAGGCATTCAGTCCGTTAGTCCGTCAGTCAGTCAGTCAGTCAGTCAGTCAGTCAGTCAGTCAGTCAGTCAGTCAGTCAGTCAGTCACAGTCACAGTCACAGTCAGCCGTAAGCAGCCGGCAATAAGTGACGGCGACGGCGACGGCGACGATGTGGTCCGGAGGGCGAAACGCCCGTGGCAGTGGGCAGCACTGGGCGGGAGCAAGCGTGCATGTTCAGTTTCAGTTGTGGATACGATCAGAGGTAGCGGCGATGTGCTTGATCTCGATGTCGACAAGCGGACTAGTGTAGTAGTAGCAACTAGAAACTAGCAGACGACAGCGTGAGTGTGTGGGCGCGGGGACACAGCGGGCAGGTGGCCATTCGGGGCCCATTGGGTGACGGTGCAAGGGAGGCGGCGATCGAGACCACACCCTGGATCGCCAGTTGCACGCCCTCGCTCAGCCGGCAACCCAAGGCAGCCAGGCCGTGTGAGTCGCCCTTGGGAGCCCTTGGGAGCCCTTGGGGCCCGGCACTGTCGCAGTCGCATGCCCAGCCACAAACCAATCGCTGCTCGTCTGGCCCATGGCCCATGGCCCATGGCCCATCGTCCGATGTGCTGTGCGAGCATATATCTAGGCGGCTGCGATCCCTCGTACTGTCCGCTGATTCACGCCCCCCGTCATCGTAAATAGAGCACAAAGACATCCACTCGACATACCATGACGGCACATCACCTCGCTTCAGACGACCTGTTCACCCTGTCAACAACCTTATCCACCACCCCGTCCCTTTGCTACTTCAGCATCCTGCCCGCCGCACACTTTTCCGCAGAGACACCTTCCACCAGCCCCGTGTCCGAGTACCAGGCCTGCACCCCTTCGGACCCCGCCAACCCACTGCTGGCCTTCCGTCCAGGCCCTCCGTCGTTCATGTCCGCCGACGCAGACGCCTCGCGTCTGCTGCAACTGCAGACCGACGCTTCGCACCGCCCCTCGCCAGATCCCCTCCAGCCACAGCATCGCGCCTCAAGTGCCTTGTCCAACAGCTCGGTCAGTTCGGCCTCGAGTTCCAGTTCCAGCTACACGCCCCCGTCGACGCTGTCTTGTTGCCGCTGCCGCCGCCAGTGCCTGGCCAACATGTACCAGATTGGCACCAACCGCTACTACTGCAGCCACTGCGCTAGGATGACTGGTTACAGCGCTGGCTGAAGCTTGTCCCCTGGCCGCCCCACACTGTTCGCTACAAGTACACCGACACGGCTAGGCCGCTGCTCCACTGCCTGGATACACCCATCCATCTACCACCTGCATGGCTCGACAGCTCCTTTACCATACAAACACTCTTACATGCACATGTCTGTGCTATCAAGGCGCCCGCCACTACTGCGACTATCGCTATCACCCATTACTGGCACTTCCACCTGCATGTTCGGCCCGTAGCTTGGAAAACATTGGCATCGAGGAAATAGGACCGAGCGCATGATCATGGAGCGCCACTAGAGAGGTCCGACAAGGGAATTATGGTTAGGAAAGAGGGGAAGGAGCATTGGCAGCGTATATTGGTGCCCATCAGCTGGTATCCAATATCTGGTTGCTGCTATCTGCACGAGACAGGGAGGATACGGGCGCATTGAGCGCCAAGGCAACTATATGTAGAGCTGGAGTTTGCTGCATCACGCTGCACTATAGCCGGCCTGTTTGACGATGAGAGAGAGAAATATGATACCCCTTGCTATTGTATATGAGATTGTGTCAAATACTGTCTTGATTGATTGATTGTATTGCCGTCGTTTGGCAAGTGAGCCGACATGGCAGTGTCTGTCCAAGTGGTGCGCCTGGCCTGGTTTCGGGGTGAAGTGATAGGCTGTCAGTGGGGAACAACTAGTACCTGCCAAGTCCCCGTCCAATGTCCACACAGCATCCACCGATTGCTGGAAACTTCACAGTCGCATGCATGGGGCACAGCCACACTAAACCTCCAACGGCTGTAGCTCCAACTGTACTTGCTCGCTCTCTACTCATACACCATGTACATATTTGTATGCTATGCACGCGCATCCGTATTTGGACAAGAGCCGGTCACAGTGATTAAACATTTGCCGCTGGCGAATTGACGCAAGCAGTGTGCAACCACGACAAGATTCACGATGGCTACGACGGCTTCAGATGGACACGCAATATTGAATGGCCTCAGGCACGTCAGAATGAAGGCATTGCAAAACATTCTTCGCCCCCCTTCCCCCCCCGCGCAACCCACCGGTCGGCGTCTGGCGTCGAACTCCCGTAATAGGGCCCCACCTTAATCTCACTCTATTCTCTGCGCGCAGTCGCTCATCAATTGTAATGGCGTACGTTGCTGTGCAGGGCGTGTAAATGTTTGCCCGCTACAGTCTAGAGTCGCACCTCCGTGTTGCATCTTCATCGCCGATGCAGATGTGCAATGCTCGCCGCTGATCGCACTGCCACGTCCTTGTTGCGCCGGAGCGTTAGACTTTGAGCAGGGCGCGGTATTGGTAGCAGGCAGTTCTCTTGGTCCTTTGCAGCGTAGGGAGGGGGGGGGGTGACACGGAGCACGCGCAAAAGTCAACTTACACAACACGTCCCTTCTTCCAAGGTGGCGTTCGCTAAGCGCAATCACCCTTCCCAATATTCACGTAATTGGTCTGCTGAGATCGCCCGCCCAGATTAATTGTGGGCATGGTAATTGTGCAAAATCCGATCCCCATCGCGATCCTGATGCACTTTGCTCCCATCGACAAGAGAAGACAGAGATTGAAAAAAAGAGTGGGGTGTCCGTGTGCACATGCGACGCCACCATCGTTCCTCTTTCCCTTCAATCGACAAAGCCTTTTCCCTTTCGCGTGACGGGCTGATTTTGATGCATGTTAGCCGCGTTTACTCCTACGTACGTACACTACTACCGATCTTTACTCGATCCTCTCCCGCTCGCTTGCTCATACACACACACACACACACACACACACACACACATATGCACATCCAATATGCAGGCTTTTTGCGGACCCGGACTTTGAGCCAGAGATCGCGGGATCCCAAACAAACTGCCCAACCAGGAGAAAGGCGTCCAGTGTTCAGTGTTGGTGTCAGATGCCCTCCGCGCCGCATCGTTGGCTGCCTGCCCTCTCTCCAGACAAACTTCGTTGCAACAAGGTTCGCTGGGTCAGTTTGGTGTATGCGTGTGCGGGAGGTTTGTTTACTGGTGTTCCCCGAAAAACCTTATTGGGTTATCGAGATCCAGTTTATCGATCCGCTAATGCCCATGACTTTGGTTGCGCATGCGGGAATAACGAGATAGCGAGAAGAGGGGAAACGCAACCACACAAAAGTGTTTCGCATGTGTCGAGATCTCGCCATGGAGTTTCCTGGGGCTCAACAGGTATCATCCCTCCGCTGTCACTTCTATCTCACTCTTTTCTTCTCTCCTCGCGCGACGCTTGCGACATGTGCCGTCATGGGATCTCAACTGTGTCGGAGCCCGCAGTGACATTTGCCTCACTCACCAAATCACATCATCGCACAGTGTCGCATTGTCGCCTCACTTGACTAACAAGCACGCAAACGCGCAGCCCTATCGTGTCACCCGTCCATTGCCTTTTTCTCCGAACCATGACAGTTGGGGCCTTTCCCCAAACCCTCTTGGCGTTGATAACCCCGCGCACAGTCTCCGTCTTTGACACATCGACGATGTCAGGCGGCCATCGAAGATCTCCCGTGTTCGATGTGGATGGGTCTTATTTCCCGCCGTCCGTGCGTACTTTTTTTTCTCCTGCCCTGGCGCTGTTTGACTACTGTCTTTGGGCGTCTTCCGTCCTTCTTTTCCTGCCGACTTTAAAAGGGAATCGAGATGAACAGGCATCATGGTCGTAATAGCCAAGCCGCCGCATCCACGCTTCCGTTTTGATCTGCAACGGGAACCAACCCGTGCTGATGGACAACCTGCTACCATCGACGATGACGAACAGGTCCCAGCACCCCGGGTAAAGTAAAAAAAAATCACTACGCTTCCTTCAAACAGCCCGCGTTGCCATTATGTTTTCTTTCTCACCCGCCCTAGATGTAAGCTGCTCCCACCAGCCTTATTCGCTCTCTAGCATGCGGTACGATGTACGTCAAGAACACACTATTCAGCTCCTCAAACCGCTCACAAACGCCTCAACTCGCCGGAGTTTAGATAAGGCTAAGCCCGCTAGCTTTCCAGTCCTCTAGATTAGATCTGCCCTAGCGACCAACTTACGCAAGCAAAAAACCAAGCTGCAAGCAAGAAAAAATAAACGGCCTTGCTTCTTTCCCGTGTTCTTCCCTTGCGCTATGCATCCCGCATGAACCTGATTCTCTTTTTTTCCGCAAAGGACAAGTCTCCACACCAGTCTGGGCCCTTCCATTTCCGCGTCTGTCTCTCCTTACCTTCCCCCTCTTCACACTACCATGTCGAGTAATCCACACGATGTCGCAAGAAGAAGAGAGGAACAAAAGTAAATCACCTTCCTTTGTTTAATTATGCGCGCTACATCCGGCCGCTTTACCCAGCAACCTGCAAACCTCTTCTCTAGCCCCTTTGTTGCCCCGAGTAACCCAGTTTTATCCTCCTAGCCCATACCATACCATCCGCCCTTCGTCTTTGCACCGAAATCGAAGTCTCCATAGGCATCAGACGGCTCTTTTTTTTATGCAACAACTTTTAAGCAAAAAACTATGTATGGGGACAGATTAACTCCGCTTTCCCGGGCCTAGTCGTGTACCCACGCGCGCACGCACGCACGTGTCTACAACATCTACCCGCCTTACCCACCCACGCATCTCCACCGAAGTACATACCAAATCCAGTAAGTCAGAGTCTCCAGTAACCAAATGCCGTGCATAGCGGGAGTGGGGTGCGCAATATGAAGCGTAGAATGCAACACTTGGTCTCCCATAACTATAAGTGTCAGTGCTTCATGCAGGGCATCGGGAGATTTATCTTCTCCATCTACTATCTATCCTAACTTATTTTTCTGTTTAGTGATCAATTGAGGGTTTTGGGCTTGGCATACGCGCGCGCGGAGGAGTACCAAGGCTGGATCATGTGCCGAGGTGCGTTTTTTTCTTTCTCCTTTTCTCTTTCTCTTTCTTTGCGTTTGTTGTTGTAAAGGTGGTGCTGGGACTGCCCGGGCAATCGGGTGATGAAAGCATTTAGTTGGCCTTTTGGGTTATACGAGGTGAGAGGGGGGGGGGGGGGGGGGGGCACGCGACGCGGCGCGCTTGCTGTTGGGGTAAAGTAAACTATTTGTCTATAGTATCGTATCGTCATCTTTTTTCTTAGTTTTTTTTCTTAGTTTAGTTTAGTTTTTGCATCGAAGATGCTTTTAGTAGTTTTCTTCCGCTCTTCTTTCTCCTTTTTTTGTGGAATCGAGATGCGATGGTGGGGGAGTGGTTCGTGATGCGAATGACGAGGGTTTTGGTTGGTTTGGTGGGAGTTGATACGGAGTCGGTTTGTGTGTTTGTGTCATGCGGGCGAGTCAGGAGATGGTGGGTTGTATCGGGGAATCGAGATAACTACGTAGTTTTGTCGAAGAGAGATACGAAGTTGTAGGCGTAAACAGGTTAAGATGGACATTTGCATTACTCTAGGGTTGGATGGTCAAGACACCCAATTATGTGACATCGGAAGCTGTCTTTCAGTGCGTATTACGATTACGATTGTTTACTGTTCGTGGCAGCGTACCGCGTCAACTGAACGCCCAAGCTCAGGTGAGCAGGACCAGTGTAAGTCTGGGTATCAAGCGAATAATCGGCAATCTTGAGCGGAGCCCTCCATTGCTCCACCTTGTTGTGATCCTTCTCCTCAAAGCTTAGTTCGCGCTTACGGATAGCCAGATAGTGCAAAGTAGTACTACCAACAATACAAAAGTTCCTGCCCAACCAAGCACTGTCGGCGACAGACTTTCCAGCCACACTCTTATCGAGCTCCGTGTTGCTGAGACGGACGGCTTCTTCAGGCGTGCTCGTCAGGTCGGTGATGACATGTCTTACCATGTCGCGGACGTCGCCCTCAATCCAAGTAGTCAGTTCCCCTGGTACCGCCTATAGCCTACGTTATGTCCTTCCGTGGTTGGCCTCCAAGCGCAACCGTCTTAACGCCAACGCACTTTCGCATTAAGTCAGTTGAAATGCTGCACGCTGAGCTGCACGTAATGTCAGTGACCATAATCATGTCTTCAGCCGCAAATAACTGCTTGTAAGTTGGAAATCAGGCCATGGCGATAAATGTAGTCCTTCGCGTTGTTCCATCTTACAAGGTTGGTGAAATCCATACCCTTGTTCTTAACAGGGCCATATTGTTGCTCCCAATTCTTCAACGGCACACAATTGACATTTAAGTTGATTTGCTAGTTGAATGTTTTCGAAGAGATGGCCCGCTGCAATTCGTATTGTGTCTGGTTGTTAGAAGTCCCATAGGTGTGAGATACGTTCCGAGGCCAGGAAATACTTCTCCATCATGATCTTTGTGTCGACCTGGTCGTTAATATAGGTAATATTTGATGGTGTCCAAGTGATTTTGTTCAGCAATTCAGTCAGAATATCCTCGTACACGTACGGTTTTGGAAGCTTCTTACTATCATTGGAAACAGAGACGAGAGAGACAGGGAATGATGCTCTGGAGTTTGATGTAAGTTTCAATGCTGCCGAGCAGTTGGATAGTACTATTTTGGTTGAAATAAACCGACGTGATGCAGTCGTACGTTATATTTGCCGGAATCTGGACTTCAAAACGTGTTCTCTTTCCCGCAGTTAAAGTACTAATCTTGCCACAAAGAGTCGAGGGATTGGCACTGAACAAGGGCGCCATTGTATCGATTTACAAAACCCAGTGAGCTTAAAGCAGTACGAAACCTCACTGTGACCTCCTTGATTCTTTCCACGACGACAGCCATATTATACTAGCTTGGATAAGTGACATGATCACCTCACTCAACACCTAGGGTTACGTGAGGCATTCTCGGATATTTCTGGAATTGTAGTCCAGGAAAGAGAAAAAACAGCCCAGGTCGGATATTTTGGCAAGGTTGGGTTTCCATAGAGTTTCGCTAAGAGAAGGTCTGTTGGCTTCTGTTCGGTTGGCCAGCTGGTATTGACAATGATGCATACAGCCTTGACATTCCCACTCGTCGCTATATGCCATGGTATATTTTATATACACAAGTGCGTTAAACCACCCCAACCTACGAGTCCTTCGTAGAGGCGGGAAGTTAGTAGCAGGGTTTTCTACCAATCAGTAAGCCGCCGGACTTGTGTAGAGAGATTTTCTGGCATGGCGTTAGTTACTCATCGAGTCTGGAATCGCTAGTGTCAGGGATTGAAATGGTTATAAATACGTGTAGTTACTTGAAGTATATATGTATATGTATAGAGTCCCCAAGTATCCGGTCCGGCGGCTACAAGAACCTTATCTGCGCAACTATACCACATAACTTCCGTATCCAAAAAAACGGGTGAAAGAGAGTCTTTCTCATGTTACTTATTTAAACGGGAAGTAAACAATCCACCGCATATTCAAAGCAACGCGAACAAACACCGCTCCGACACAATACATGTACACTACCAAGTAAGACAGTACAGGTATAAATTCAGGAACTCGGCAGGCAGTTCGATTTACAGATACACCAGCCTTAGCGAACCACTTTCCCGCTGCCATCCGTTTACCCGCTACCTTCTCCCAGCACATCTGCGCTTACTCCTAGACCGACTCACATCATCCCCGAGTCCGACCTCGGATATAAATCCCTCACTCCGATTCTTCCTTCGGCGGTGTAATCATCCGTGTCATATAAGCATATCTGCCGTGTAAGCGATTCCTTCCCGTGCCGGACCCTTGTTTGATATTCGGATGCTACGGGCAAACGCGTTACTTGCTAGATCTGGGGGGTTGGATGTAACGTATACATGTACGGTTCCCGAGTTTATGGAGAGTTTTGATAGTATACTTATGTTGCAATTCATATGTATGGGCGTTGCAACGCATATGAGTACTTATGAGACGTGGATTTCATGGCGTTAAGCACGGAAGTGAGAAGAGGGGTAGGACATGTACATGTTTAGCCTACGAATCGCGATATAATGGTATTCGAACCATGATAGGACTGCCTAAAGTCCGTACGTACATGAAATGAGAGAGAGAGAGAGCTCAGTATACTGTACCGTCTCATACGGACATTGTATAGTACATGATGACGCTGTGCTCGTGTCCTATACATTCGCATCTCTAGTCACAATTCCTACTGACTAAGTAGTGTAGTCTTGTATACTACTAGGGGCGCTGACCTAGTGTAACATATATCCTGGAACCATGCTAGATCGTTCTGGGTGGGTACCTTACAAGTTGATCTACCTATCCTAGCATCCATCGCATACCATAGTCTTGGAATTTGACTCGTGATGGCATGTCACGTTTCGCATCAAGATCTTAGAAGCAGAATACCGAGTCGTTGTCATAGAAGTTGCTCCGACACCAGAGTATCTTGGTTGTCGGAAGCATGGTCTCAGGGGTCCAGAGGAAGGGTGATGCCGCGGCACGTGATCTTTGCTCCTACCATTCATTTTATTTGGCATACTCGAACGGCGAACTCATCAAGCTCTTGCAGTGAAGATGTACAATGGCATTCAACGTAGACTCCAAGCTTGCAAGATGCTAACGATCCAGTAGCGAGGCGCCACATGAGTTGGCGCCCTCATTTCCGCACGCCCTTACTATACCCGAGGTGTCCGGTTCTAATCTTAGCCACAACACTTCACTCCATGTGCCAGCTCTCTATTCGCAATCAATCTGAGTTGTTTTTACAATAAGAGGCACACGACCTCTGGTGACGCGGCAGCACACCTACGGTCCAGGTGCCGTTCGTTTCGTGTTGTGGTCTGATTTTCCATCGGGCCTTAGTCCTGTTTGGCCTAAAAGGGAAACTCATCATGCCACTTTGAAGCCCGGGACAGCGTGAAAGTATGGGGTCAGCTTTCCATGTGACTGTATGAATGGGCTGTTTTTGCAGAGCGGTAAGCTACTTTAAGTGTCAGAGTTCTTGGTGTTTCGGCTGTTTTTAAATCTTATTGTCCTTTTTTTTTTCACGCGCGTTCGTCTTCGAAGTTCTCTCTCCTTCCTGGCTGGTTATACGTTCCTCTCCTGGCCATTCTTGGACCACTTTCATTCTCTCTGCGCTCTCGGACTGTTTTGGATATACATCGGCGGCCCCACAGACTTCGTATTTATTTTGTTCCTTGCGCATTGCAACATCGACAAATTGCCAGGCGCTTCCAACGCTTGCTAGGCCGGCCCGAGATTCTTCGGCACTTTGAAATGATGATAACAAAAACTTTTTCCTTGACAAACTTTGTCATCGGATCGTCTGCGCTCTGTTTTCAAATCTTCGTTCTCTATCCATGGCACGAGAAGCTTGAAGAGGAGTTTGTCCAGCTAAAGAAGGAGCACGCGACGTTGTTGGAGGAGATGCATCAGAATCACAGGAGTGAGTTGAGGGGTATACGGGAACAGCTGGAGTTGGCAAATGAGAGGAGGAAGACTGGACGATTTTGGTAAGCGGCTATCGCTCATGGAGATGGAGGCCAAGCATAGTCAAGGGGAGGAAAGAAGAAGGGGGTTACAGATGAATGCATTCGGAGTGGAGATTCTGGCCATGTTTCAATAAGAGGGTGAGATATACAAGACGAAGAGGGTTTGGTCCGCAAGGTTCGAGTTGGGATGGACATGAGATGATACCACTTTCGCGGCACCCAAGAGAAATCACAGCTTGAGCATGACTATTCAGCATCCAGCCACGATCCATTCAAGAGCTGAACTCGGCCCGTAGACCCTCAAAGTGATTCAAGATCTCAGATTTCACAGAAGAGCACTTTGTCAACCCGGGATACGACCCCCTGAGCTCCAACCAATTCCACTACACGCTTGCACCTACCCAACACAGAAAGAACGATAGCCAGAAACTTTATTTCAGGGATAGAAAGAGTTGTACAAAGCCTATTGAACAGTAATCAAATTTCCTTTCCTCAAGACTATTAATCCTTCAAAAAAAAACTTTACCATACAAATGGCGACTTGATCACCAAGAATTACATGCACATACCTCTTACCAATCGTAACACCATACTTGCACCCCCCTTGGCCCAATCCAGTCACGCATGACCTCAAACATAAGATTCGGCCCCAATACACCTACCATGAATCTGGCATCTCTCTTTTTTCCTCCCTTAGCCTAGTAGTTTGAACAAACAAAAACTTAAGCCGATCACCCCGTTCGCCTTTTGTTCGGCTACTCCAACCGATAGACTTGCCCGTTTCAAGCTATGACATGCAACATCACTTGCCCTATTTAGGAAAATTGTAGGGATGAGTACCAATTACAAAGATGGGTGTGTTAGCATGTTGACACTAAGGTGGTAAAGTGTATTGGATCGGATTGGATTGGATTGGATTGGATTGGATTTGGGATCTACAGGGTGAGATCGGGGAACTAAGAGTGGATTCTGAAATGGGGCGGAGGTGCTGGGAATAAAGTGTTAGGAAGAAGGGTGATCGGCTTGGCTTTTTTTTAGTGGAAGGGGAGGTGGTAGTAGAGTTTCTTTGTATATGTGAAGTGATAGGACGGGAATATGATTTATTTCCTTGACTGTATTTACATGATGACACAAAATCAGTTCGAGTGAATGCACTACCTCGAATTACACTCACCATGTGAGGATAGGAGCGTTGGGACAGCCGGTTTGTTCATTTGATATCAAGGTGCATGTACGTAGGTGAAGAACCCTAGAAACATGGTAATAAAAAGGCAAAGAAAACATAGCCGTGACCCCACCACCCAGGGAGCACACGGGGAAACAAGCGAGAAAAAAAGAAAACAGGAAAAAAAGAGATTAGTAGTGCGGAGAAAAGGTATAACGCCATAAGTGTAATGTCGAGCCCCAGTACCCCCATCCAGTCCCCTGCCCATGCTACCAAATGACCTGCGAACCCGATGATAACGTCCTGGCTCGGTAGCACCGGGCAGCAACCATGGTCCGCCATGTCCGATGTATATGCCGCGCTAAGCCAAATCTGCAACCAGCGACAGATGGAAGTGCCAGTTCGCGTGCGTCATGCCGTGGCATTCTTTTGCGTGTTCACCCTCCCCCGAAAAAAAACATGTGTCTGATGTAGTATGTGCATTGGCACCGAGACCCTTAAGAAACGCTGACATCGGGGCAAAGAAATGCTGGGTGGTAGGTTGGAAACCGCCGGTGTGGGATATCGAATCGTGGTATGCATGTGTGTTCAAGGCGCAGAGTAACAGAGTTTTGTCTGGTGTGCTTCTATGCCTGGACTTCCTTCTTTTCGCTGAGGGCTCTCGGTCGGAAGACGGCGTCCTGGCCCGACATGCGTCGGCCAAGGGCGCGGTCAAGTTTGGCTCCCAGCGCCAGCTTGCTCATGTCGTCTGTCTTCTCATTGCTCATAGCGTATCGTTGTTGGACCAAACGTTTGTCCTCGAGACGGTTAAAGCCTGCGTTCCACGATTTGATGTCTTGCGACTTGGGATCGCCGGCGGTTGACGAGGCTTCGGAAAGGTGCGAGGGCGCAATTGAGGGAGTCAGGGTGGGTGCGGCGCTGTAGGTGGACATGCGGGTGGAGGCGCGTTTGCCGGTGCTCTGGGGTTTCTTGTCGTTAGACTGTTCTTGTTGCGACATGTTGAGGGACGATGTATTGTGTTGTTGTTGATGTTGTTGTTGTTGTTGTTGTTGTGATTGCGATGAAAGTTTGGGAGGGAAGCGGGAGCGATGTGGGAAGAAGAGCAAGTGGAAGAAAAGTGCAGAGGGGATGAGAGAACTAGTATGATGGGCCCAAGAGTGCAGGTGGTCCATAGGCACGCACCGGCCAGGACTAGGGCATGTCTGAAACGAGCAGTGGGTACGTAAGGACGGGAAAATAGCTTACGTTGGCAAGTATGGGCCGTGAAGACTCAAGGGAGTTGGTCATGGTGCGGGCTGAAAAGTTGGCAGTCGACGGCGGTAGGGAGTGGCTTGGTGGTATATGGTAGCAAATGGTAGTAGTAGTAGTAGTAGTAGTAGTAGTAGTAGTGACAGTAGTGGTGACAGAAATGGTTTGGGGGGACAGCCGGCGTACTAATACCACGACAAGTGTGAGACGCGGCGGTGACGGCAAAGACCGGAGCGGGAGATGGATTCGAGAGTAGACCGCTACCTGGTGAACAGAAGGCGACAACAGATGGAACGTCGACAAAGCCGGCCCTGTGCTGGCCCAGCGTTGCGCCTCGCTTGTTTCAAAGGACCTAGACGGGCAAGGGAGTGGCCCGAGTAGACAAGATCTACCGGCAGGGGGGCCTGCTAGCCAAAGGTTCCAGAGGTTGCGCCGGCGGCATCAGATGCTGCGGTGCACACGATATCCATGTATGTATGTACATACACAGATACAATACCCCCTCTCTCGACAGCGTCAGACAGCAAACGCGAGCCTTGTCTCGGGGTCGTGGTGTTGATGCCCCAAGTATGTAGGGGCCATGGCACGCACAGTGACATGAAGACAGGAATTATGCATCAAGACAATCTCTCCAAAACTGCACTGCAATGCATGCATGCAACAATCTCTTGATCGCTGTGAAACGAACCCTATTCACGTGTACAATATATATGTACAGACTCATGTCCAACCAGCTCATATCACGCCTCTCCTATAGGTCTTCTGTGAATGCTGGCCACTCTCGTATATACGCACGTAGGCGTCATGACTACCCAAATGGCCATGACAGGCTACAGCCCACTTACAGCCTTTACAGCGCCTCGGCCACGTTTTTTCCTTGTGCGGGAACCCACTTTGGCCGCCGCTACGGGCCTTGGTACCCTGGGGGATGGGAGAAACCCACTGGTACGCGTGTGCGAGGGCGCGTCTGAGTGGTTGTGCCCCATCAACGGCCCGCATCGCAAAAGGCCCTCCTGTAACCACACACCATGACCCCTTGGTTTCTCCATACGTTGCAGAACCTCTTATCTTGATGGGCTCTGGGCTGGTTAGCCCCAGTCTCGATGACTCAATCAATCCATTAGCACCGGTCAATCGAGGTGGGGTATCTTCTTTTCTTTTTTCTTTAGCCATCTTCAAGTGCACCTAGACCCCCCCCTTTTAAAGCACTCCAGCTAGTCCCTAGCACCCAGCTATTCAGCTCGCCCATGCCCTCGGTCATCGGTAGAATAGTGGCTATCAACCAACGTCATGTCGTAATGAGCCGCTCTGGATTCGTAAAGAACCCTTGACATGTCATCTGTAGTGTACGCCTCCGAATGATGCCGCGGGAAGATTTGCCGTTTACTTTGCATTTGCGCTGATATCACCAACCCACCTTTCTGCGGTCTTAGCTCCTGCCCGATGCCTCTTTCTTCATCTCTTGTTATTGTTCGATCCCGTGTCTACCAAATGAGTTAAAGATTGTCCGATCGGCTTTCCAGATGGACTGCGTGCAGTCAGCTTACTCGACCAGAAGAAATCGTCGAGCGCTGATCGTCAGTATCGTGTCAAGAGTCTCAACGCGACAGCGCCGTTGAACCTGTCCAAGCGCCCTTGCATGGGACTGAACGAGATGGGATGCATGCCCTGCATGCCCACGTGGTCAGCAACGTGGACGCACGGCCGTATCGGTGGACCCAGTTGGGCCCCGGGTCAGGCAGAGAGTCACGCCAATGCCAATGCTGAAACCCAAGGGAATGGCTATCACAACCGGTGAGCGTTATGCACCTCTTCAGCATCCATTCACATGTTGCGCTTAACCCGGCACGACCGTACATACAGCATCGCATGGAGCGGGTAAATTGTCGCAAGCTGGATAACCGAGCTGGTGCCTCCAACTCCTTTGTCTCAACAGCTCAATATTATTTGAACCTGCGTATGCATGTGTGCGGCGCATCTTGACAACTGCCATCATGCAGTGTGGTGATGACGCAACCCCTCAAATCCGCCCATATCCGACATCAATTCACACAACCAAGACCGACGCTGCCTCAGTCACGCACGTCTGAGAATAACGGGGCGGGCGACAAACACAATGCGATACTGAAACACTTGAGGCTTACTGGGCCAAGAGGCTGAGAAAGGTAGATCGCCAGGCTATCCTTACTATAACAAAGAAAAGGCAGCTGCCGACCTACACCAACGGAGGTATGCCCCCGACTCCTTTCCATTCACAGTATTGGCCATGGATTCCCAGGCAGAAAGTCGAGTCTTAGAAGATGTTATTAGAATCAAACAAGAACCATCAGACGTGAGGAAGACAGCAATTTGCATCCATCAACACCCGCCTCTAAGCTAGCCTTAACCTCGTACTCGTTCATCGCTTGAGCATTCCAAACCTTCGACGAACAAATCCACCACCACATATTTCTCCCTAAGAAGCTCAAAAAGAAAAGTCTACAACAATAAAAAAAACTATACCTTCAATACCACACTATCCTCACAGGCTTGAAACATACGCCTACTAACCATAGTCCTCAACAAACCATCCTTCTCCCACCTAATCCACATAACCCTCATGACCATCACACACCTTATCCCAACACCACTTCAGCAAGCAAACAAAAGAGAGTTCATCCAGTCTCTCACCTAACAACCCTCAAACCCCACCTGATCTCCTCCACACTCCACGCTAAATGCAACGCCGGACACGGGGTCCGCGCTTTCCAAAAACTCTACTCGACCCTAATAACCCCTCTGGTTGATCTAACTCAACTTTCTTTTCCTTCTACACCAGCTCGAACGACCCTGTTTGCGTTTGCGTAAACAATATAGTTGCGGTCCGGTAATTAGTATCTCGCTTGGTTAGATCCGGTTGCGACAAGAGGCGAATGAAACACAGTAGCGGACACAAAGGATCTGGAGAAAGCGGTACGTTTCTTTAATTGAGTTTGGAGATGTGGGTTATAGCGGAGGCGCTGCATACAGTAACTAGGTGGATTGTGGTGAAGGTTCTTGTGTAGTTTCAATGAGTGGGTTTGAGACGCTGGATGCCTTGAGAGTTGAGCAGCGAAAGCGTATGCTTATGAGAGGTGTAATTCAGTGTAGTTGCATGTCGGGGGGTACTATACATGTGCGTGTATGAATCACAGTAGAAGGAAAGATCGTTTTTCCTGGAAGAAGGAAAACTTTGTGCCGTAGACTTTATGTTGCGTAGATGCTAACGATTCAAGGCGCGTACTTCTCGCTATAACATGCTGTTGAAGATTCGCAGCCGCAAGTCCAATCTACTATCCAGTCAATGATATACGTACAACACCCCAAACCCTCTTTTTACATCGTCTTTTGCCCGCAATCAAAGTCCAAATATTCTTACAGTGCTACACTGCAGTAACTGCTGACACCACATTTCGGAACTTACCCGCTACATGCAGATCTGACACAAACGGCAGAAGTTTCAGATGCATGTATACAAACAAAGCATGACTTGCATTCTCCCACAGAAACGCCGCATTCGATTCCCCGTGTCTGACTCCCGCGGCTCTCGACTGCAACACACGGGTACCAGCTGGCAACGTACTAAGTTCACAGCGAACCAAACTCCCCGGAGAAACGTAACAATCCGCCTCTCATATGACCATTCGTGTAATATACCCACACAATACCGCGTGACACATCCACTTAGGCCAGAAATCCTCTCCGCGATCCAATCAAAGCCGCACAAAAGCAAAATTCACAACGAGCAACTTACGCCGGTGCTTGTAATCAATCTACACAAGCAAAGCCTAGAAGCCTACACAGCCAAACTCACTCCTCGCAACACACAAAGTAAAAACAAAAAAGAGCGACTACTTACCATACTAGCCTGCAATCTCCGCAATCACACACTTTGCCTTCCACTCTCCCCTCCCCTCCTCCCCCACCCAAACCCACTTTCGTCAGACCACCCTCAGCTTCCTCAAAAAGCAAATAAAAAGGCGGATTAAGAATTCCCACACCTACAAGTACTCCCATCCATCATGCTCAAATAAATAAATTTAAAAAAAACCCCCTCGTCAGATCCCAATCGATCACTTCTCATCCCTCCTCCTCCCCAGAAACCTGTTGAGCCAAAACCGCCCCACCCAGCCTAACCTCAAGTAGCGCTCAAGGAAAAAAAAACCCCCCCTCCAGTCGGAAAGCGGAAAGAAAACAGTCCCTTTAAGCGTTCACGCAAGAAGGAAGGGGCGGGGGCCCACCACAGGGCAGGTGAACGACGTTCGCTACAATCTACGGCTTGGCTGTTTTTCTTGCCTTGGTGGGGTAGTGTGTGTGGGTGGGCGCAAAGGAAGGGAGGGGGGGAAGGGAGCTAAGGGGAAGCTTACCCGTTACGGTATATTGGTTGGTTTTTTTGGGTTTGGGTTGGTGGAGGCCAGGCGAGACACTGCACCCCTGGTATCCCACGCGCGCCGCCTGACGGACGCCGACGCTCTTTGTTTGGTAGCGCGCTTGGGAGGGCGTGGGTGTTTGATGTGTGGAATGTGTAATGGGACAGATTTGAAGATAAATAAAAGAAAATAAGAGTGATGTGATTAGTTGATTTGGTGCACGGCAAAAAAAGGTAGTTGCGATACTCTTATTTCCTCGTGAATGCTGTTTGACAACTGCGCAACACAATCTACGTAGCGCGCCTGCTCATGCGGCACAACGCAATGCGGCACCTGTAAACTATCATGTGTCAATCGTTTACGCATCCATGGCTGATGGGTCCACCAATTCAACAAGCACATTACAGATGCCATCCGCCCAGATAGCAAACGCCTTTTCCCTCAACACGCTGTACCAGTCGTCAGCATTGCGAATATGGCGCCACCCCTCGGTCCCGATAGATTTGATGACACAGCGGGAGAGCAGCCTGGTGTCGCTATTGTTGCATTTATCCAAGGTGGGACGGAGAGCGGCTGCAGAGGCAGGGGGCGGTAATGCAGCCGACGTATCATCAGCTGGAGGTATTCCGGTAGATTTGCTAATCGCAATGGGCCCTTGAGAAGTATCCTCAGTTTGCAGTGCATTGGCAGCAGCCGCAAGTCCGCGGAGGTTGTTGTCTGGTGCCTGGAGAGACCCAAACCACGAGTCCAGTTCGGAATGACTGTCTATGGCAGTTTGCAATAGCGAAACAACCTCATTTACAAAATCGTTGTAGTCATACCAAGCCAGGTGCGATTGCGCTTCAGCGGTGATGCGTCTCTCACCGATTTTGGTGTCTGACGTGGTGCCAGATGAGGGCCCTACAAGAAATATGTTGATATGCCTTAGGTTGGGATTGGCCGTGCCCGTCCTGGATAGCTGGTCTGCGTCAACACTCAAATTATCCACTGGAACAGTAATCAGTGGTCAAAGTACCTTTGAACTTAAAGTTGTTGTTACATGGTCATGCGTCTTTTGTTCCAAATCCGCAAGACATATCTGGTCCTGTGATGAACGTTGCTCGAGAGCGACGGATGTTGGCGACGACGGCAGAATTGCCTGTGAATACCGGCAAGGATGACTCAGGCTAGGATCGAATGCTGGCTGCAAGTGATGCTCGAGCTGGTGTTCATCGCGGTTCCCACCTTGCTGAATAACAGCCTTCACACTGTTTTCCTTCTCTTTTTGCTTAGAGCCCCCCTTCCTCGTCTCAATTGCATACTGTCGTTGTCGCTCGTTCGTGACCATGCGTCTCATGAGAGGAGTGACGAGACCGATAATCTTGTTACCGTCTCTTGGCCAGATGAGTCGTGGACTTGCCTCGGGCGTCTCCATCTCTCCTAGCGCACGAGCGGCTTCTATGGTATCATTTTCCTCTGGCTTTTGCACATGCTCACCAAAGAACCGCTCGCCCACCCCACTGCTCAAGAAGTCGCGGACGCAGTTGAAGAGCCTCAGTTTGACCATATCGTTGTCTCCCTTGCCACGATTGCCAACGCAACTTTGTCTTTCAGGATGTGACGAGTCAAGCATATATGCTTTCGCAGAGGCCTGAAGTTGGAGAAAGTTCTCAGGGCTGAGCCGAAGAGAGATGAACAGCTTGGACATTGGCGGACGTGTGTGTTTACGAGCTGGTCTCTCTGATGATCGACGGAAGAGGGCAGAAGCAGAATGGACACCTGCAGTACGAGCATTGCTGGGTTGAGACTCACTTGACGGTGATTGATTGCCATCGACTAAATCTCCGCCCATTTCACAGATGCCACCTTGCAATCGAGGGTCTGTAGGTCCTTCGAGTCTTCTCCGTCTGGTATTGATAGGTTCATCTGCTTTGTGGGAGGAATCTGCAACTGGAGAGCCAGTCGGCCTTTTTCTCTTACCCTTACCTTGCGATGTAGGAGTCGTCCTACCTGTATCACTTGCGTCCATGACTTGAGCAGCGTGATCAGCAGCTGTGGCGGCCTCCAGCAACTCTACGAGATTATGGTTCTCTTCCAGTGTATGGTCGACAGACGTCTGTTGCGCAGTGTGTTCGGCATACAAATGTGGGCTGAGATGATGATCGAGCGGCGCCGTAACAGCAGCGGGACCAGCCAAATCATATTCTTCGTCTTCGGCTACGAATTGGGGCGGTGCAGCGTTTGTGCTGTTGGACGTGGTAATGAACTGGCCGGAACGCATTTGGTAGTAGGGTGCGTTTGTCGTCATCGTGGTTGCTTGCCCCGACATCAGACTGATCCCGCGGTTGTACGGGTGAGCTGTCAATGAGCAATGGTAAGTGTTTGGATCAAATGTTTGAAGCGGAAATGGCTGCGAATGCGAGCTGAACTACGGGAGTACAACAACTCGGTCATGCATGGAAACCGAGGTTCTCTTGTATCCAAGCTGCCATATATTTGGCTTGAAACTCATGTAGACAAATGAATTGATCAAGGCATGGCTTGTGTGTCGAAGAAGGAGCAATGCATAGTTTGGGTCGTAGCGAGAAGTGCAGTTTGGGGTCATGTCGGGGACGCAGTTGGCAGCGAGAAGCGCACTTTGGGCGTGTAGCTTGGATTCAGTGCAGAAAAGTGGCGGACGGATTGGGACAGCAGACAATTATTGCGCACCTGATGTAGGTTGCTGGCGCTTGCTATTGTCTGAGGGACAAACAGGGCCAGCCAGAAAGACGAAAGTCGCGACGACGCGGCGAAGTGGGTTTGTGTTGTTTGCACAAATGCCGCGCGAACATGTGACGGTCGATTAGATAAGCCACAAGTGAGTGGATCCACTAATCTGATTCTTTCCAGAAAAGATGCAGGTCTATTATTCAATTCCATGAATGAATTCTAGCAAAAGTCAGAAGAGGTATATTTGTGCTTAACAATTTTACAGTGGCTAAAACACTATCACAACCTGTGTCCTTGCTCTACAACAATCAACGAGGAGAAGCAGTATAGAGAAAATCGAAATATTATGGTTGATTTGAATAAGCCATGTCTATATATTCTACTCACAATGTTCCTGACATTGATATGGCTAGAGAAAAAGAGTATTTGCATCAAAAACCATCGCCCTCTTTCTACTCCCTTCCTACCTCCAACGCGCGATTTTGCGGGTCCTCGCCTCGAACATAGGCGTCATGTCTTAATTGATCGACCATCGGCTTTAAGCGGTCAATCTCCCTCCTATACTCCTCATCCTTGCCTGGCTCAGGTGTCTCAATTTCCTTTAGCAGTTGCATGTTGCCTTCTTTCTTCGCCTCTGCGATACTCGCTGCTCTCTGATACCAGTACATAAGCTTCCCTTGGTTATCACTCAACTCGGCCGCAAGAGCCTTGAAGTTGTCGTATTCTTCTTCACCGCCAAAACAAACGCTGTACTGGTCGCAGAAACAGATATGCTCTTTTGGACAGTAAATGTTTTGGCCCGTGAAGATGAATTGCCAGATGTATTCAAAGATGCGCCCGCTAAGGTAGTCGGGTAATTGTGTATTGAATACCCAGTCACGGTACCAGACGTATTGCGCCAAGGGCTTCGCTTGTATCCGTTCTCGCGAGAGGGCAAATTGGGCGCAACAAGGCTGCGCTAGCACACTAGGGATTTCGTCGAGGGGGAAAAGCTCGCTCCAGGACTTTGCAAGAAGAACCTCTTCCTGCTTTCCCTTGTCCTGTTCCGTCACACCTGGGTGCATCCAATCCGGGCAGCCTGGTTGCCAAGTGCACTTCATGTTCACAAAACCTTCTCTCCAAACGCGTGGCCGACTCAGACGAGTGATCATTTCGTGTGCGTCGTTACCCAAGAGCATATCATTGTGCCATGATAATTGATGCGCATGCATGAAGATGGCCACGTCAGGAAGGTTGTCGTAGTTGTCAATAATCCACGATAGGTAGATCATGACTTCGTGGCCCTTGTTCTTTGGGGGGTGTAACGGCGCAGTTGGATCGTCCGCAACATAGACGGCTCTGTCCTGCTGCGGCAGCTTTTCCAGTATCCATCCGATATCCTCTTTCTTTGTCTTTGCAATTATCAATGTCGATGTATAATTATGCCCCGGGGGCATCGGCGAGCCTGGTTTGAACACGGGTTTTGGATTCCAATTCGTGTAGTCGGGATCGCGCAATGGGTCCGCGCTGTGCGGTTGCGCATTGTTGCCAATGTGTTCGCCCAAGCCCACATGTTGAGGCAACCTCCTCCACGTTTCGCTGGTGCGTATGTCGGAGTAAAAGAATGCAGTTATGGAAAGGACGACGAACACAGCAAGGAGCGGAATGACGTTTCGTCTGGTCATGGTGCGTAAGGAGGGAGGTGGAGAGAGCGACTTGGAAGCCGAGAAAGCCAAGATTGTAGGAACGGAGACGTGGGCTGTGTGAGAGCCCCGCGAGAGTCCACTGCGAGAAGGTTAACTCACGCTTACGTCGGACTGACTGGGTGTATCCTTACTATGAAAGCTGACCACGATGTGGAGGTGTCCGCGCGGCAAGATTAATGCCAAGTTACGGCCGCATCCCTTTGCGAACAGGTGCAGGTAACGCGGCTGCTAGAACGCCCCAGAGAGGGTTGAGAAGAGTGGGAATACAGGATGCCATGGATGTGACCGCGTACTCCCCTAATGTGTCGCCGCCGTCAGGCTGGTAATCTGTCGATGCGGGCTTGTGTCGTTTTAAGTTAACCCCCAAATGGCCCACTCACAGGGACCCTTGCACGGGAGCCGAATCAGTATTGCGTCGAGCGGGTCGATCCCTAAGAATACTCCAACGCTTCCATTAGCTTGAAAAGTGCCACAATCACTACACTGAAGCAACCGCTAGTAATACAGAGTGGCAAAAGTCACTGTGTGAAGGCTGGTTTGATTGTGGCACAGATTTCAGTTTTCTACCTGCCGAGACAGACCACTGTGTACCCCAGGCAGCTCAGAGGATGGTCTAAATTACGACATTGTGTAATTTCATAAGCTTAGCTGATCAACTGGCGAGTTGCGTACTATTGCAGATCCAGGAACATAAGTGGAATCATTGTCAAGCATATGCACACCTACATGCAAGCAATCTAAGCTGCGACAGCACAAGCAGCTATGTGCGCGTGCCCCATCTTGAGACGGCGACATATAATCAGAGCCTTTGAGGCGATATATTGCAAAGATGGTTGGCAAGAAGGGTTGTGTGAACGGACATATTCTTAGGCTTTGCACTCGGCGCACAGTCGAAGAAAAGTGCGGTGATGAGCAAACCACGTATGACCAAAAAGGGAAGTGAGGTGAATAAAATTCGGGGAGGGGCCACGCACCTTGCACTGTATGTACCTTAAAGCCCGCACATATTATGACCGTTTGCGTCGAGCAAACAGCTCATCTACAGGCTATGATCACAGACTTTGATATCTATGCACGACTCGGCCAAACGGCTAGTCTTGGCATTCCGACATGCGTCAGACAAAGCACGTGGGCGGGCGGTGGCAGCGATGCATCTACAGTCATCGTCGTGCCAGTCTACAGTGCGAAAGGCTGTGAATGTTCGACGGCGAAATTTTTAGGCCCAATTATGCTACTGGGTCGGGAGGGGCTGCGCTGACATGATGGCGGTTATGGTGGATGATAGTGAAAGTATTTAGACAGTGCTGGTCATGCGGAAAGGTGGTGTGGACTGGCTACTGGATGTCCAGGTTGCATCGAAGGACAGTAGATAGAAGTACAATTTGGTGTCGATCAAGATGATTGATGGTCCCAAGGGCTATAGACGATGCCCCGAAAGCATTTAGCGAAGTGCTGAACCGATTTTCCAAGGAAATTACCGAGCTGACGAAGGATAATATCATGTCGAGCTGCAAGAAGGCAGACCACGGTAGAGTGCTACCTGCGCTGCCGTGAACCATATCGATGAAACTTTTGTCGACCACATGCCCTTTGTGTAAAAGCCGTATTAAACTGAACCCCAGTGAAGTAGTCATAGGATTACAGAAGTGAAGTGCTGGAAAAGGCGCCAAATCGAGGAAGCCATACGAACCCTAACTTAGTACCGCTTGGGTTCTGCCTGGGTCAGCTGGGGAGCTAGCGGTATGAGCGATCGTAATCACCCTCGTTGTAAGAGCGACCTCCACTTCCACCTCCACCACTGTACGCATCACGGGGAGGAGCGGCATCATAGGCACCGGCAGCTGGTGGAGGAGGCCTGTCATAGTAGTCACCGCCGCCACCACGACGGTCGTACCTGCGCTCCGAAGCATAGCGGTCAACACCCCGGGGATAGTCATCACGGCGGCCAGCTCCATAGCCACGATCGTCGTACCGCGAGCTACGAGAGCCATAGTCATCGCGTCTGCCGTATCCACCGCCGCGACGGTCGTACGAGTCGCGATCGCCGCCGTAGCGAGGACCGCCCCGGCCACGCCCGCCAAACTCTATAATATTGTCAGCCCCATCACCAGCCATATAGACAACAGGCGTACTTACCGCGCTTGGGAGGACCGTAGTATTTGCCCGGGGTTGGTGTGCGAGGGCGTGCACGACGAGCCTTCTCGATACTCAATGTTCGGCCTTGGTGAACTTCTCCTTGCAGTCCCTCCTTGGCATTATCGGCCTGCTCAGCAGTAACCATCTTGACGAAGCCGAAGCCGCGAGACTCCTTGGTGTGGGGGTCGCGCATGATGTTGCACTGCTCGACATCGCCATACTTCTCGAAGAGACGCGTGACTTCGTCCTCAGTGAGAGTAGGGTGAATGCCGGTGACAAACAGGTTGGAGCCCGAGTTGCGGCTCTCGTCATCATCGTTCCTGCGCTCCGGGGGCGGACCACTGCATCGACGTTAGCGAACTGTGCCATCAAGAGGAGACAATAGCAAGAGCAGGAACTTACCGGCTATCGCGACCACCTGGAGAGGCGCTGCGAGGACGCGCTCCGTCATCGCGACGGTCAGCACGCGGAGATCGGCTGCGATCGCGTTCGTAGCCGCGAGGCTCGTCTAGGATGCAGTCAGTACACGGCAAACAAGGCACAGGCAGACAAACATACCGTCATAGGGGCGCTGTTCGTTCTCGTACTCCATGGTGATGATGTCGTGGTGGGTCAGGAGTTTGTTGGTTGAGGAAAGGTGTTTGCTGAAGCTGGAGCTTAGGCGGTTTTTTTGGCAGGGCTGATCGACCGTAGCCGCGTCTCACTTAGTAAGCGTCGCGCTAAGATGACCGGTGCTGCACTGAAGTGGAGTAAAAGTGGAAGAGGAGGTGAAGGGGAGTCGAGGCACAAAGCGAGACTGGCTGCTATTTGTACGAGGCATGAAAACGACAAAGCACCAGGCAGCTGAGTGAGGCAACCGCTAGGGGCACCGGCCACGCAGCAACTCTGCTAGCCGGCCCGTGAGGCTCGGCTCCTCATCCACATCTGCTCCCAACGTCTTTAACCAGACGGGCGATGACCGGCAATTCGAATCGTCAACTCAAGTTCATATTCAAGCGTCTTGCATCCGACACTTCGTTGCCCTTGCCTATGGGATCCCGTGCAGCCAGCAGCCAACCAGTTGCGCCATATCAACATACCCTGCCCGAAACAACACATGGACATGCGCTGACCAGTCCCCGCTGTGAAATTTACGCCACACGCCGTACGCCTGCAGTACACCTTCCAACCCCCCAAGAAGGTATATTACAAATGCCAAAGATAATACAAGATGCGACATGAGTGGCCCATGCGCAAGAAAAGTAAAAGAAAACAAAGAACACAGCATCCACCGCACTTACCTACCAACCCCTTGATCGCTTCTGCCGTTTGCGTGCCACTGCTTTCTTGATCGCCGCTACGTTTGCATCAGACGTGTCTACAGGCCTAACAGGATCCGAGTCAGCAAGGCCATCCAATTCATCGTCGTCGAGCTCGCTCAATTCCTCGCTCATGTCTCGAAGCACCTCACGGCCCGTGTATCTTTCCTCATACACGGTGGTACCATGCACGTCGAAAGTCTCAAGGTACCAGGGTACGCCGCCGTTACCCAGCGGGTTGAGCAGGTTCTTCTCAGATCTCGGAGGAGTCAAAGGCTCTGGGCGGCCATTGACATGAGCATGGTTTTCTGCGAGAGCATCGCTTTGAGACTGATTCCTTGACACGTGTAGTGCATCTTGGCCGAGCTGTAGAGCAATTGCTGCCTCGTCAGCCGCTTCATCGTGTATCCGATCTGCATCGGCAGCGTTCTCGTCAGGTGTGGGTGCCATTTGCATCTCCTCGGGCTTCTGTGCCATTACAGCAGCCTCTTCTCCGTCGATAGCATCTTCTTGAGCCTGTGCAATGCTTGGCTGATCCATCTCAGTGGTTTGCCGAATGTTTTCGTCGTGTGAGAGAACACTAGGTCTGCGTTGAAGCTTCTGGTTGAGGAGTGTCTCGAGATCGGGTAGTTTTTCATACGGCCTGCCAGCCAACTCGGATTCCTTTCGCATTGCATCTTCAAAGCTAGGTTGCAAGACTTTGGTGATTCGCTTGACAATTTTCTTCATCTCTTTCTGCTCAGATGTCAGACTGTTGTGAGAAACCTGGTTTAGTTGTTGTTCGGCATCATTGATGTTGGTAACAGCAGCAAACCCAAGTTCAGCGCTCAAGACCGCTGCCATATCGTCGTTGAATGCCTGGACGGATGTGTAGAACTTTTCGTCAAGTTTGGTTTGAAGATGATTGAATCCGTCGCTAAAGTAGCTTCGACTATCGAGTCTGACACAAGGTTAGTAGAAGATCAACTAAGAGTGCATGGTGGGCTGCTTACGCTTGTGCTCGAGCCAAAATGGGCTGTAGTAGTGTTGGGATGGGAAAGTAAATGCAGTCCACAATCTGCTGCAAGATGAGGACATCTTTGAGCTTTTCAGCCTCTCGCTGTTTGACCATTTCGCAAAGCACACGAATCTGTTCCATGTCATCTTCAAGGCGCTCTGCAAATTCAATGCGTCGCTGAAGTCGAGGTCTGCCGGCTGCGCCCATGCCTGCAAAGTTACGACGGGTAATCTCCATGGATGAAAAGGCTTCCATTTGGAGCTGAAGGCGCTTCAGGAGAGCAGCGCCACGTCGTGCCTCCCTCTTCAATGTCCAGTATTTGCAAGCATCCTGCACAAACTCCTTTCGCTTACGAACGTTGAATCTTATCAGCGTATTTTCGACGTTGTGGTATACGGCCTGCGGAACAACAGGGGCTCCAGAGGGAAGTCTCCAGGACTTTGTACCTGATGCGCGTTTGCGCTTGTTGGAGCCTGTACCATCGTCATCTGGTCCCTCAATGGAAGGCATCACATGCGATGAGCCGATAGAAAGGGCGTAGGCTTGGCTGTCTGGCCATCGGACATGACGCATTGTATGGCGGTAAAAGGCCTTCGCATCTGCAATCGCGCTCTCAACATCATATTCCCGCTTCCAGTCAGATGGAGTGTGACGGTCACAATAGGCTTTGAGCACAGTTGCATCCTGTGCATTTGCCGATTGCGATGCCTTCATACGTAGACACAGTCTGGCTCTGCGCGCACATGTCACGTGGAAAGCCTCAAAACATGATTTGTGTCCGCACTGGATACAAGCGCCCATTTTCTGTTTGCAGATGTAGCATGACTGTACTTTTGATCAGTCTGATGTAGAAGTGAATATGGCATCGTGATCTTACCAGCTTCCAGCGTGTTTTGGGCACC